TTCTCCTTGTATGTTTGCAGCCCACGTAAAACAGCACTAATGCCACAGTTTCAGGCGAGATCCAGCCACAGTAAACCGTTCCAATCTGCCGCTTTGCATCGTAGGCTCTGGCCCGCTTCCTTGCAAGCCGTGGGGTAAGGATTTCTAGCTCTTTATTTTGGCAGGCCTCCTGCTCCTTCAACAGCTGCACAGTCAGGCAACAAAACAGAAGAGGTGGCATGTTTTCCCTGGATTAGGCTCTGTTGCAGATAGATGCCCAGCTTTTTTTAGTCCGGCTTCCTAGAACACTCCAGTGAGCTTTTACGGAGAGTTCTGTGTAATTTTAAAAGAATGCCTGTGCCAGCATCAAAATAGGTCAACAAGAGCCATATGAGGCATGTTGTGGGACATCCGTGAATAGCATATATTTTCAACCCTTGTAATTTAAAAGCAGGCGCAGAGTGGGAGGAGGATTCAGCTTAGAGTTGCAGAGCTTGTTTGCCTTTCTAAACTGTGCCATTTTCCTGATTTTAACCCCCCCCCGCCCCAAAGCTGCTACTTGCCCTGTGGCAGGTAGACTTCCAGGTACCATATAGGTGGCTTGCATATTTTAAACTACAGTACAAATCGAACACCAGCCTCGGAGAGGGGGATTTGAATTGAGGAAATGGCACAAGCACGAAAGGGCTAGCTCCCTCCCATCTGTTAGCACCAGGGTCTGAATTTTTCTCCTCCCTGGCTTTTTAAAATGCAGGCGCGTCTGTTCACGGATCTCCTTGCATCATGCCTTAAGAGATTCAAAGGCTGGTGCCACCTTGGTAGCACAGATTTTAGGAAGAGCATCTGTTGCCAACTCCGGCAACTCTGGTTCAAATCTCAGCCTAGCCACAACACTCCCCAGGTGCCTTAAGCCAGCCACTTGAACTCCAGCCCTCCGCCTCCTGTTTACAATATGGGGAACGCCGATAATTACACTGGTATGCCTTGCATAGCTGTTGTAAGGATTACTGAGATTATGTGTGTCACACATTTCAGGAAAAGGCCGCCTCGGCCTTCTCCAGTCTGATGTCGTCCAGATCCAGCCAACACGGCTGTCCAGCCATACATATTCCCACCTGTTATCTCGGTCTAGTCATTAATACCTCAGGTGAGAGCACAACCCTGCTAGGAAGCCATGCCCTTTGACCTGGAACAACCTCCCCCCAAATTTCAGGTAGCTCAGAGCGGGGCTGGTTTTACTTGGGGGTAGGGAGCACATTGTACATGCTCAGCAGGCCTCTTGCTCCTTTATTATTTCCCCTGTTCCATAGTTAAAACCAGGCTGTGAGACAAAACTTGTAACTCGGAGCCTTAGTCTTGAGCTCTGAATTTGTCCCGTAAAGATTTGTGCCACGAAAAGTGTATATTGTGCACAGACAGATATTGGGCACCCATTTCTTTTCCCAGAATGGGGTGTCCTCTTGTCACCTCATTACGAGACAAATTACCTTCCAGTTGACTCTCGTCGGCCTACAGCAACTTACCTCTTTAGCCCCGCTGCCAAGGATAGGAATGTAAGGAAGATCCAAAGGTTTGTTTACTCCCTTATACTTCTCTCCCCCCAGCCCCAAAGTGCCCAACCAGGTGTCTCTGGAAGGCCACAAGCGAGACGCAAAGGGCAATATCCATTTCCCGTTGTTGCTCCCTAGCAGTTGCTACTGAGACGCCTCTGAATCCGTTAAGCTGCGTATTGTAATCCCTCCTAGTGGTGCCCCAATAAAACTGCAAAGCTAAGCAGGGTCTGGTATGGTTTCAAATTGAATGAGGGGACGACCACCCAATTGAGATTCCTGCATTGCAGGGGGCTGGAGTGAAGGACCCTTTCCAACCCTATAATCATGCCTAGGAGCTTGTGATTCTTGAGAGAGGAAGGCAGCAGAGTTGGTTCTGGGATGCAGGGCTTGAGACTCTGCCTTGCTTTGTGGGAATATGTTCTTAAAAGCATCAGAAGAAACCTCCTGGTCCCATCTAGTCTGTTCTCTGAGTGCCTACGGACATGAATACACAAGCATTCTTCATGAACGGTATCCCAAGCGTGAAGAAGCACCTCATTTTGTCCCGGATTGCCAGGGTTCTAGTCCTGCAACGCTCTCTTTCCAGGTTCTAGTATTAAGAGATGCTTTTCCCCACACCCTGCACCCTCTTGCGTACCTCAATCCTTTCTTCGCCTCTGGACGCCTCTGATCCCGGGGGGTGCTCTGTGCAAAATGAGAGGGGAGCATTGTTTGAGGTGGTGAGCCCTCTGGCGGGGTCCCAGCACCCACTGCCTTCTGCGGGTGCTAAAAAGGCATTTGGGTGCAGCAGTGGTACATCTGGTGCTTACTCAAACCCCAGGGGTCCTCCTCTAGTGGCAATGGCCATTCAGAGGCTGAAAGGTGGCAGCTGTGCATTGTAGAAAGTGGTCCCTGCACAATTCGGCTTGCCCAGAGGACTATTTGTATCTTTAGCACTACCTTAAGAAAAGTGGAGCTCCTCTGCCTTGGTTCCTTGACACGTCTCATGTCCTGTAGCCCACCCTTCCTGTCCCACGCACCAGAGTCACCTGTGCTCTTGCAACAAGCAGAAGGAAAACAGAAGGACAACTTCTTCCTTTTTTAACTTGTCTCTGTTGTGGTGTGTTTTTTACACCAGCCCAGTCTGCAAGCACCAGTAGGTGACCAAGCTTCTTGGAAAAGCAGAAAGAGAGAGGGCAGTTCCTCAGGTTATATGTCTTGGCAGCTCAGTCCCCCAACAGAGTTCCATTGCAGCGTAAATGGCAGCAGGAACTTCTACAATGGGGGAATAAATTCTGTAGGAAGAAACTGCTCTTAGCTCATGCCACAGCTCAGTGACGGAGCACCCGCTTTGCATGCAGGAAGGGGTTTGATCCCCAGAATCTCCAGGTAGGCCTGAGAAAATGCCTGCCTGAAATCCTGGACAGCCACTGCCAGTCAGTGTAGAGTCTATTGCCTGCACTGTAGACAATACTAAGCTAGATGGAGCAATGGCCTGACTCACTGTAAGCTAGCTTCTCATTTTGGGGAGAGGGCTGCCTGAGGTGGGTGGGTTGGTTGGACTCTGCCTGTGTTTCTTTTCTAGTTTCTTGCATCCCTGGTGCTCAGCATCTCACTTTCCCTTTTTTTTCATTCTGGCCCAGCTCCGTAAATGCACTCTCTCAACTGATTAATAATAATAATAATAAATTCTCCAATCTGGAAAGCTTGATGGACAAACCAGCCAGCCTGATTTTGTTGTTGTTCCATAGTATAATAATGTTATTGTAGATACTGTTCTGAGCAAAGTAGGAGTTTTATCATCAAATGAGTTTTGTCTGTAAATAATCAGTTTAGATCCCAGATGACTTTATTACAGAGCAAAATTCTTACACGGTAATTCAATAAACTTTAATATACAACACAGAAGAAGGCTCGAGCTTCCAGTTCCTTAATGATGTGGGAGGTCTGATTGCCTTTAAAAAAAAAACAACTGGCTCTGCTCCTGTGCTTTTAACGGGATACATAAATTTAGAAACTGCAATTTTCCTAGCCTGTGTATTCTGCTGTGGAAAACCTCACCAGCTTAATTTCTGTGCCACAATGCTGTTAAAAAGCAGAGGATCAAAGCTAGTGGTGTGGGTGGGTGGGTGGGTGTGTGTGGGTGGGTGTGAGAGAGAGAGAGAGAGAGAGAGAGAGAAACATATTGTGGGAGGTCACCAGCCAAGTTGTGGGCCTGGAAAAACTCTTGCTTTCACTTAACTAGTCCTATTAAGAACAGAAAAGCCCTGCTTAGCCTCCTGTTCTCTTAGCAAAGAGAGCCAGTGTGGTGTAGTAGTTAAGTGCGGTAGACTCGTAGTCTGGTGAACTGGGTTCACTTCCCCGCTCCTCCACATGCAGCTGCTGGGTGACCTTGGGCCAGACACACTTCTCTGAAGTCTCTCAGCCCCACTCACCTCACAGAGTGTTTGTTGTGGGGGAGGAAGGGAAAGGAGAATGTTAGCCGCTTTGAGACTCCTTAAAGGGAGTGAAAGGCGGGATATCAAATCCAAACTCCACTTAGCAGCTAACCGGATGCCTGTTAGAAGCCAGCAAGCAGGACCCAAACTCACAACAACCACTCTTCCCACTTGCGATTCCCAGCAATTGGTATTGAGAGGACAACCATCTCCTGGCAGTGTCAGCATGGCCAACTTGGATGGCTTTTAAGAGAGGGTTAGACACATGTATTGAGGATAAGGCTATCATGTATTGAGGATAAGGCTAGCCATGTAATTACTACCTATACTGCTGAAAGCAGATGAACTTCAGCTGCTGGGAATCACAAGTGGGGAAGGTGGTTTTGTGTTGCGATCCTCCTAGGCATCTGGCAGGTCTGTGTGAGAAGAGGCTGCTGGACTTTAGAAGGGCCACTGGGCTACTCCAGCAGGGCTTTTATGATGTTCTCACATGCGGTGACATGGTCAGTGGGTTGGCCAAGGGGCTGGGAGAGACCAGGGTTCAAATCCCCACTCTGCCACAAATTTGACTTAATCCTCTTATAAAGCCATTCTGCTAGATGGACCAATTGTCTGACTTGATATTAAGACAGCTTCCTATGTATCCATCTATTATTATTACATCTATTATTACCATCCACACTTTGGTTTGTCCTGTGTGGTTTCTAATCAGGTGTCTGAGAGGGGTTTTTTCTTTTATGCTTTCCCTGGGATAACCCACTGTTTACTGCTGAATTGGAACCAAGATCAATAGGGTTTTCAGCAAATAGACGTTTGTTCCAATTCAGCAGCAAACCGTGGATTTTCCCGAGGAAAGCAGGGGGACCAAAAAACCCAAACAAACCACTCCAACCCCTGACTAGAAATCACGGGACAAAGTGAAGTGCGGATGGTCCCTTAGGTCCCAGGGCAGGGTCCAGAAAATGGAAACACAACCTGAACACCATGGGCATAGCTTTTTCTGGGAGATGCCCCCCCCCCGGCAAGTTGTGGAGCTCAGGTTTGGGGGGGGGAGATCACGGGTCAAATTCCCGCCCCCCCAAAAGAGGACATCATGGGGGGCAAGCTTTTGTCACACTCAGTTAATTATTTTATTTTTTATTTTTTAATAAACTTTCTTACATTTTCAGAATTTACAAAGAACAAATAAAAAGAATAATTTTATCCTCAACTACATATTCTAAGGTAAAAACAGGTGTTACAAAATACATGGTATAAGATGTAAGATAAACAGAGTAACATTAAAAAAGGGGAAAAAAGGAAGGGGGGGAAAACCAAACCAATAGTTGCATATTCTGTACACAAAGTCCTTCCAACTGGTTTGAGTCCCTCATGAGTTGGTTGAGTTCCATCTATCTCTTCGCGGTTTTGATTCGACTATTACAATTAAATAATCTGTGTTTTATTGTTTTTATCCAAACAATAGGAAGAATTTACCCCCCTTTTCTGTGAAATTAATCTAAACACAGCCAAGTGTTGTTATTGGAACCGTATTTATTCAGATAATTTTGGAAGCATCCCCATTCTTTTTTGACCTTATCTACCGAGTAGTAATTATTTTTAATGCTTTTCAATGATTTTTGAGGATTTGAGGGGGTAGCTGACTACGCCCCTGATTAACACGGTGTTACACGGTATTAAAAACGAATTTCAAATGAAGGCGTGTGGACTGAAGAGTCGGCTTCCCGCGCGCCGACGCACCCCGGGGTTTCCCGCGTGTTTTACAAAGCCGCCTCGAGGCCCCGCTCGGCTCTGGCTGCGGCTTCGCACTGCAGAGAAAGCGGCGCCCGGGAGGGCGGCTCCCTTCTCGCCGCGCGGCAGCCATTGCAGGCGGCGCCTCCTCCCTCGGGGCGAGGCGGAGCGGAGGAAGGAGGCTCGGCCGCCTTTCCCCCGGGGCCTTGAGGAAAGCCCTGGGAAGCGGCCTCCCCGGGGCGGAGCGCCGCCGCCGACGGGACTCGCAACTCCCGCCTCTCGCTCCGAGATGGCCGGCCGCTTCTCTCCGAGCCGGGGCCGGGCGTAGCGCGGGCGGGTAAGCGGCCCAAGCGGGGAAGGAGGGAGGGTTTTCGGGGAGATGCCGGGCGGCCACGACCCATCTTGGCGTTCAAGGGAGCAATGCATGGCGCAGGGGAGGGGTCGAAGCGGGTTTTAATCCGGATCCGCTCGCCGCGCCGGATGCAGCGGGGAGGGAATGTTGCAGCTGCGAATCGGTCCAGGCGTCGGTGCAGCGGGAGCCTCTCCTTCTGCATCGCGGACAGAGGCGTCTCTTGCCGGCCCCAGATCAGCTTCCCCCTTGTCCTCCCTGCGAAAGCTTGGGGTTAATCCATTTCGAAGGTCCTTCCCCTGAGCTCCGGTGGGTGCGTGATCTGGTAGTAGTAATGGGCCGGTTAGGGCCGCTGCACTCTGCACATGTTCAGAAGTGCGCTCGACACCCAGGGCTGAGCGCGGGTCTTGAGCTCCAGCACCCCTGAGCTTGTTTCACTGACTCTTTGGAGCCCTGTGCTTCTGGTTCAGGAGGCTTGAGGTATAGGTGCCAACTCCCTGGGTGCCCAAGCACCGCTGCCAGATTTACGTATAAGCTAAACTACGCATAGTTTAGGGCCCCACTCTCTTGGCCCCCCCCAAAAAAATTCACTATTAATATACTTCTTCTTAATTGTATTTCAGTTCAACAATTACTTTGATAAAATACATATTTTGTTATGCGCAAATGGCTTTAGATACCTATCAGGTCCATAAATTTCCATATAGCATATATTCAACACAAAAACCAGTGACAATATGTTGTTGACAAAGGACAGCTGGGCATCTAAAGGGCCCCATTACCTTCAGTAGCTTAGGGCCTCATCAAACCTAAATCCGGCCTTGCCAAGCACCCACAAAATTTCCCATCAAGGGGCCAGGCACCCACAAATTTCGGCACCAGGACCATGCACACTGCATGGCACCCACAGTCGTGGGACCAAGGTGGCACTCCTGGATATGGGGCAGGGCCGTGTTCCTGGTGGTAGTGGGATTGACAGATGACCACAGGGGTGCCAACTTGAATAAAATATGGGGGGGGGGAGGTAAGCCCCACCCTGCATAATCGATCGCATGATGGGGCACACCCACACTATTTGAACGGCAATGCGCATCAACTTGGGGGAGGCAAATTTTATTGGGGTGGGAAGAAGGATGGCGATTTGTCAGGGATGCTTTAGCTGAGATTCCTGCATTGCAAGGGGCTGGACTAGATGACTCTTGGGGTCCCTTCAAACTCTTATGATTCTATGAAGGGACCCTGGCCCCTTGGAGTTGGCTCCTATGGATGACCGTGTTTGCCCCCCTCTGTCCCTGAGAAGCCGTGGTATGGCTGAAGTGGGGAAAGAGAGAGAAGGGGGAACATAGCAGGGAGGAACTCTGTACATGGCTAGGAGCACTTTGACCAATTGCTACAACTGGCAGAAAAATCATAAAGTGGCCCACCAAGACCCTCAGCAGTTTTAAAGAGCTCCTGGGAAAACACTGTGGTAGAGAGAATCTGGTCAGTGGTCCAGTGGGTCTCATGCGACAGGTAAAGGTGCTTAACCTCCCCCCTGTTCTCTTATCACCAACCTGAAGCTCAATGCACCCCTCAGTCCATGCAGGGGACGTGGGTGGCGTTGTGGTTTAAACCACTGCTGATCAGAAGGTTGGTGGTTCGAATCCCCTCAACGGGGTGAGCTCCCGTTGCTCTGTCCCAGCTTCTGCCAACCTAGCACTTCGAAAGCACACCAGTGCAAGTAGATAAATAGGTACCACTGTGACGGGAAAATAAACAGCTTTTCTGTGTGCTCTGGCACTCGTCACGGTGTCCCATTGCGCCAGAAGCGGTTTAGTCGTGCTGGCCACGTGACCTGGAAAGCTGTCTGTGGACAAACACCGGAAAGCGAGATGAGCGCCGCAACCCCAGAGTCACCTTTGACTGGACTTAACCGTCCAGGGGTCCTTTACCTTTACCTTACCATACAGGGGAAGCCTTTGCATGTGGACAGAGGGAGGACGGACGGAGATGGGCTTCTACATCAGCTCCCTCTCCCGAGCGCCCTACGGCAATGGGGCACCGCCAGAGTCCTCGCGCCCCACTGCCAAGCGCTACCAGGCGGCGCCCAGCTACAACTACAGGTGGACGGAGCTGCACTACGAGGCCAGCCGTGGCAACGTGGAGAAGCTGAAACAACTCCTGCTGACCTCAAGTGTGTGTCCTATATAATGTTTCCAGGTTTCACACAGGGCTAAAAATGGAGCAAACCAGACTTTGGGAAGGAGAGGGGCCTGTGCGGTGTTTATTCCCCGCACTCAAACTCCATAAAAATATTGTGCGCAGGCAATACAAATGGTGTACTATACCAAAAAAGAGGGACCGTGGGCAAGGGGTGGCTGTAGTCCACTCCTAATCCATAGTCCATTATGTATGGCATAGAGAAAGCCAGAGAAAAGTTGTGCTTCCTCTCTCCTAACCCTGGGAACTCGTGAAGCTGAATGTTGGAAGATTTGGGATGAACGAAAGAATGCCCTTCCACAGTTATACTGTGGAACTCACTGCACCATGAAGCAGCATGGCCACCGACTTGGGTGGCTTTAAAAGAGGATTAGATGAAAGTCACGGAGGGGAGGGCTATCGAGGGCAACTGGCCGCAATGGCTAGACCAGGGGTCAGCAACCTTTTTCAGCTGTGGGTCGGTCCAGCATCCCTCAGACCATGTGGTGGGCCGGACTATATTTTTTTGGGGGGAAATGAACGAATTCCTATGCCCCACAAATAACCCAGAGATGCATTTTAAATAAAAGGACACATCCTACTCGTGTAAAAACACGCTGATTCTTGGACTGTCCGTAGGCTGGATTGAGAAGGCGATTGGGCCGCATCCAGCCCACGAGCCTTATTATTTTTATTTATTTATTTATTTATGCCCCACCCATCTGGCTGGGTTTCCCCAGCCACTGTGGGCGGCTTCCAACAAAACACTAAAATAGTGGGCTGGACTCTACCTCCCCAGCGATGCTTCCGGGTACCAGTTGCTGGAAACCACAGGTGGGGAGAGGGCTCTTGTGCTTGGGGGGCATCTGTGAGAACAAGATGCTGGACTAGTTGGGCCACTGGCCCGATCCGGCCGGCTTTTCTTAAGTCCTCAGTTTGTTTCCATGTTGCACTGTTTTTCTGGAAGGTGCTCATCTCCCCTTTGGTTTCAGGCAGGGAGCTGGTGGACAGGAAAGATTATTACGGCAAGACGGCCCTCTACTGGGCGGCCTACAAGGGGCAGAGGCATTCGGTGGAGCTGCTCTTGCAGCACGGCGCCAACGTCAACACCTGCTGCAAACACGGGGGGACCCCTCTCCACGCGGCCGTCGGCCTCTTCCCCGACTGCACCCTGCTGCTGATCCAGGTAATGTTGTCAGAGGTGCCGCTCCTTATCATCCCGTCCTGCAGCAATTGGTGTTCGCCAGTGCGATGTAGTGGTTAAGAGCGGTGGACTCGTAATCTGGTGAACCGGGTTCGGTTCCCCGCTCCTCCACCTGCAGCTGCTGGGTGACCTTGGGCCAGTCACACTTCTCTGAAGTCTCTCAGCCCCACTCACCTCACAGAGTGTTTGTTGTGGGGGAGGAAGGGAAAGGAGATTGTTAGCCGCTTTGAGACTCCTTAAAGGGAGTGAAAGGCGGGATATCAAATCCAAACTCCTCCTCTTCCCTCCATGGAAGCCTTAGGGCAAGGGCCATCGTCCAGGGGTTAAGCCCCTGCCTTGCATGCAGAAGGCCCCAGGTTCAATCCTGGCATCTCTTAAGGTGGGATGAGAGAACCTCCTTATCTGGAAAGCTGCTGCTGCCAGCCAGTGCTGGTGACGCTGAGGTAGGTGGGCCAATGGTGTAAGGCAGATTTCTCTGCTCCTAATCCGCATCCCTGCTGCTAGGATCCAGAGGGGCATGGTGGCCTGTTGACAGGAATAATAATAATAATAATAATAATAATAATAATAATAATAATAATAAATAAATAGTTAATTATCTGTGTATTGATTGTGGTCTGACTTCATTTACTTATTCAGAGGTTTCTCTGCACAAGGCATTTCATTATTTTGTTTTTAAAAAATTATTAGTTTTACATTTTGATTTTACATTCAAACATAAAATACCACCATAAAAAAATAATTCTCTGACTTCCTTCCTCCCCTCCGTGGAGTCCACAGATAGTCACTTTCCACTGTGTATCATATCGTCATCTGTCTCTCCAATATACTCAATATTAACTGTTCTTTTTCACATTGCAAGTGTTATTGCAGTTCCTAATATTTTTAACTGTTTACAGTTTTCTCTCAGATAAGCTACAAATTTCCCTCAGTCTTTATTGACATTTTTATCATCCTGGTTTCTGATTTCCCCAGTCGTTTTAACCATTTCGGCATAGTCCATCAGTTTTGTTATCCATTCCTCTCTTGTATAGGGATCTTCTCTTCCTAAGAGTATCCAGGCTGCCGTTGTTGCGTACATAAACAGCTTTCCCCCCCCCCCCTTGGTATTTTTTGCTCCACGAGGCATTTTAAGGCAGCTTCCTCCATTCCTAGCTGCCATTCCTGAGAGTGGCAGGAGGAAGGGAGGGCAAATTCAATCACTGCAGGAAATTATTTACACAGAAGCCGTTCTGTTTGGCCTGTGGTGGGTGGAGGGGGAATCAGGTACCTGTTGCATCCGATTTGGCCCTAAAGATGCCCAGGATGGACTTCTGGACTTTGCTCACACCATATGGCTTCAGCAAGCCAGGACATGGTGGGGGGTGAGGTCTGTGGTGCTAATGACGTCTTGTTTCTCCTCAGCACGGCGCAGATGTGAATCTGAAGGACAACTGGGGAGTGACCCCTATGTACCTGGCTGCTTGCAGTGGACAGACAGAGTGCATCCGGTTGCTGGTGCAGGCAGGGGCCTGCATCTGCTACAGAAACAAGGTAGCCCATTACTAAAGACCAGGGGTCAGCAAACTTTTTCAGCAGGGGGCCAGTCCACTGTTCCTCAGACCTTGTGGGGGGCCAGACTATATTTTGGAAGAAAAAAACCTGAATTCCTATGCCCCACAAATAACCCAGAGATGCATTTTAAATAAAAGCACGCATTCTACTCATGTAAAAACACCAGGCAGGCCCCACAAATAACCCAGAGATGCATTTTAAATAAAAGGATACATTCTACTCATGTAAAAACACGCTGATTCCCAGACCATCCGCGGGCCGGACTGAGAAGGCGATTGGGCCGGATCTGGCCCCCAGGCCTTAGTTTGCCTACCCATGCTAAAGACTGTGGGAATGTCCAGGGAGGCAGAAGAGGACATATTGTTTATTAATTTCCTTCCTAACTTGCGCTAGCAAGTTCCTTTACTTAGCAGAGTTTCACATTCCCCTTTTAAATGCACGGCAGGTAGCTGGCTGCAGGCTTGTGTAAGCCTCCCACTGTTGGGTTCCTGGTAAGTTCCCTTATATCCCTCTTAAAAGAATGAACACGCCACAATCTTGTGTAAAGTATATGAAAGTAGCTTACTCACATTCTGTTTACAGTTGGATCCCTGAAGGCAGACTTAGTTACAAAGTATATACATGTGAAGGTATCCCCTATGGGGATAATCTCAGTGTCCTCCATTGGCTGGAAGCCAACAGAACATCTCTAGCTACAAGTTGCTCCAACGGCAGAGGAAGTCAAAAAGAGAGTGCTACGTGCCTTGTCCTTTTTGTTACCTGGACAGGTAAGGTCACACCCACCTCTAGTCACATGCAAAGGAAGTATGTCCCAGCCAGGAGGAAACAGGAAGTTTTCAACTGGCTGGACCAAACATTCCCCCGCATGTCCACTCTAGGAAAACAAGGAAGGTTGCACTTGACTGCTACGTACGTATCACATCCCGCAAAGACCAGCGTAGGGAGTCCCCAAAATTGGTCTTCCCACACATAGAGAGCTGCCTGCTAGGGCCGCCCAACTTTTCATACCAAGTGGGCTGCAAGAGTCCTACGACGCAGAGCACAAACCAAGTTCAGTTTCTGTATTGGAAATTAAAGTCATCGCAACTTATTGTAGAATCATAGAATCCTAGAGTTACATATATTTTTAATTAAATTTTCTAAATTACATTTCAAAATGTTCATTTCAACAGTCTTCAATCAATGACCTCCCTTCTTCTCCTTCCGCAGTTCATTTTGCATACCCTACATCCCTACATCTTTTACATGAACTAAACCATTCAGTAATCCATTGTTACATCCATCAAAATTTATTTACACTGTTGAATTTATCTTTATGCTACCAGGGTTTTTAAATGTACACAATTTTCACCCATATAGTCAGTAAACATTTTCCAGTCTTCTTTCAATGTGCATTCTTCTTGTTCTCTTATTCTATATGTTAAGTCTTCAAGCCGTGCGTATTCCATCAGTTTAAGTTGCTATTCTTCTTTGGTTGGGACCTCGCTTGTTTTCCAATTTTATAGAATCTTAGAGTTGGAAGGGAACCCAAGGGTCATCTAGCCCAACCCCCTGCGGTGCAGGAATCTCGGCAAAATCATCCACGACAGTCAGCCATCCATTAGTATTATTTGATATATACAATTAATATAAATGTATAGAATTAAATGCACAATTAATAGATTAAATATATCTAATTATTAAACAAATTTAATACACAAAGAGATGTGTGCATTTCGTTAACAGTGCATGGCAGAAACGTATGTTTTTAAGGCTTTAAGATGTTTTCTCTTGAATGTTGCTGAGGGCTGTTGAAAAATGGCCTTTCAGGCTGCATGGGGCCTGTGGGCTGCAAGCTGGCTCATCTAACTCAATATTGCCCACTCTGTCTGGCAGCAGCTCTATAGAGTTGTTGTCAGTGTTCTCTCCCAACCCTACCTAGAGATTACAGAGTCACAATAAAGTCCTCTTCAGTACTTTTCCCAGCAACAATAAATATTATTAGTAAGTAGTATAGGTGATGGCTAATAATAATAATAATAATAGTAAAGGTAAAGGGACCCCTGACCATTAGGTCCAGTCGTGGCCGACTCTGGGGTTGCGGTGCTCATCTTGCTTTATTGGCCGAGGGAGCCGGCGCACAGCTTCCGGGTCATGTGGCCAGCATGACTAAGCCGCTTCTGGCGAACCAGAGCAGTGCACGGAAGCGCTGTTTACCTTCCCGCCGGAGCGGTACCTATTTATCTACTTGCACGTTGACATGCTTTCGAACTGCTAGGTTGGCAGGAACTGGGACCGAGCAATGGCAGTTCAGCCTGTCGCGGGGATTTGAACCGCCGGCCTTCTGATCAGCAAGCCCAAGAGGCTTAGTGGTTTAGATAGACTACAGCGCCACCCACATCCAATAATAATAATAATAATTATAATAATTATAATAATATCTAATACCAAGTGGCAAAGATCCTCCGTTTCCCAGGTTAGCTTCACTGCTACACTGCCTTTCTTCCACCTGACCTCTCGCCACCCAAACCGAAGAATTGCCCGTGTGCCAGCCCAACTCAGAGTAGACCCTTTGGTGTTAAGGAACAGGGCTAACTCACTAATTTCAGTGCGCCTCCTCCAAATAGGCCTTTGGGAACGCAGCCCGAAACGCTGTTTTTTCTCTCTTTTCCGGCTGCAGAAAACAGGAGCCCCTCCCAAGCGCCTCGTCTCGCAGCCGGCGTTGATGTCCTGGATGGATTCCTGCCGCCAGCAGCCCCTTTCCCTCAAGCACCTCAGCCGCCTCTCCATCCGGACTGCCCTGGGTCACAGGAGACTCCAAGCCATCAAGGACTTCAACCTTCCTCCGCTGCTGAAGCAATACCTTATGTTTGAAGACCTGGCTCTGCTCGACGGGTTGTAGCCACGCGGGCGCAGAATCGGCTCCTCTTGGCTGGCGCTGTTTCTCTGCCGCGGGAGGGCCTGCCGGCGCCTTTTCCGTGCCCGGCATATGTCGCCTTTGTCTTTCGACTGGGGTGCCGGCGTCGCCATCACACATGGAAGTCGGGCTCTCCAAGAAGGAGACGAGGGGCCGAGATTACAACTTTTTTAGTTTAGGAGGGAGAGGCGAGTGAAGGGAACATGCTAGAAAGGCGCATAAAGCAATGTGTGGCGCAGATAAAGAGAACAAAGACGTTTTTTCTCGCACAAGGACCCGGTCGTACAAGGAAGTTCAGTGCTGGGAGACTCCTTTGCACGGCACATTGTTAAAACGATGGGGTTTGCTGCCAGAAGATGCTGCGACGATCACCAAACTGGGTGGCTATGAGAGGGGTTTAGGTCACTTCGCGGAGGGTAAGGTTGTCAATGATCACATGGGATCAGAGGCACGATTCCTCCGACTAGTGGGAGGATGTGTGTTGCGTTCATGTCCTACTTGCAATTCCCAGGGGCAACTAGATGGTCACTTTCTGAAAGCGGTTTTTAGCCTAGATGGGTTCGATCTGGGGTGTGTGTCTTATGGTCTTGCGAGTCACTTCCTTCCTTATTGGCACCCCTTCATCTCTTCTGCTTGTCACCTGGATGTCTTGGCATTTCGATGGCCGAATTGCCTTCCTGGATCAGACCTCTTGTTCCTGACAAAACCTGATATTGCTGGGGAGCTTGTAAACTAGGGGCAGGGGGGAGCCTTTTTGGCACAGTAAGTAGGCCAGATCTTTTATCTCTCCACATCCTGACGAGGTGGGCTGCCTGTCAATCATCTGACATTGTGATGACTGACAGGGGGTTGGTCCCACCCACCTGTCAAATGTTGACCTACCTGCGGTGGTGATGGAGTAGTCCGATTCAAAGCAGCATCAAGCAGGATTGAACTCTCTGCTCACCAGCTGATGAGCAGAGGGTCCAATCCTGCACTCTAGGGAAGCGGCACCCAGCAGGACTCAACCCTACTCCCCTGCCTATCAGGTGATGTCATCCGGTGACATCAGCTGATGGACAGGTGGACATGGTTGTGGTGAAATGGCCTTGTGGGGCTACTTGAACCCTTGGTTGGGTGTCCAGGGGGGTGGAGGTTCCTTACCCCTTTTGTAAGCAGTGCTTGAAGGTGATTCCTTACCTTCTCCTGCTGCTTGCCCCTGTTATCTCTAGCTGACTCCACGTGCATTTTGGATCAAGGGAAAACAGGCTTCAAGCATGCAGGACCTACTTTAAGAACAAAACAAACCAGATCCACAAACCAGAGCCAGGTGCGAAAAGACACACTGTTAGTATTAGAGAATTCCAAGCCTACGAATTTGTTTCAAGTACCACAGAACTGAAATGGGCTCATAGTTCTTCCATACAAAAAAAACCCCACCCAATAAAGCAAAGCTACTCCTTTGCCCCCTCCCTCAACCCCCACTGTTAATCAGTGGGGAGTAAGAAATTCTTGTAAGAAATCACCCAGAGATCTTTGGTCCAGGATAGTAAGAAGTGTTAGCCTGGAAATTTCCCAGCCATTTCCATAGGATAACTTAATCCAATAAGCTAAAATCTAACATGGGTGGATTAGCTTTGGCTCGTAACCAAGAGGAAGGCATACCATATGGTATCTGTAATGTCCTCTGAGCTGTACTTGAATTTAGACACTACTTCTCTATTACCCCTAAGATGAGAAGGTGTAACTTGATGGGCTTTCTTCAGTTCATCTTCTCCAGTGTGCAGTTTTCAGAAGAAGGGTTGGTGGTCACGTCCCAGTTCTGGAAGAACTTGAGAAACTCTTCCACTTACGCCACCAGAGAAGCAGCAATATAATCCATTACATTTGCTCCTTTGTAAGAAAAGTGAATTCTCCCCTCTCATCTCCTCTTGTTTTTTGTATTCAAAAATTTTATTGGTTTTCACAATATTATAAACAAACACACACACAAGACAAACAAACATAAATCATAGCCTTATTGAAAATTACACTTATTAACTTTGTTAAGTGACTTCCTCACTTCCCCTTGGTTGAATTTCATTGCATGTCCTTTTAACGGTTTTCCAAATCCCAATTCTTATGAAATTTAACTTAAACATTAACATCCTTAAATCTTCACCTTATGGAATTAAACATATTCTCTCATCCCCTCTTGTACAACCATTCAACATACGAAGTTTATCTTTGACTAATAAAGTGACCAGAACCTCTCAGGACTTGATCTGGGAGTCCTTGGAATTCCTGATCACTCCAGTTTAAATGTTCACTTCTTTTCCCACCAATTCTGGCATTAAAATCCTCTGCAAAGCACTAGGGTTTCTAGGAACCTCTTGCCCCAATTGCTACAAAAAATTCTCCACGTTCGGCCATATGTCCCAGTCGGCAAAGGGTGATGAAGTTAGGTTGGATATGCGCCTTGATTACAAGAAAAGCTATAATTTGATACCTTAACTGTCCAAACTACTGCATAACTATCCACTTTCTCAAGCTGCAAGATTCTTGTTCTAACTGATGTTGAGATTAATAAAGCTAATTCATCACTGGGATGACCTCTTTTTTCTTTCTTGACCCTGCCAGCACTGAAACAGTGTTGTATCTGGAGAAATCAGTTTGTATCTCAGCAGCTTAGACCTCCTCTTTCTCTTCACCTGTTCCTTTTGCTTGTATGTTGGCATCTGTCTGTCTTGGGAGACAATGGAGGAATGCACCTTGGGGGGTGAGGTCAAGCTGTTGGAAAGTTGTAGCACCTGTTGTGGCTGTAGAGACCAAAGCGGGAGAGACATGTTTTGTTTCAGCTGGGGCAGATGAAGGTGTCCAGTTTTCCTGTTGTTACAGGGGCACCATGGTGTTTCTTTTCTCTGTGCTCCTCCCAGAGGTCATTTCTCTTCTTGTCACTGCTGTGGATACATGACTTAAGTGTCTGTCTCCATGATAATACCTTACTTTGATCTTCTCTTAGCCTCATCTGCTGCTGAAGGTGAGAATGTAATGCACATTGTAGTTCCCTATGGAAAATGCAGTTTAAAAAACTTTTATATCAAAGGCTTACCACAACTGTTGTTAGGTTTTTGTTTTTGTTGGTATTTGCTTTTTCCCGTAGCCAAGTAAGATTGTCTCCCATAAACACGGTCTTAACAGTGAGTCCGTAAGTGACAGTGGAGACCACAGTGGGGACATCAGTTTCCAGGCGGGAGTTGATCACGGTGAGAATTTGCCAAGCGTGCCTTCCTCTTAGCACATTTCTCCCTTGCGTCCTGAGTTCGAGTGTCTTCAAAGCCCATGACACCATTGGTAAAGGCTGTTCTCCAACTGGAGTGCTCGCAGGCCAGTGTTTCCCAGTTGTCGGTGTTTATGCTACATTTTTTTAGATTTGCCTCGGGAGAGTCTTTAAACCTCTTTTGTTGACCACCAGCATTACTACGCTACTATCAAGCTACAATAGCCAAAGCTTTGGGGGCTATTAACCTTTAAAGTAGCCTGGGAAAATGAAAAGGTCAGAAAGGCCACAATGTGATGGATTGGCAGGTGAGCCTTTCTCAAGAAGGCATTCTACAAGCAGGGGACCACAATGAAATCTAGTGGCTAAGAGACTGTGCTACAAATCAGGAAGACTCTCATTTGAATCGTGCCTTTTCCATGCTAGGTGGGCTTAGATAATCTGTCACAGAAGACAAGCATGCTGCTGCTCCCCTTGTCTGGAGCATGGTTTCATTAAACAACACAGTGGAGTAGCCCTTTTTTTGATGGGGGGGATTAGTAATCATTTGACTAGACTGGGGTGGGGAATTATTTTCAGTCTCAGGGCCAAATTCCTACCTCTGAACGTGATGAACATGCTAACCACCTGAATTTTTAAAATAAATATTTTTTCAATTTTTTTTTTTTTAAATTTTAAATTTTAAAAAAATGAAAATCAGCATTGGATTTTAAGCCAGGTTTTGGGTGTTGTCATTAGAAGAATGAAAGTAAGAGGAAGCAAGAGTTCTCCCTGCAGCAGGGAAAAACATGGAGCGGCTTCTTTTAGTAGGCATGTCTGAATGCACCCCGAGAGTTCACAAGCGCAGTTGCTGAGGCCGTTTCTTTAAAAAACAACACTGCCTTGACATCACTGTTTTGCCGTCAGAGTTAATAGTTGTCTTGGTTCTTAATTTTCAAGGCAGAAGAGTCCTGGGTCTGGCACAATGTAGGACCCTTTGCTAGAGGACGGTTTGTATGTATATTTCAAACAATGGAGAGTCTTGTGAAGAGTTTGGATTTGATATCCCGCTTTATCACTACCCGAAGGAGTCTCAAAGCGGCTAACATTCTCCTTTCCCTTCCTCCCCCACAACAAACACTCTGTGAGGTGAGTGGGGCTGAGAGACTTCAAAGAAGTGTGACTGGCCCAAGGTCACTCAGCAGCTGCATGTGGAGGAGCAGGGAATCGAACCCGGTTCACCAGATTACAAGTCCACTGCTCTTAACCACTACACCACACTGGCAAATGTATTATTGTGCGATCATCAGATGCAGCAGGCATGTATACACATAGCTTGGGAATGGGCTGAAGTAAAGTGAGGCTGGAGGGAAACAAAATGCAAAAAGGACACTGGCAAATTGCATAAAAGCAACGGCAAGTGACGAGGCCGTGTTGGTGACAGCGCAAGTATCATGGCACTGGTAAGCCTAGGAATTCAGGCGCAAGTTCTCCTGAGTTCATGAGGGCTTACTCCTAAGGTTGATCTTGGCTGAATTGCTGAGATCGTCCGCAGGAGCCTTGTTTTTCATTCCCCGAGTTGGCGAGGCTCATTTAACAACAACAAGAAACTGAGACTTTCGTGGCATTGGCCCAGTCCTGTGGAACACCCTGCCAATTGAGATTCAGCAGGCTCCTTCTGTGCTAACTTCTAAGTGCCTCCTGGAAACATTTCTATTCTGCCAGGTCTAGGCAGGCAATTAAGAACACATCTTTCCATAACAGCTGATTTCTGTTTTTAAATGGTTTTTTATTATATGGTTTCTGTTGCTGTAAGCCTTTTTTGTGTGTGTGACAGCGGTATACGAATACTTTTATAAATAAACAAGGTAGCATGTATTGGTAATCTATAATTTCATTCATATACGGTGGTACCTCGGGTTACATACGCTTCAGGTTACAGACTCCGCTAACCCAAAAATAGTACCTCGGGTTGAGAACTTTGCTTCAGGATGAGAGCAGAAAACATGCTCTGGCGGCACGGTGGCAGCGGGAGGCCCCATTAGCTAAAGTGGTGCTTCAGGTTAGGAACAGACCTCCAGAAAGAATTAAGTTCTTAACCCGAGGTACCACTCTGTGTGTGTGTGTGTATGAATGATTGGTATGCTTATTAACACACAGCCAAAGTGGTGCTTCAGGTTAAGAACAGACCTCCAGAACGAATTAAGTTCTTAACCCGAGGTACCACTCTGTGTGTGTGTGTGTGTGTGTGTGAGAGAGAGAGAGAGAGAGAGAGAGAGAGAGAGAGAGAGAGAGAATGATTGCTATGCTTATTAACACACAGCCCTCTGCCTGCCCTGTGCTCAGGCATAAGTCTTTCCGAGTTCAGCGGGACTTATTCTTGTAGGTATAGGTCTGCATTTTGCACAATGCAAAAGTTTGCATTTCCATCTCTGCAATCGGTCACTGCTGATCTATAAATATACACCCTGGAGATTCCGGGTTTTGCTGGGCAGAGATGGAGCCAGGAAAGTATTAGAGAGCATAGCAGGAAGCTATTCCAACAGGTGTAGGGTTGAAAAGGGATGGTAAAATGAGACCCTCCCAGCTGTCCCGGGGCCCGTGAACTGTTTCGAAGCACCGTGTGTTTCCACAGACTTCAGTGCGATCCAATCCCGACCCTCTATCATCACCACAGCTATGCTGGGGGACTTGGGACGCCCCCCCTCCCTCCGCCTCCTTTCCAGCAACAGGGACTAAAAAGGGAAGCAGTGGGAGCTGGTTGGTCAAGTCTCCCCAGAGCTCAGAAGCCTGCAAGCTGCCTTTCCCCGGGCGAGTCCGGAACGATTTGGGCTGCTTAAGTCCTGAACCGCAACGAAGGTAAGTTTCATGCATTTTTAGGTAGGGATTATATACGCAAGTCACTGTTGTTTGGCTCTGTAACTTTGCAAAGGGCACAGAAAGTAGGGCGAGGAAGTCCTGTGAGTGTTCAGAAACTCCCAGCTTGGGCACTGCTCTTGATCTCCAGACTCTTATATCGCTAGCCAATGAAACTTTTAGATTGAATTGTAGAGTTGGAAGGGACCCTGAGAGTCATCTAGTCCAACCCCTGGGGATGCAGGAATCACAGCTAAAGCATCCATGACGGCCATCCAACCGCTGCATAAAAACCTCCAAGGAAGGAGAGTCCACAGACCTCCCACTGTCGAACAGCTCTTACTGTCAGAAAGTTCTTCCTGATGTTTGAATACAGTGGTACCTTGGGTTACAGACGCTTCAGGTTACAGACTCCGCTAACCTGGAAACAGTACCTCGGGTTAAGAACTTTGCTTCAGGATGAGAACAGAAATCGTGCGGCGGCGGTGCGGCAGCAGTGGGAGGCTCCATTAGCTAAAGTGGTACTTCAGGTTAATAACAGTTTCAGGTTAAGAACAGACCTCTGGAATGAATTAAGTACTTAACCCAAGGTACCACTGTACTAGGGACACGGGTGGTGCTGTGGGTTTAAACCACAGAGCCTAGGACTTGCCGATCAAAAGGTCGGCAGTTCGAATCCCCACAACGGGGTCAGCTCCCATTGCTCGGTCTCAGCTCCTGCCAACCTAGCAGTTTGAAATCACGTCAAAGTGCAAGTAGATAAATAGGTACCACTCCGGCGGGAAGGTAAACAGTGTTTCCGTGCGCTGCTCTGGTTCGCCAGAAACGGCTTAGTCATGCTGGCCACATGACCTGGAAGCTGGACGCCGGCTCCCTCGGCCAATAAAGTGAGATGAGCGCCACAACCCCAGAGTCGGCCACGACTGGACCTAATGGTCAGGGGTCCCTTTACCTTTACCTTTACCTTTACCACTGTACCTGTCTTGAAAGAAAGGAGCATCCACAAACAAGCAGTGTTGGAAGGGTCAACACTTCCAACAGGTTGGTTTTTTGCAGGGGGGAAAATGCCCACATGACTATTAATGGGCAAACTTTTTAGTTCTGCAGAGCTCTTCATCAAGCTAGATTGTAAGTAAAGCGGGAAAGGGGAGGAGAGGAGGAAGAAAGCTGGCTGGTGGTGGTGTCCGTTTTGTCCCTCATGAACGCGAGGTTGATTTGATTGCTGTGCTACCAGACAGGCTGAACTGGAATAATTCTAACATTCACCTTGGACCAGATCTGTGCTAACATTGCAACTGCTAAAAAGGGTTTTCTACATGACGGGCGCACAGGGCTTCATCCTCCCAAAGGCTCTTGAAGCATTTGAACTGTGCAACTTGAACGTGCGAAACCGTGAACGTGCGAGAACAGCCTCTCCTTTCTGCTCGCCTGGGGAAGGTGATCTGAGAGCTCCCAGCAGAAGGCCAGGCTAGCCTTTCAGCAGGGAAGCCTCTCTGGGCCTTTCCTTCCAATCCTCACTAATCCCATCTGAAAATCCAAGGAAGGGCAGCCAGGAAGCTGAGCACTCAGCCTGGCCTTGGTCCAGCTCAGTGGAGTGCAGAAAGCAGAACGGGCATAGCTGCCAAGCCCAGGCCCACTGCAGCCCCCCTGAAATAATCTCCGCCATGACCCTATCAGAAATGATAGGAATTCTCCTGCCAGGCCAACTCTCAGAATTCAAGGAGGCAGGAGCCCAGGAGGATTGGGAAGTCGTAACAGCTGGGGAAGAGAGAGGGAAGGATGAGGCTCAGTAGTCAGGGACTGCGGAGAGCCACTGCCAGTCAGTGTAGGTAGCAGCTCTGGGCTAGATGGGCCAATGATATAAGGCGGCAGGTACTCCCATCTCCTGCCTTCCTTCCACTTCCAGGTTCTGAACCAGCAAGCTCCTGCTCAGAGCCAACCAAATATTCATCCTCCTCTTGTCCAATACAACCAGTATTTCTATTACGATTACCCAATAAGGTAAAGGTAAAGGGACCCCTGACCATTAGGTCCAGTCGTGACCGACTGGGGTTGTGGCGCTCATCTCGCTTTATTGGCCGAGGGAGCCGGCGTACAGCTTCCGGGTCATGTGGCCAGCATGACTAAGCCGCTTCTGGCAAACCAGAGCAGCGCACGGAAACGCCGTTTACCTTCCTGCCAGAGCAGTACCTATTTATCTACTTGCACTTTAGCGTGCTTTCGAACTGCTAGGTTGGCAGGAGCAGGGACCGAGCAACGGGAGCTCACCCCGTCACGGGGATTCGAACCGCCAACCTTCTGATCGGCAAGTCCTAGGCTCTGTGGTTTAACCCACAGCGCCACCTGCGTCCCCTACGATTACCCAGTAGGCTTGTGTTATTTCTGCCAAATCGTTTTTATTGATTTTTCCAAATGTTAATGAATCAACCGCAAATTGAAACAAATTTAATACCATTTTTCCAAAAATCGGCTTCCCGCAATCCGGTCTCGATGTGCCCATAATTTCCTCTTGTTGCTGCATTTGCCCCCCCCCCCCCCAATTATTTCTAATTTGCATTCCATTCCCTATAATAAACCTTGCATTACATTTTTTTGTTATTTTAACATTATCCTTAAGCATCAGCTATCATTATTATTATTATTTATTTCATTTCTGTACCGCTTTATATTTTAAAGAAAAAACTCAAATTTGTGTACCGCATATTAAAACATCAATAAAACCATCCAGAATCAAACATTTCTGAAGAAAGTCAAATATAGTGTATACAGTCAAAGCAACATAATTAACAGAAAACTAAAATATCATCTTAAAGATTTCTAAATAAAACATTACAAAGAAGGTCAACTACAGAATACATATTTAACATAAACAAAGTTAACCCAAAAAAATCTTAAACATTTCTCCCCCCAAAAAATGCTAAGTGAAGTCAAATATAGAATGCACATTTAAAACAGCATAATTAACAAGAGAAAAGGGACGCGGGTGGCGCTGTGGGTTAAACCACAGAGCCTAGGACTTGCCGATCAGAAGGTCGGCGGCTCGAATCCCCGCGACAGGGTGAGCTCCTGTTGCTCGGTCCCTGCTCCTGCCAACCTAGCAGTTCGAAAGCACGTCAAAGTGCAAGTAGATAAATAGGTACCGCTCCGGCGGGAAGGTAAACGGCGTTTCCGTGCGCTGCTCTGGTTCGCCAGAAGCAGCTTAGTCATGCTGGCCACGTGACCCGGAAGCTGTACGCCGGCTCCCTCGGCCAATAAAGCGAGATGAGCGCCGTAACCCCAGAGTCGGCCACAACTGGACCTAATGCTCAGGGGTCCCTTTACCTTTACCTAAGGAGTCTCCAAGCAGCTGACAATCTCCTTTCCCTTCCTCCCCCACAACAAACACTCTGTGAGCTGAGTGAGGCTGAGAAACCTCAGAGAAGTGTGACTAGCCCAAGGTCACCCAGCAGCTGCATGTGGAGGAGCGGAGACGCGAACCCGGTTCACCAGATTATGAGTCCATTGCTCCTAACCACTACACCACACTGGCTCTCTTCCCCAAATGCACTGTTTAATCAGATGAGCTGCAGCAACAACACAGACCAAGTTAATTGTGTGGGTTCTTTCAGGCCTCTCCTAAACAGATCAAAACTGGCACGTGCATTTCTCAAGACAACACGTCCATTGACTTCAGGTTTTCCTCATGCAATTGGTCCAGATCTTTAAAGCAGGGACAGGGAATCTGTGGTCCTCCAGATGTTCTTGGGCGCCAATTCCCATCATCCCTGATCATTGGCCTTGTTGGGCATCGGAGTCCTACGACTTCTGCAGATTCCCCCTCTCTGTGCTGTGGAACTGCAGAATTCCTCTGAATTATCACCTGACAAAAGTGGTCTTTGCAGTGATGGCTTAAGGCAGAGTTCTGTTCAGTTAGCTTGCAGCTTGAGGAGTAACAGTTGACTCCGGAATAAAAATGTTTCTGCCCTTAGATGTGAAGCCTCTTCAACCCCAGAGAATTCTGAGCATCCTTGAGAGAGCTGCACACCTGCTATGGATGGGTGTGAGTGGCAGGAGGAGGCCTTGGCCTCCTGCGCAGGTGAGTTGGGTGGCAGGCATGCGTCTTGCACCAAGCTGCCTCATTCATTCTGCCCAGACACTGAGGTCCAGTGCCGAGGGCCTTTTGGCTGTTCCCTCGCTGCGAGAAGCCAAGTTACATTGAACCAGGCAGAGGGCCTTCTCGGTAGTGGCGCCCGCCCTGTGGAACACCCTCCCACCAGATGTCAAAGAGAAAAATAACTACCAAACTTTAAGAAGACATCTGAAGGCAGCCCTGTTTAGGGAAGCTTTTAATGTTTAATAGGTTATTGTATTTTAGTGTTTTGTTGGAAGCCACTCAGAGTGGCTGGGGAAACCCAGCCAGATGGGCAGGGTATGTATGTATGTATGTATGTATGTATGTATAAATAAATAAATATTAAATTTCTTTGTGACACTTAGCAACCCTCAAAGGAGGCTGTGGTCCTCACCCTCAAGACACAGCATCCAGCAAAAGGTTATCCAGAAAGCTTTATAGATGAGGGAATATTTCTGGTTGCTAGTGAGATGGACAAATGGATCCAGAAAAGTCAGGGAACATAGACTGTGTGGGAGGGACCCCAATGGTCATCCAGTCCACCCCCCTGTGAATTGCAGCTGAAGAATGCAGGTTGGTCTCCTTTGAGGGTAGCTATCCTGTGGTGCTCTCAGATGTTGTTCGACTCCAACCCCATCATCCCTTGGCACTGGCCAGGCTGACGGGAGAGGAAGTCCAGCAATAACAAGAGGGCCACAGGTGAGCCACTCCACAATGTCCATATCGGCCTTCCCCCAAGACAGACTGTACACAGCTCCTATTGGTCCCAGACACATGACTGCACACCAGCTATTGCCATAGCTGTCAACTTTCAGATTTGAAAATAAGGGATCAGCAGCCTCAAAAATAAGGGATCAGCAGCCTCAAAAATAAGGGATCAGCAGCCTCACCTGTCCCGGGGACAGTCTACGGGATATCTAACAATCCGGGATAGCAGTGGGAAGCAGCGGGAAACGGTGCTGGAATAAGCGAACTTCCTGCAAAAAAAGGGAAGGTTGACAGCTATGGCTATTGCTCCTAGCAAAGGAAAAAGAAGCTGGTCACAATTTTATAAAAACCAGCTTTTCCACCAGCAAAGGAGCCAGCATCACCAAACAGCTGTTGCAAGTTTTCTTCTTGAAATTTTCCCACCCCAAGTTGAACTATTAATTAAAAACTAATCTGTTGCCAGAAAAGTAATTTTCCTTTGGCACCATGCATATCTGGGCTGCTGCCCTATCGGCACCCTATTTTCTCTATTTTTTGGGGGGGGGGAGGTACAGAAATAGCTATTTCTTTGTCTTTCCATAAATCATACCCTGCTTACTGGAATGGGAGAATATAGGTGTAATATATAAGATTGGGATGTTTTCGCCAGATTACATAGTCCGCTATGCCTCTATGAACAGAATTGCAGGGAATCTCTCAAATACTTACCATCAGAGGCTTCACACCTTCCACTGTTCAGCCTTGGAAGATTTATACTATTGGCGTGACCTGCAAAGCCTAAGTCTCTTGGTGTCTTTCATTAACGCCTGTTCATCCTCCCTCCCTTTGTGCAGAAGGTTACTATCCCGTGAGGAAAGGAGAGGTGTTCAATGGAAGGTACCACGTAGCGCAGAATCTCGGGTGCGGCTACTTCTCGACAGTCTGGCTTTGCCAAGACTTGGGGTGAGTAAACAAAAACGGCCTGCTCCTAACTGCAGAAGCCAGTCATGTGGTAGGAACACATTCTGTTGGCTGAGGAAGGGCTGTGTTTTCATCTGGCCTTTCCTCAAGGGAGCTCAGGGCAGAGAACACAAGGCCCTTCCTGTCATTTACTCCTCACAACGACCTTGCAAAGTAGGCTGCTATATCGTGGGGGGTGGGGAAAGGAGTGCCTGGTCAACGATCTTCTGCCGACCGGGTGGAGAGGTTTGAACCCATCTTTGAAACAGCTGGAAGAGGGCTGCAAAACAGTTCGGAGCCCAGAGATTTGTTCTCGCTCTCAATCTATGCATCTTCTTTCAGGAAGAAGAGGTGTGTGGCTGTCAAAGTGCCCAAGGGAGGGGAGGATTTTGCTGAGGCAGCCTTGGATGAAGTCATGCTCCTTCGCTGTGTAGGTAACAAACCGCCAGTTGGGGGACTGGTGGCCCATTGGGACTGGTAGGGTGTAAGGCAGGAGGCCAACAGTAGGTGGCGACAGAGCGGACGGCAGACAGAGCCAACAGAACCAGCTGTGTTTCATCCTCTCCCCTGCTGAGTGCTACAAGGGGCAACACTGAGACGAGAGAGAGGGAAGCTGTTAGCTGGTACCATCCTCTGGACTGATAAACTAAGAAGGCTGATAGGTAGAGGCTGGAAGAGGACTGAGCTTAGTGGGACAAGTGCCCTGTTCGCCCTCCTGGACCAGCCTCCACTGCAAATCACCTCTTTTGTTCGAAAGCCCCTGAAGGTTATGACCCTTGAGATGCATATTTTTAGGGCACACCTAAAAAAATATTGCAAGCTGTATTAAACTGTTTTTAACACTGTGTTTTTAATCATGGTAACCAGCCTTGGGAGCTCAAGATAAAAGGTGTATAATTAATACTAGTACTACTAGTAATACTACATAATTCAGATTATGTCTGAATAGGATGAGAGTGTTGGAGATACGTGCAAATGTGTATGTGAACCCGGTCTTCGAGTGGGTGTTTGATTTTCGTTGTTGTGTATACTGTGTATATACGGACAATGACAATAAATTTATCTATCTATCTAATGATGCCATTCCTACGTTAATGGGCCATTTCAAACACAGTTGGTACCTCCCCTAATCGCAAGCCATCCGGAGACTGTCGAAGGCCTCAATAAAAGTAATTTGTGCACGTTTTTTATTTATTTATATTTCTGCAGGTGAACAGCAAGAGGAGGAAAGACCAAGCCAGCGACCGTGTCATCCACTTCCTGGACGATTTCAAAATGATTGGAGACAATGGCTTCCATATCCTTTGGTTGGTAGGGCACAAAAAGATGGACAGGGCAATGCTATTAAATATTGGACATTTCCACTGATATTGTACTAACCTGCTGTCCTAACACACCCAGCTGTCCTTAACGGAATTCGCTATAATCACCATCATCATTACAGTCAAACCTCGATTTCCCAAATGCTTCCGTTTTGGAACGTTTTGGCTCCCAAACGCTGAAAACCCAGAAGGAAGTGTTCCGGTTTTCAAACATTTTTAGGAAGCCAAACATCCAGTGTGGCTTCTGCTTGAGTACAGGAAGCTCCTGCAGCCAATAGGAAGCTGTGCCTCGGTTGCTGAACATTTCGGAAGCTGAACAGCCTTCCAGAATAGATTATGTTCGAGAACCGAGGTTTGACTGTATTTTATATGCTGCCCATCTGACTGGGTTGCCTCAGCCACTCTGGGTGGCTTCCAACAAATTAAAAACATTAAGCACAGTGAAGCATCAAACATTCAAATTTCCTATACAGAGCTGCCTTCAGTTGTCTTCTAAAAGTCAGGTAGTTGTTTATTTCCTTGACATCTGCTGGGAGGGCGTTCCACAGGGAAGGCACCACCACTGAGGAAGGCCCTCTGCCTGGTTCCCTGTAACCTCATTTCTCACAGAGAGGGAACCGCCAGAAGGCCCTCAAAGCTGGACCTCAGTGTCCAGGCTGAATGATGGGGGTGGAGGCTCTCCTTCTGGTATACTGAGCCGAAAACGTTTAGGGCTCTAGGTCAGCACCAACACTTTGATTTGTGCTCAGAAACATACTGGGAGCCAATGAAGATCTTTTAGGACTAGTGTTATATTGTTCCTGGCAGCCGCTTCTGAATTAGCTGTAGTTTCCGAGTCAGCTTCAAAGGTAGCCCCACGTAGAGCGCATTGCAGTAGTCCAAGCGGGAGATAACTAGAGCATGCACCACTCTGGTAGGACAGTCCGTGGGCAGATAGGGTCTCAGCCTGCGTACCAGGTGGAGCTGGTAGACAGCTGCCCTGGACACGGAATTGACCTGCGCCTCCATGGACAGCTGTGAGTCCAAAATGACTCCCAGGCTGCACACCTGGTCCTTCAGGGGCACAGTTAGCCCATTCAGGACCAGGGAATCCCCCACACCTGCCTGCCCTCTGTCCACCCCAAAACAGTACTTATGTCTTGTCAGGATTCAACCTCAGTCTGCCATCTTCTAACTGCCTCTAGACACTCACACAGGACCTTCACCGCCTTCACTGGTTCTGATTTAAAGGAGAGGTAGAACTGGGTATCATCTGCATACTGGTGAACTCCCAGCCCAATCCCCCTGATGATCTCTCCCAGTTAACTTTCCTTGTGGGACACAGTTCTCAGGAAGCTATTTCTCACATCCTCCACTCCCTCTGCATGAGACCTTGAGGAGCTGCCGCTGGAGTGAACCGAATTCCAGCAGTTTCCCAGTTACTGAATCCCTGACAGTATCTCCTCCCACATGTGTGCTTAGTGTTTGAGCTGCTGGGGCCTTCTCTGCAGTCTCTGCTGAGCAGCCAAGGAGTCCAGGGCCTCCCGTTACCCTTTGTGAAGAAAGCAACACAACAGGTAAGTACAGGATTACCTGGAGAGCTGAGCCAGGCAGAATCAGGGCTTGCCAAGATGCACCAAGGCAGTTGCTGTGGGGATATTTCTCAGGCGGCAGTTGCAGCAAAGGATGCATTGGGTGGGTGGAGGGGAGAACACTTTGTGGCCCTGGCCTCACCGAAATCCATGCACTCAATATAAATTCATGCATCTTCCCATTCAGATGTATGGGCAGAGTTGGCTGGTTCTCACTGGGATTGGTAGGGCAGAAGGCAGGGAGTCTGACAGCAGGTGGCGCCACAGCCAACAACAGCTCCAGTCATAAAAAGGTAAAGGTAAAGGACCCCTGACAGTTAAGTCCAGTTGCGGACGACTCTGGGGTTGTGGTGCTCATCTCGCTTTACAGGCTGAGGGAGCCAGTGTTTGTCCGCAGACAGTTTTTCCAGGTCATGTGGCCAGCATGACTAAGCCGCTTGTGGCGCAACGGAACACTAAAACCAGAGCAGTGCACGGAAATGCCGTTTACCTTCCCGTTGGAGTGGTACCTATTTATCTGCTTGCACTATTTGGCGTGCTTTCGAACTGCTATCCTCCCTGCTAAGTCATACAAGGGCAACACTGAAAATGAGGAAGGTGACAGGCAGCGCGGAGGGAAGGATGACACAGGTGGGACTGTGACCCAAATGTCCCCATGGAGCAGCCTCCACGGATGCTGGGCAAGTTTCTCCCTTTGCATAAAACCCTGGAGGCCTGCAGAAGAGGCTGCTTGAGTCCCTGGCACATCCCCTTCCCGGGTCACGTGCAACATTGGTAAGCAACCCTGGCACCTAAGTGTTTCTGCGCATGTGCAGAATTTTCTTCTGGAATAAGAGACTTCACAAGGCCAATCCGGAGGTCTCCCATACTTCCTGCCAATCACAGGCGGTCAACGCTACACCATCCTTTTCCTTCCTGAGGTGTGAGCACATCCAGTCCATGACAGATTTTTCTTAAGGCTAAGACCTACCCGTACTGTAGCGGCAAATTCAGAAGTGCAGGGCCTCTTCATGACAGCCACAGCCACACACCCTTCTAAGATGATACAATACAGTCATACCTCTTGTTACGTTTGCTTCAGGTTAAATATTTTCAGGTTGCGTCCCGCGGTGACCCGGAAGTACCAGAAAGGGTTACTTCTGGGTTTCGCTGCTCGCGCATGCACGGATGCTCAAAATGATGTCGCGCGCATGCACAGAAGTGGTGAATCGCAACCTGTCAAACGCACAGATGCGGGTTGCGTTCTGCTCATGTTGCGAACCGGGCTCCAGAACGGATCCCGTTTGCAACCAGAGGTACGGCTGTAATCTTTTAATTATACAATAATAATACTCACGGATGCATTGCAGCGACTAATGCAAATCTCAAGGTGTTGCCTTTTAGCTACTTCTGTTTATTTTCTGTGCACATACATGGCAACTGATTTGGAGATACTCTTTCGGAGTGACTCGCGTTTTGTACATTACGGAGTTTGCATAGCATTCCCTTGAAACAGAAGCCCCTTGTGTTCCTTGTTGTTGTTTGTTGTCGTTTAGTCACGTCCGACTCTTCGTGACCCCCTGGACCAGAGCACGCCAGGCACTCCTGTCTTCCACTGCCTCCTGCAGTTTGGTCAAACTCATGCTGGTAGCTTCGAGAACACTATCCAACCATCTCGTCCTCTGTCGTCCCCTTCTCCTTGTGCTCTCCATCTTTCCCAACATCAGGGTCTTTTCTAGGGAGTCTTCTCTTCTCATGAGGTGGCCAAAGTATTGGAGCCTCAGCTTCAGGATCTGTCCTTCCAGTGAGCACTCAGGGCTGATTTCCTTCAGAATGGAGAGGTTTGATCTTCTTGCAGTCCATGGGACTCTCAAGAGTCTCCTCCAGCACCATAATTCAAAAGCATCAATTCTTCGGCGATCAGCCTTCTTTATGGTCCAGTTTTGGAGCATACAAAGCAACTCCACTCCATGTTCTTTCCACATGCCTTCTCCAGAGTGACCCCAGAAGCCGATCCTCCTTGGCTGACTCACCTTCCCTTTGACCCTGATGAGCCCCAGTCAGATCGGACGGCTCTAGGGTGCTGGAGACAGGGACCCTGCTGCAGAAATAGATATGGGTCTTCGATCTCCATACCCCCATGCCTCTGAGCCCCGCTCCCAGCTCTGGAGTTTCTCCTTTATGCTCTTCAATACCGCAAAAATATAAAGCGCAGTACACATTGAACAGCTTTGGGCCACTGATTGCCTCTGCTTCACGGCAGGTTCTCCAGGGCTTGCATTTCTTGCACAAGGAGTGTCGCATCATCCATGCAGACATCAAACCGGAGAACATCCTGCTCTGCATGGCGGAAGGGAGCCTGCAGGCGCTTCTCCACAAGGTGGCTTTCCAGGAACACGGCGCAGGAGCCGAGCCCAAGAGGCCAGGTAGGCCAGGCAGGAGAAAAGGCCGCAGAGTTTGTTTGGAAGGGGAGAGCACCTCCACCCAGGAACTTGGAGGAATCTCTCTTTGGGCACTTCAGGCCAGAGGTGGGGAACAATTTTTCTTAGATCAAGGGCTGCAGCCCCTTGTGGGTTAACTTCTGGAGCCGCATGCTGGTGGTGGGCAGGACCTAGGGTTGCCAACTCAGGAGACGGAGGTTAATTGGGAGAGGGTGGCAATGCCTATGCCATACTCTCCAGCATTTCTCTAATGAAACTAGGGACATCCTATTCAATAATAATAATAATAATAATAATAATAATAATAATATCACTTATACAGTGGTACCTCGGGTTACATACGCTTCAGGTTACATACGCTTCAGGTTACAGACTCCGCTAACCCAGAAGTAGTGCCTCAGGTTAAGAACTTTGCTTCAGGGTGAGAACAGAAATTGTGCTACGGTGGCGTGGCAGCAGCGGGAGGCCCCATTAGCTAAAGTGGTGCTTCAGGTTAAGAACCGTTTCAGGTTAAGAATGGACCTCCGGAACGAATTAAGTACGTAATCAGAGGTACCACTGTACCCTGTCCATCTGAGTGGGTTGCCTTAGCCACTCTGGGCAGCTTCCAACCTATACAGAAACATAGCAAAACATTAAACATTAAAAAAAACCCTTCCTTGCCTTCTAAAGGTTGTATAGTTACTTATCTCCTTGGCTCGGGGGGGTCGCATGACTCCATACCCTCCAACGTTTCTCTGGTGAAAACAGGGACGTCCTAAGGAAAAGCAAGACTTTCTGGGATCAAATCAGAAACCATAAATCCGGGACAGCTTCTGTAAATCCGGGACTGTCTCTGGAAAATAGGGATACTTGGAAGGTCTGCTGTGCTATAATTTGCAGCTGACTCCTGCTGGGATGAAGTTTGCAAGATACATTTACAGTCTTCTTTTGGAATTGGTTTCCATCGGGATGAGATGTCACACTGCTGCTGTTGGATCAGGGCTGGTGTGAAATACAGGTGCCATAAGGGATATATAACCTATGGTATTCTATCGCCTCCAGAGCTTATTTCCTTGTGTTTGTTCCATCCAGAGGAGGACGTGGCTGCTGTCCTGGATTGCTGCAACCTCATGAAATTGGGAGTGAAAATTGCGGACCTGGGAAGTGCATGCTGGACGGTGAGTCTATGACAGCAAACCCACCCGTCCCTTTTCTGCCATCGTTGCTTGTTAGTACATTGCTCTCCATTGAAGTGCGCCAGGGAGGGCATCACCCCATGGCTGGCTAGTTAATCTTTTTGACAAGACTGCCACAGGTAGTAGGGATGGAGGGGAAATCCGTCAGTTCGCACTTAAAGGTGAACACACCCAATTTGTACTTTCCACAACAACACTCAAACTGAAGCAGAGCCTTGCTTCAAAATTTGCACTTCTCCAAATCTTGTGCAGTTTTCTAGCCAAGTCATGTGTACCCCCCGCCAAGAAAATGCATATATTAGTGTCAAGCGTGCATAAAAGTTCATAATGTACAAAACCGCATTATATTTCAGGAAATTGCTTGCAAAAAAATAATGTATATCGGGGAATAACTTCACAGGAATGTGTGTGTAGGAGAAACACGTATAAAAATGCTGATGACTTTTTAATGAGGAGCTTCCTTTTTAAAAAAAAAATCACAAACTACTATGGAAGCTGGAAAAAAATAATACATTTTTATTCGATCTTCAATTTAAAAAATCCAATTACAACTGGAAAAATGAGAAACTAAAATTTGGCAGAGGCACCTGTCCCCTTGCCACAAGCCAAGAACAAAATACAAGAGCTTTCTGCCCTAGGCCGTGCTATGGGTGGTTTTCCCCTGGTCTTTTAAGCTGGGGGAAAGGCAGCAGTGAACATAGGGACAGGTGTGAATATGTAATAAAAGCCCTGCTGGCTCTGTCTAAATACCCCTCTAGTCCAGCATTCCCTTTCGCCCAGTGGACTATCAGATGCCACCAAGTTGAGCAGGAAGGCAGCGCCATAGCTCAGTCAATAGAGCATAAAACTCTTAATCTCAGGGCTGTGGGTTTGAGTCCCACATGGGGCCAAAGATTCCTACATCACAGGGGGTTGGACGAGATGACCCCCATGGTCCCTTCCAACCCCACAATTCTATTATTATAATTCTAAGCAGTGCTTTTTTCTGGGGGATGCGGGGGGAGGGGGTTACACATACCCCCTAAACATTTTGTGAATCTAAGTTTGGCCTCATTGAGGGACAGTACAGTGGTACCTCGGGTTACAGACGCTTCAGGTTACATACGCTTCAGGTTACAGACTCCGCTAACCCAGAAATAGTACCTCAGGTTAAGAACTTTGCTTCAGGATGAGAACAGAAATCACGAGGCGGCAGTGGGAGGCCCCATTGGCTAAAGTGTTACCTCAGGTTAAGAACAGTTTCAGGTTAAGAACGGACCTCCAGAACGAATCAAGTTCTTAACCCGAGGTACCACTGTATTTCAATCTGAGTAGGAAAATGAGAGTACCCCTAAATAAATAAAAATTCTTTTTTTTAAGAAAAAAAGCACTGATTCTAAGGCAAAAGACCTCTCCACCTATTGTTGCCCCCCCAGCTGCTATATTTGGAGGTATACCTCCTCTGAACAGTACAAACCTAACCATGTCCTATTGATTGCAGTGGGGCTTACTCCCAGATCTGCATCAATAATAATAATAATAATAATAATAATAACAATAATAATAATAATAATAATAATAATAATTTATTTATATCCCGCCCTCCCCAGCCGAAGCCGGGCTCAGGGCGGTTAACAACAATAAAATAATACAACATTCTAAAATCAGTTCATTATAAAAATAATTCAAATCAAATTAATGGCAACCATTGGGCTAGAGTTCTGTGAAGATTGCCAAAGGAGGGAGTCAGGCTGATAATAATAAATTTTTATTTTTACTTATATTTGTATATAAATATTTTAGTTATATATATTATTTATATTTATATATAATATATTTATATTTATATATAATAAAAATTCTCTTAAACCAAAAAGGCCCCGACACTTCAGTTTTTCAAAGCCTCGCAGGGAAGATTCTTTGAGCCCCTGATAATTGGAGTTTCTCCCTTTGAATCTCCCATGGCCATGCTTACAGGCCTTCCTTATGCGCCCGCTTGACTGCTTCGATTGGTGGAAATGGCACTGCCGCAGAATACCCATCCCACATTTATAAGAACCCATTAGTTTAGTGTGGCCCTTTGGAACTCCCTGCCTGTTAATAATCAAGCAGGCACCTTCGCTGGATTATTTCCGGCACCTGCTAAAAACGTTCTTCTTTTGGTGCTTAGAAAAGCTGGTGTGAATTTTAATATGCTTTAGTCTTTTAACCTCTTGTGTCTTTTAACACATTTCAATCCTTTCCTGGTCTTACGGTTTTATCTGTTTGTAAATCAAGGGTGGTTTTGTTTTTCTTTTTTTGCTATCAAGCAGTGTTTAAATCTTATGAAATGAACCAACAAATAAAATAATCCTGCCCAGTGTTATTCCCTTAAGGATCTGCCGCTGTTTTACGCTGCCTGCCTACCCAAAAGTACATTTGGGCCATCTACTCTCACTCAGCCCGTTGTCCCTTCTGTTCCAGTACAAGCCCTTTTCCAAGAAGATCCAGACCCAGCCCTATAGAGCCCTGGAGGTCCTCCTCGGATTAGATTACGGCACCCCAGCGGATATCTGGAGCACAGCGTGCCTGGTAAGGAATTGTTATGTGCTGAAGCTCTCACCTTGGGCCAGCAGGGGGATACTGTAGATAGTTTTCACTCAAGTCCACGTATGCAAATAAGGGATCGAAAGTGACGTTTGGTGATTGGATAGTTACAGAAAGTGGTTACTGTTGCGTTGTAGTGGAGCTCTATATAAGCAGGCTGGCTGAACCCTTCAGTTCAGTTCTGTTCTGGCCTGTGAATAAACAAGAGCTGTTTGAAGAATTGCTGTGCCGTCTGATATGTTCACCCACAACTTAACAGGAATGTTCCTTCAGCAATGGCATTGCTGCTGCTGCTGCTTCTTCTTGCCTTTAGAATCGCAACCATCTATTCATATGAACTGATAGCCTTGGGGTTCCTCCCAATGCCCTTTTCGCTCAGCGTTCACCCTAATCTGTTTGCACAAATCTTAAACAGTGTTTACGATTATGTCCACCCTTTATTGAGCATTTGTTCCGGTTTGTTTCTGGAGTGGTTATATGACAATGAGCAGTCATCCTGCCTTCACCCTGATTTGCTTGCGGGGTGTTTACATGTCTTCCCGTTCACCATTCATTCACCCCACACTTTGCAATGCATTTCTTAATCGCTCCGCAAGCTGCAAAAAAGGTGCGCTTTATCTGTGGATTTGTTGTGCTGAGGCGATGGAGCACTTCAATCCACTTTAAATGTGCAACCCTAAATTTGTGGCATGCGCTGGAATCCCTCCTGTAAAATAGTCTGGAGGCACCTTTGGGATTGAGCATAGCTGGATTTCACCCTAGACTCCTGCGTGTCTCTACTTCTTGTGAAAACGTTTCAGAGACGTAAGATGGATATTTCAATATTTATAGTCCTTCGGATCAAACTGCTAAGTGTATTGTAAAAACAAAAATATTTACAGTGGTACCTCGGGTTACATACGCTTCAGGTTACAGACTCCGCTAACCCAGAAATAGTACCTCGGGTTAAGAACTTTGCTTCAGGATGAGAACAGAAATCGTGCTCTGGCGGCGCGGCAGCAGCGGGAGGCCCCATTAGCTAAAGTGGTGCTTCAGGTTAAGAACAGTTTCAGGTTAAGAACAGACCTCCGGAACGAATTAAGTACTTAACCCGAGGTACCACTGTATTGACTATACGAATTGGCTCGCGGTGGACTTACTCGGGGTGTGTGTGTGTGTGTCATCCTGCAGGCTTTTGAACTGGCCACTGGAGACCGTCTATTTGATCCCCAGGCTGGGCAGTATTTTTCCAGAGATGATGGTAGGTCAGAGTCCAGCCTGTCTTCTTAAACTCCATTTGATAGGAGAAACCGTACAGTAAAGCATCTAACTTTGCTTCCCTCCCCCCCATTTCAGATCACGTGGTTCGGATTATCGAACTCCTGGGCAGAATCCCACCTAAAGTTGCTTTGTTCTGGAAGCGGGCGACAACATTCTTCAACAGGCAAGGTGAGACTGCGGGAGTTGGAGATAAGAGCAGAGGTCCAGTGGGAGGAGTTGGTGGGGAGTCAGAAGGCCTGTTACTATCTCTGCAGCGAGCTTTTCAGAAGTCTTCTCACCTTTAGTGCTGGTTGAGCCAATCAGAGTGGAAAGGGGTAAGTCAGTCACCGAGGATCGGCTCCTAGAGTCGTTTTGGAAGAACACGAAGGAGTAGTTAGATAATTAGATACAGTGGTACCTCAGGTTAAGTACTTAATTCGTTCTGGAGGTCCGTACTTACCCTGAAACTGTTCTCAACCTGAAGCACCACTTTAGCTAATGGGGCCTCCTGCTGCCGCCATGCCGCCAGAGCACGATTTCTGTTCTCATCCTGAAGCAAAGTTCTTAACCTGAAGCACTATTTCTGGGTTAGCGGAGTCTTTAACCTGAAGAGTATGTAACCTGAAGCGTATGTAACCTGAGGTACCACAGTAATTTATTACGGTCAAAGACCAGCTCACATAACACAATAAAAACAGCGTTCATAAAGATAAAATATACAATTGGAACAGATTGCAGCAATAGCTCATGAGTTAAAATTGAGATATATACATACACACGTACAACTGAGATTTGGGCTACCATAAAAAATTGCCCCTGAGGCGCCCCAAAGGGCAACTTCAGCATTTCCCTAGTAAGCTGTTTTATTCTAGAGGATGATCTGTGCCTACAAATCTGGGCGCAGAATCTGGCTACTAGTCAGGTCGTCTTATGATCTTTGCCTAAGAGGAGAAAATTAAGTTTAGACTTGTCTGAAAGATCAGCAAGCCTCTTCAGCAAAGGATCAATGGTGTCTCTACGAATCTCAACATAAAAAGGACATATAAAAAATATATGTTTGAGGCTTCCTATTTCCTCTAATGGGCAGGCGCAAAGTCTCGAAGGAGTAGTTATTAATCCTCCAAAGCTAGGAATTTAGAAGCACTCAAAACACAAGGTGCTTCAATTTTCAAGTGAAAAAGTGTGGAAGTTAATGCTAAGTACAGTGGAACTTCCAAGGAAAAAAACAGCCTAAGTAACTCCGAAAGAATCTACTGCAGCACTCCATATCATTTGCCCATGGATGGGCAAAGTGTTGGTGCTTTAAAGCCCTAAACGGCCTCGGCCCTGTATACCTGAAGGAGCATCTCCACCCCCATCGTTCAGCCCAGACACTGAGATCCAGCTCTGCGGGCCTTCTGGCAGTTCCCTCACTGGGAGAAGTGAGGTTACAGGGAACCAGGCAGAGGGCCTTCTCGGTGGTGGCGCCCGCCCTGTGGAACACCCTCCCATCAGATGTCAAGGAAATAAACAACTATCTGACTTTTAGAAGACATCTGAAGGCAGCCCTGTTTAGGGAAGTTTTTAATGTTTGATGTTTTATTCTGCTTTTAATGTTCTGTTGGGAGCTGCCCAAAGGGGCTAGGGAAACCCAGCCAGGTGGGCGGGGTAGAAATGATAAAATTATATTATTATCATTATTATGCACAGAAAATAGTAGATCTAGCTGAAAGGCAACACATGGCGATCTGCAGTGATGTTTGCAATGCGTGCCTAATTTTAAGATGATTGTATTATCCTCGAAGGTTGTATCATTTTAGAAGGGGTTGTGGCTGTGAGGGGGAGTGGCTGTGGCTGTCATGAAGGGACTTTTCGCTTCTGAATTTGGCCCTACGCTATTGCATAGGAAGCACTGCAAATGCAAAGGATTGCCTTTGCACAGCCAGGCCCAAGTCCGGTGTGAAATTCTGCACTTGCCTGGTGCAATTGCAAAAGATAAATTTGTAAAGGAAAAATGCAAAAGAGTCATCCACAGGTGCCCGCTCCAGGGCACTCACAACACGGGAGTCCAATGCAACTTCCAGTTTCTCGTGAAGCGGCGCTGCACCGCAGATGCAACATGACGTCATTGGAACCCATAATCTTGGCCCAAGTCAGTGTCCCTTTGTGGCGATCACACAGGGTCCCCGGACGTTTGACGGTCTATTGATCCCTGTGCCACCACTGTGATTGCTTTCTTCGCTGCCACCACCCCGTATCTCACAGGGACACACGGAGTCCAGACAGTTGTTAACATTAACAAATAATCAAGTTTATTTTTAAATGCAGGAACAAGCTTACGGTTTCAGTTAATTTTTCTTGGCAGTTTCTTAATCTTAGTTTCTATACTGTCCTATTCGTTCCTAACAACTTCAAACTGATTATCCCAACTATCTATCTGACTCCACCTAACAGTTCCTCTCACTCTCTCACCACACAACTCGACGGACCCACAGATTTATATCCTCCCTCTTCCTTCTCCAACTCTCAACTCTGACTTCCAAAAAACACTAACTCTAACTCCTCCTATCAGTTTCCACTGGCCAATCACATCACACTCATTTTAACCCTTTCCTTATGACCCACCTAGGAGGCAAACGCCACACCCTGCCCTTGTCCCCAGGAAGAATCTAACAGGTTTCCGGAACATGACTGCGGCTACTTTTTTCCTCTCTCCTTTGGCAGGTGCTCTCCTGAGAATGTCCTGGCTGTCTCCCTATGACCTCTACCATATCCTCACAGATAAATACAGCTGGCCCAAGCATCAGGCATCTTCGCTTACCAGTTTTCTCCTACCTATGCTGGAATATGCCCCAGAAAGGAGAGCAGCAGCTGACAAATGTCTTCAGCATCCTTGGCTCAATACCTAGCGCAGGCTTGGTCTGATCCTGCTGCTCTCTCCGCCAGGATGGTTTAGAAGTAGGGCATGCTCACAAAGGAATCTTAGGGGCAGACTAGGCATGAATTAAAGTGCATGAGTTTTTCTGTTAGTTAAGCAAGCAGGGGTCTGGCGGACAAGGGAACACCGGGGAGTACAGCTCTGGGATTTTTCTCGGGGTGGGAGTGATGACCTCATCTACAAGAGAGGCAGGGTAATTGACAGGCTCTCCTTGCTCTGGAAAGTGAATGAGGTGATAACGAGGCTTTCAAGTTTCACTAGAGAATAGAGGAAGTCAGAAGTTGAGAGCAGCTTATATAATAGATTGACACCTGCTTAAAACAACAACAACAACTCCTTGGGGATGTGGCTATCTAGGGACTGTCACAATGAGCTACTGAACTTCGACAGCCCCGGCCTCAAAGAAGCCCAAGTAGCCCGGGACCATACAGGGTGCAGAGGGGTAGTTCAACTATTTCACTCCCTGCCAATTGAACACAAAACAACTCTCCAAGGCTGCTATTTGCATCCCTTGGAATGCAAGTGGATCCTTTGGAGGGGCAAATTTAGCTGGGAGAGAGAATTTAATTCTTCCCACCCTCACGAGTCCCAGATCTGCTTATGTAACCAAACGCATGCACCTTAATTGTATTGATGAAGTCAACATCATGCTTAGTCTGGCTGCCCTTCGTCTTGGATGGATGAGGCTCTTGAAGCCCGTCTCACAAGAGCAAATGGTCATGGTTTAACTCTGGATACGTCTCCTCTTAATCCACCTTGGCAAACCAGTTTTACAGGGTGAAGACCGGTGTAATGTAAGACAAAAGGCAGGTCCCTCCTCTGCCATGGGGTGAGCCTCCTGGCTTCACAATGGAAATGACAGGTGTCTATGCCTGGATATTGGCCACATGCATTTCAGGCAAGCTGCTCCCCTTAATTTCTCCACGTTTGCATTTATGCATTCGTGACTTTTGCTGCCGTGGTTTTAGAAGAGCAGATTTTTCTCTGGGGACTGGGATCCGGCTTCGGAGTGACATCATGGATGGGCAAGCCAATCAGCATCAGGTACAGGTTAGGAGACCTTCTGCTTCAAACTTGCAGATATATATATATATATATATATATATATATATATATCGCAGAACTGCAGCAGAGAGAGGAAGGAGACGCTTGTGAGGATGATTCCTAGGGTGGCCGCATATACATCACCCAAAAAGAGACAGCACAGATTTGCATTAAATTGGCATGTGCCATTTAGAAAATAATTATAATCATTTAAATAGAACTGCAATAGTTCTAGTAATAGTCTCTGGTAGAGAAAAAGACTGTGACCAGGTTACCTGTGTACCTGCTCAGTCTGTTACCTAGTTGGTGGAGAAACGCCAGGGCCTTTGCTCTCTTTTCTTACGGTTCTTTATCACTGAGCCAGACCTGGACTAGACAGACCTTCATTTAGAAGACTCCTTCAAATAGAGGATTGTCCCCTGTAAAGTAGGAGACACAGTTGCCACCGGAGTGCTTTGGAAACAGAGGTTTCTCTGCTTTAGAAACATCGTCTGGGTTCACCCAGTCCTTTCTGCGCCTGATGATTTTGCAGGATTTTAAGCAGAAATCTTGAGAGTCTCGCACATTTCATACCTCATCCTGAGTTGGTTGGTGCGCCAATTCCACCCTCTTAATGTGAAATTGAGTGTCTAATAAGAACAAGCAGTAGTAACCTTTTCATGATGTTCCATCTATTTATCTAGATGAATGTTTCAGCCCATCCATTTACCCATGTTACAAAATTCAAAGCTGTTTTCCCCTCACCCACTTTTAAGAATTTTGTGAGCATGTGCACACCCGTTCATCACCCCACCCCCGCCACTAGACACCTTTGTTGGTTTTTGACTTTTGAGGGATCTGTACCGCTTGATCTCACAGAGATGTCTTAAGGTCCCCCTACGCCACCTTTGATGTTGACACACCTCATCGGCAAAATTATTGTTTGCCTGTGTTCGTAGGGGCCCATGTATAACTTGATTTTTTTATTAAAAAAAAATTAAATACCACAACCACAATGAATGGCCTGCTAATCTGAAGAAGATGGAACTGTGTGTATTCATGCAGGAAACAAGCAAAGAACAGAATGCAATCATACAGAAAAGATCATGACTGGTTTAAACAAAATAAAATTTAATGGAATTGTAGCAAAGGATGCATTGGTGTAAATATATGCAACTCTGGTTCCATACTTTCATTTTTTGCAAAATTGGCCAAAATTCTTAAACCGAACAGTTACATGCAGAAAACTCCTCATGGTGGAAAGTCAAGAGTCCTCCTTGTTGCTGCTGCTGCAGCAGCAAGTGGAATTGAGCCTAGGAAGCTGACTTCTACTGAGAACCATCTTGCCAGCCAGCTCAGGACTGTTGACACCAGTGTTCTTCAGCCTCATGTCTCCATATGTGGTTGGACTCCAACTCCCATCATTCCTTGTTAGTTTGGGAATGATGGGAGTTGTAGTCCTACATTTGGAGACATGAGGTTGAAGAACACTGGTCTACGCTACTAGACTCTCTCCGGGATCTGAGACATGAGTATTTCTTAGTATCTTCCTTGAAAAGCCAGGGATTCAACCTGAGATCTTCTACATGAAAGGCAGATGCTCTGCCATTGAGCTACCACAGCCCCCACCCTTCCCACCTCAACAATTCTCCATAGCTCCAAGCATAAGCACTTCTCTCTGCCCACAAACTCCGTAACGGTGTCTCCCTATCCTTCAGTGGCATGGCCTTCCTCCTTCTCCACCCCCTATCACCCCCTGACTGCTAGTGGAAATTCTAGACCAGGCTTTCTCAACCTTGGGTCTCCAGGCATTGGACTATAACTCCCTTGATCCCTAGCTAGCAGGACCAAAGGTGGCCAGGGACTGCAGAGCTTTCCAAACTTTTCATGTTGGTGGCACGCTTTTTAGACATGCATCATTTTGTGACACAGGAATTCAGCTTTACTAGCAAACGAGGTTAAACAAACCGCTTTCCAACCCCGGGAGGAGCACAGGGAGCGTTAATGCAACACACCTACACTGTAGCTGACACACTAACGTGTCTGGACACAGTTTGGAACGCTCTGCACTACTGCCTCATAATGCTGAGCAGAGCCCTGGACAGTTGTCACACGGGGGACGCGGGTGGTACTGTGGTCTAAACCATTGAGCCTCTTGGATTTGCTGATCAGAAGATCGGCGGTTCAAATCTGCACGAGGTGATGAGCTCCCGTTGCTCCATCCCAGCTCCTGCGAACCTTGCAGTTCGAAAGCACGCCAGTGCTAGTAGATAGTTACCGCTGTGGCGAGAAGGTAAACGGCGTTTCTGTGCGCTCTGGTTTCTGTCACGGTGTCCTGTTGCGCCAGAAGCGGTTTAGTCATGCTGGCCACACAACCCAGAAAGCTGTCTGTGGACAAACACCGGCTTCCTTGGCCTGAAAGCGAGATGAGCGCCGCACCTCAGTCGCCTTTGACTGGACTTAACCGTCCAGGCGTCTTTTATACACATGGGTGTAAAAGAAGCATGTAATGTAAAGAGTGGGGTTTAAACAGTAATGCAAAAAGCACAGTCTGTCATAATTTAATTCAGGGTTTTCAGGCAATCCTATATTTGCCCACCCAGAAGTAAGTCTTCTCTCTTTGGAGATCACTCATAGCCAAGTAAGATTGTCCTCCATAAACACGGTCTTAACAGTGAGTCTGTAAGTGACTGTGGAGGCCAATTCTGGATCCGCACGTCCTTCCATAGTGGGGACATTGGTTTCCAGGTGGAAGTTGATCACGGTGAGGGTTTGCCAAGCGCGCCTTCCTCTTAGCACGTTTCTCCCTTGTGTCCTGAGTCTGAGCATCTTCAAAGTCCATGACACCTTTGGTAAAGGCTGTTCTCCAACTGGAGTGCTCGCAAGCCAGTGTTTCCCAGTTGTCAGTGTCCAGAAGTAAGTCCCACTGTGTTGAATCCGGCCCCTAAATGTGTATAGGATTGTGGCCTGAATGTGTGCAAGGCCAAGGTGACCCTCTGCTCCACAAAATCGCTCTCTTCTTCACCCTGCACTGCCAACATTCATAGGCGAGGTTTTGGGCCTCTCCCCCCTTCCCGCCCCAATTGGCGTTTTGTTTGTTTGTTTTTTGCGTGGCCTTGTTCATTCAAACACCCATTGAAATCATACTTGGTGGTGGGGCGCAGATTTTTATTCTTATTTACGGTATGTGTGGTTATAAATAAAATAATATAAATATTTTATGAACAATTATTTATAAAATAATTATAAATAAAATAACATAGTACTGTACATAATATATATAAATATATATATATTAAAAAATATGCAAGGCCATCTTTTGCGGCTGCTCCTGCAAGGGAAAGCCCGCCTCCTCCCGCGCCTGCCCACCTCGCAGGGAGGCTGGAACGCGGCCGCGTCACGTGCGGAAGAAGCGACCAAAGGCGCGCGCAAGTTCACGAACCTGGACGGGCCGCGGCGGTCACGAGGGGGGAAAGCGCCGCTCGGCGGGCGCCGGCCACTGGCCGCAGCCTCGGGGAGCCGGCGCGGCGATTGGCCGAGAGGCGGCGGCGGCGGCTCCCATTGGCCGGGAGGCGGCAGGGGAGGCCAATCGGAGGGCAGAGCGCCGGCAGCAGCAGCTGTAAAAGAATGGAGTCGCAAGCGCTGGACTCGGACTCGGGCGTGGACGAGTCTCTCGTCGCGCCGCTGCTGGAGCTCGGCATCCCCGAGGTGGCGGCGCGGCGGGTGGGTCGGCCGGTGGATCTCTTTCTCTTGGGGGAGGGGGATGGGGGCCGCTTGCTCCTTGTGGCGCTGGCGGCGCCGGGTGTGGGCCGGGATCCACCCCCTGCAGCCGATCCTCACGGCCGTCTCCCTTTCCCTTCCCGCAGGCTCTAGCGCTCACCGGGGGCCGCTCGGCCGAGGCGGCGGCGCAGCTCTACTTCAGCAGCGGACTCGATTCCCAGGTAATCCCGTCCCGATCTCCCCCGCCCGATCCCGTTTTCCTGCCTCCTGATCCCGCCGGGGATCATTTTCCGGCCTAACCCAGCGCACTCCTCTCTCTTTGTTTCATCGACCCTGCCCTACGCTTTTTTCAGTCCTTGACCCGCAAACCTTTCTTTTTGCTGACGCGGTTTCTGAGCATGTGAAGGGCGCCTCTTAAGCCCCGGCACGCTCTGGAATTGTCTACCGGGGACTCCCGCGTCGGAGGGTGTGTCGCCCCGAGGTGATCCTCACGAGGCGACTGAGCAGCTATCTGAGATATTTTTGACCCCGTGCTGCGACGGTACACACGTGCCCAGCAACCGCGTGCACGCATTCTTACTCCCCATCCCTTGAAAGACGGGTTTTTGCTTTTTCCCCGCACCCACTCGCCTGTCTGCGCGCGTGTGGTTTTCCTGGAAAGCGCAGATGAGGATTAACCTCCCCAAGCCTAATTTTAGTGGAAATAATAGGAACCTGTGGGTGTCAGGGAAGGCCTCTTGCCTGTATATGTATGTCTGTGGGTTCCACATTGGTGACCTGTGACAATAGAAACTAATCGCTGCTGCCTGTTTCACAGCCATTATTCTTTAGCCTGTCTCTGTGAGTAACTGTGTCTGAAACACCTACGTATAAGCATGTTCAATACTTATAACTGAAGCTCTTCCCCTCTTTCTCCATTTTGCTCTGTTAACCTACTTAATGAAAGAGCCCATCCACCGCACCTATCTGGTTTTTAGGATGCAACATGGTACAGTGCCGATTAACTGGTTCATACTGAATGGTTATGGATGACCAGCAATGAGAGTATTTAGCGCCTAGATTTTTGTGATATGCACTGAAGGCCGTAATGCTGGATTTGCATTAAACCAATAGAAGGGGGAGAGTGTTTACAGAAAGCCTACATCCCTCCTGCAAAATGAGAAGCCCTGCTTTTTACATAAAGCAAGTCCACTTGTGATTTACAATATGCATAATCTACGTGTTGGTAACCTCAAGATTTGATTAGTGCAAAGCCCTTGGGTCTGGAAGCTTTGGTTAGTGCAGAATGCTATGGCTAGACAGGAAAGAGACTACCAACAACACATGACGTTGTTGCTAAGACTTCCCATTTGCTACTGGACCAAGTTCAAGGTTTTTGTACCAGATCCGTGCAAAGGACTGAGCCCACACAATCTGCCATGGCTTCAACCTCCAGCTGCCTGCCAGTCCTCTGGGTTTCTACAGTCGGTGTGGACATTGACTGTGTGTTGTTCTCTCTAAGTAATGCCTTCAGCATCTCCTTTTCCCACACTGTGTGGGAGACAACTTCCATGAAGTTTTTAAGCAGAGGTTGGGTGTGTGGATCTGTCATGTGTGATCTAGTTGAGATTCCTTCATTGCAGGGGGTTGGACTAGATGACCCTGGGTTTCCCTTCTAACTTTACATTTCTATCCTTCTATGCACAACGGCCTAAATAACTTAGGCCCAGGGCTGCTTGAGGATTGCCCAAATCAATAACTCATACAGTCCTGGGGGAACGCTGCTAGCTGTTCCCTGTGGGCCAGAAGCACGACTGGCTTTAAGAAACTAAGCCAATTGTTGCCCCAACTGAGACAATGATATTCTCTTGGCAAGGGGAAGCAGAAAGCTTATACAGTGGTGCCCCGCAAGACGAAAAACTCGCTAGACGAAAGAGTTTTCCGTTTTTTGAGTCGTTCCGCAGGACGAATTTCCCTATGGGCTTGCGAGTTCTTGCGAGTTTGTTTCCTTTTTCTTAAAGCCGCTAAGCCGTTAATAGCCGCTAAGCCGCTAATAGCCGTGCTTCGCAAGACGAAGAGACTCACGGAACGGGTTAATTTCGTCTTGCAAGGCACCACTGTAGATGCCCTGCTCTGAAAGCAATGTTAGATCAGGAAAATACCTTTCTTCTTTCCCCAGCCTTGTGCTGATTAAAGCTCCTTGGGGAAGAATCTGTCCTTTTAATAAAAAATACTGGAAAAAGGAAAAACCTGTCCTTTATTTTAGTGGCAGGAAATTATTATTATTAGTAATAGTAGTAAAAAAAAATCAAATTAAAAAATTAGTAATATATCGCCCTTTATCCGAAGATCACAGGGCAGTTCACAACAGAAAACATAACCTTGGTCCTTGGTCTTTCGGAGTCCTAGTCTATGCATTCAGAATAATCATATAGTTCATTCAGCTCTGCTGCAGGAGGAAGGTTGCAGCGGGCCTGCCAAAGGGCTGTCATGTGTAAATAACATAGCTGAGATTTGTGGTCCTGCAACTGTCTCACTCTGCTATTCTGGTGAAGTGATTGCAGTACACTAGACCCTCATAAAGGCTTCCTTAGCACCGCTTTCCATGGTGAAGTAGGACGGACCTAATTCCACAGGTACTAAACAGCTGTATTTGAGTGTGGGCTGGACCTGGGTGTCAGACCAGGCTTGTGGGAAATGGCGAAGGGCTGTAGGACAGATTCAGTCTTCAGAGACAAGCCTAGGAGAGACCTCTGGCTGAAACTCTGGAGGACCATTGCTGGCCAAGTGTAGACAATACGGAGATGGCTGGACCAGTGGCCTAACTCAGTATAACACAACTATCTGTGATCCTGAGCTGTAAACAGGAGAGGCAGGTGACTACGCTGTGACGAAAGGGACTTGATCATCACCATCTCTTTCCAGGAAGAAGAGGATGCACAAGGCAGCGGTTACTATAAGATGGTCTTTGTGGTGAACATGGAGCTCTCCATGGGGACTGGAAAGGTAAAGCTACTCATGGGTTGTGTTCCGGCCCTTTTAAGTGGCCTTTGGCTTTGCTTGCTGATTTGCTTACATGTGGGCAGGATGCCTGCAGTGCAGAGGGCTGGACTAGATGTCCTCAGGTTCTCCATCCTTGGCTTACACCATCGAGGGCATTTATCCAAGGCTGAAAAGTGAAAGCGAGCAAGAGCCCTTGAGTAATGAGGGACTCCTGGTTTTGCAATACATTTGTGGATGGAGGCCCAGTAACAATACTGGTGCAGCTGCTACTGAAATAAGTCAACCTGCTATTGCTTTGCGCTATCTAGAAGATGATTTGGGTTATGATGCCTAACGTTGCCAGCCTGCGCCTTGCAGGCGATGGCAAGGTATCTCTGAAGCAGGCTGTCTTCTTCTGTCTTTGTAGCGATGCTTTGGCGCAAGCCGTGCGAGGGAAGTGGGTTTCTTGTTTCTCTCTCCTCCCCCCCCCCCAATTTTGAATTCATTTTTATTTGATTTTACAAATATAAAGTTATAAAAATCCAAATCCATGTGCAGAGGTTACTTCAAATCTCACAACTTCCCCCCACCCCCTCCACGGGGTCCCATTTTGAACATTTACAACTGCATATTGTTCCATGTGCTAACTTTTATATAAATCCGTATTGTCCATGCTATTTGTTAGACTACAAGTGAAATCAAAATCCTGCCAATAATAATAATAATTTTTTATATATATATCCCGCCCATCTGGCTGGGTTTCCCCAGCCACTCTGGGCGGCTTCCAACAAAATATTAAAATACAATAGTCCTTCAGATACTAAAAGCTTCCCTAAACAGGGCTGCCTTCAGATGTCTTCTAAAAGTCTGGTAGTTGGTTTTTTCCTTTGACATCGGCTGGGAGGGTGTTCCACAGGGCGGGCGCCACCACCAAGAAGGCCCTCTGCCTGGTTCCCTGTAACTTCACTTCTCACAGTGAGGGAATCACCAGAAGGCCCCCGGCACTGGACCTCAGTGTTCGGGCAAAACGATGGGGGTGGAGACGCTCCTTCAGGTATGTTTCCATCTCTTGTTGTTGTCGTTGTTAGTCATGTCCGACTCTTCGTGACCCCATGGACCAGAGCATGCCAGGCACTCCTGTCTTCCACTGCCTCCTGCAGTTTGGTCATTTACAACTGCGTATTATTCCATACTGCTGACTTCTCTATCAGTCCATATTGTCCATGGTATTTGTTAAACTATAAGTGAAATCAAAATCCTGCCAATGTTTCCATCTCATTACAGTGGTCTCCTAAATAACTTATAATTTTCTTCCATTCTTTCATGAAGTTTTTGTCCTCTTGGTTTCTGAGTTTCCCGGTTGGTTTTGCCATTTTGGCTTGGTTTGCCGTTCCTCTCTGGTAGGGACCTTTGTCTTCTTTCCCTTTCTTGATTCTTGGTGCTTATTGTTGCAGATCGCCGCTCAAGTGGGGCACGCCGCAGTTGGCCTGTTCCAGTTGTTGCAGGAGAAGTCGTCTCACAGGGACATCATCAACCAATGGGATGAACAAGGGTAAGGAAGCAAAAGGGGAATCAGGCCTGCGGAGGGCACCATCCTCCTAAGACAGGGGTCAGCAAACCTTTTCAGCAGGGGGTCGGTCCACTGTCCCTCAGACCTTGTGGGGGGCCGGACTATATTTTGAAAAAAAAATATGAATGAATTCCTATGCCCCACAAATAACCCAGAGATGGAATTTAAATAAAAGGACACATTCTACTCATGTAAAAACACGCTGATTCCCGGACCGTCCGCGGGCCGGATTTAGAAGGCGATTGGGCCGGATCTGGCCCCCGGCCTTAGTTTGCCTACCCATGTCCTAAGACCTTGCAGAAGGGGCAGTGTGTGTCTGTGTTGAAGCTTATTCAGCTTCTGGCTGAGCCAGAGCAAACTCCTCCCAAGTCTCTCCCAGATGAACTGAGAAGGTGCATCAAAGACGCTGGCTTGGGTTCACAGTCAATTCCCAACTTAGCATGTTGGCATTGGCGAGATGGAGGTGCGCTCCTCTTGAGGAGCTTAAAGGCGGTTGCTTATAGTCTGTTGATCCAGGCCTGAAGCCTTGATCGTAGTACTTTCTGGTTTCCTCTTGAGTCCAGCAGATGACATGGCCCAGGGGCTTTTTGATATTTTAACCGGCTTGCTGAACACCTTATGAATCCAGCACGCCTAGCTTGGTACCCTGCAGAGCATATTTCAGTGTCATGTGCGCTGATTTTTTATGGGGGGTGAGGTGGTCACACAGGAAGTGCTGGGGGCATGGCTGTGGATCCCTCCAGAACAGTTGGGGAAAGGTTTTTAAGTCCTTTAAACAAAATACACCTGATCTTTGTGCCAGTCCTGCACGGACGTCTGAGAGCTTTCCAGGTACGCAGGTTAGCATGTGCCTAATCCCCAGGACCCAATGCTGCTGCTGTTTGTAGTCTCTGAAATAGGCTTGTAGGTCCTAATTCCTGGGCTGCTGGTCTCTGTAGCTGCCTTAGGGCAGACTCTTGGGCTGGAGGTGCAAGATTCTGCGCCGGGGTGGAGTGGGAGCTGGTATTACACTCAAGATTGCTTTGCCTTTCTCTCAGCGCAAAGAAAGTCGTACTGCAGGGTTCCAACACTGACCAGTTGCTGGAGCTGCACGCCTTGGCCCTGAGCCTGGAACTGCCAACATACCTAGTGCAAGATGCAGGGAGGACCCAGGTAATAGGCCAAAGACTCTGAAAGTCGGTTTGCGCTTCCTAGGTATGTTGCCTTGAACAAAGCGAATGTACCTGGTTCTTGTGTTTTGCAGGGATGCTAGCTGGTAGGTGTGTAAGAAAAGAGGACTTTAATTTCTGCACATGGGGGGGTTGACCTTCTTCGTTGGGCAGATTGGGTATGTTTGCAAATACCTAATTCTGGTTTCAGAACTTGAAGGGGAGCAAAAGGATGTTTTTATTTTCTAGTTAGGGCTCTCTTTTTATAGGGCAGGATCATTAAGGGCAGTAGGTTTTGAAATTATGAAAGTTTCTACTGAATACTGGAGAACCTTGGTTATGGGAAGACTTAGAAATAAAATAAACAAAGCTTCTGCCTTTTAAGCACTGGAATACTGTTTCTAAGCCTGTAGTTGAAACTGGTGTCTATTAAGGTTCCCCCCCTACAATATTGAACAGAGTTGCAAACTTATGCAACTTTTATTTCTGAAAGGTTCCTTCCAGGTGATAACAAAAGCTGTGTTCTGTGGCTAGCTGTACAGTTGCTACTTTGAAAGATCCTTTGCTGCCAAGGGGCAAGCTACAAACCTGAAAAATTGAGCCTGACATTCAAAATTCACATCCACTTAAAAAAGCACACACACATTGCCAATTTAGATGAGGCTATCTTGCTGACCTCAACTGTTTCCTCTTTAGAATCCCCACCCCTCGCCCTCCCAAAAAACCCACCTATGTTCAACAGCACATACAGTAAGAATGTCATTTATTTACAAAGATCTGGTTTAAACTACTGTAGTAGCCCAGCAAAATAATTTCCCGATACCTTGAGTGTGGGAATGTTGAGGATAGCAGGAGAGGATATATTGATTAAACAATATCTTTCCTCACTCATGCTAATGAGCTGGTAGCAGAGCACATTCCCTTGTACATTACAGGAAGCTTGTTGATAGATTCGTTAGAACCATTTGAGTTAAGCAATCCAGTCTGGCTTGTCCAGATCGGATTGTTCCTGGTAAATCCCCTTTAGTTACCTCTTAAAAACAATAATGACACAACAGTCTTCTTTTAAAAGTAATGGTAAGGTTTACTTACATTCAGTTCACAGTACGGTCCTGAAAGCAGGCTTTAGCTTGTAGTAAATCAGTGCCGGATTTACGTATAAACTAAAGAAGCTATAGCTTAGGGCCCCACTTTCTTGGGGCCCCCAAAAAAATTTAAAGGGGCAAAAACCTGGATGTACATTTCCAAAATATAAGATAAAAACAAATAAAATAAAACCTACATACAGCAAATGGCTTTAGAGACGTATTAGGTCCATAAATTACCATATAGCATATATTCAACACAAAAAAACCTGACAATTTGTTGTTGACAAAGGACAGCTGGACATATAAAGGGCCCCATTACCTTCAGTAGCTTAGAGCCTCGTCAAACCTAAATCCAGCTCTGGTTACAGTTACAGAGAAATATGTGGGCTCGTTCTCTGTGAGGGATGAGTCCACGTGCTGCTGGCTGAGAACCAGCAGAGAGCAAAAGGCATAATGGAGAGAAGGGATCAAGAGAGTAAGAGGAAGATGAGAATGAAGAAACCCCGACAAAAGAACAGTGCCAAAAGAAATTGACGAACTATGCAGAACTGGCCAAATTGACATACAAATTGTGAGACAAGGACAACTGTGACTTCAAGGAGGAATGGGAACTTTATACAAATTATTTAAAAACACAACAAAATGAAGTGGACTCCTTGGCAGGTTTTGAATAAACGTACACAAATTTATTGTTGATAACATGATGGACAGATATGTAAGGATATATACAATTTTATAATATGCAGAGAAAATATGTGCAGCGAAATCAGGGAGAGGAGCTGAGGGATGTCCTTGGTGTCGGGGGGGAAAGGGGGGGAATTATGTAGGTGATTATATGGTTTGATAATTTGTTATGTGGAAATTGAGTGATAATTTTATTTCATTTTTTTAAAGAGAGAGTAAGAGAAAGATTGGACGCAGGTGGTGCTGTGGGTTAAACCACAGAGCCTAGGACTTGCCGATCAGAAGGTTGGCGGTTTGAATCCCTGCGACGGGGTGCGCTCCCGTTGTGCAGTCCCTGCTCCTGCCAACCTAGCAGTTCGAAAGCACGTCAAAGTGCAAGTAGATAAATAGGTACTGCTCCGGTGGGAAGGTAAACGGCGTTTCCGTGCGCTGCTCTGGTTCGCCAGAAGCGGCTTAGTCATGCTGGCCACATGACCCGGAAGCTGTGCGCCGGCTCCCTCGGCCAATAAAGCGAGATGAGCGCCGAACCCCAGAGTCGGCCACGACTGGACCTAATGGTCAGGGGTCCCTTTACCTTTAAGAGAAAGATGGCTGCATGACTAGCCGCTTTATAGGGTCTGCCAGGGTCACGCCCATCTACCTGGTCTCACGCAGGCGAAGGATGCTCCAGACCAGGTGTGACAGGAAGTCCTCCTGGCTGGAGCAACGTCCCCTGTGTGTCCACTCTGGGCAAACAGGAAATGCTGTACTTGCCTGCTTCAGTGATGTTGCATCCCACGTTGAGAGCTATCGAAAGTATACAGCAGGGGTGAGAGCACGGTAGATCGAGGTGCGGCCCCAGCGCTCTGGCTGCTCTCTCCTCAGGGCTTTGCTTGCCCCAGCTGTGGGGTGTCCTCTCTGTGTTCCAGGTTCCGACGGGCTCCCACACAGTCCTCGCCATCATGGGGGAGGAAGAGATGGTGAACCAGGTGACCGGGCAGCTGAAACTGCTGAACTGAGAAGTGCTTCAGAGCGTGGCTCTGTCCGCCCCACGTGGAGTCCGCGGGGCCGCTGCCCCTGTGTGTACGCACACGCTTTTCTCGTGGGAAGAGGAAGCTCCTGCCAACAGCAGCTCTCGAAGGCCCGTCAGGGCAGCATGCCGAACAGAGGGGTGGCTCTCCTTTGCGATAAGAGGAGCGCTCCTTTTCTCCCCCCCCCCTTTTCTTTTTCTTTCCAGTACGGCAGAGGCTTTAAAGCTCTCTCCCCCAGTTGGATTGTTAGGGTTCTCTCCCCAGTGGCTCTGTCATGGATATAGGTCTTCATTTCCCATACCGCCCTCAAACCAGGTGTGATGATGTGCAGGTGTGGCCCGAGCTTCTGTGCGGAGGGAAACCATGAAAGGAATGCTGGGGTCACCTGGCAGCGGGAAGGCTGACCTTGTACCTAACGCATCGCCGCCTCTTGTCAGTCTCGTTCGGGGCACTATTATTATTATTACTGAAGGAATGAAGATGCCGCAACCCCTCTGGACCGCTTATTGTGTCGCTGAACTGCTCTTAGGAAGCTGTCGTTATCTCTGTTTTAGCCAAAAGTAGTTGAAATCCCTTGTCTTTGTATTCCTGCTTGTGGACTGTTTTCCCATCTTTGCGGCATCCTTCCTGTTACCCTTTTCAGATGACTTCAGGGGGTGGGGGGTGGAAAAGGATTTTGAAAATAGAGTTCGCAACGTACTATCACGTCTCCAGCCAACGGATGGGGGATGGAATAAGGAATGGCTGTGCTGGGACACATCCAGAAATAGGCCATAGCTGACACAGGAGGGTTAAATCAGACATGGAGAACTTTTTTTTCCTGCTGGGGGGCTGTATTCCTGGGTGGGTGGGGGCAATCATTAGGGCTGCATGCTAGCAGTGGGTAGGATCCGAGTCCAAAGTGGGTGGGATACCGTCCTTTTCTCCCCTGCCTTCTCATCTTCCCCACCCCACCCAATTTTGCTCCTTTCCCAGCCACCCACATGAAATTAGGCTGTGACGTTTGTCTGCCCACCCTTGTTTTATAGCAGCAGAGAGAGGCAGCCAGAGCAGGGGTAGTCAACATGGTGCCCTCCAGATGTTGCCGGACTCCCAACTCTCATTGGCCTCAGCCAGCATGACCAATAATCTGGGGTGTGTTGGGAGTTGGCTGTTCAGCAAAAACCTGGAAGGCCTAATGTTTCCTACCTAGCCCAGAGCTAAGGTCCAATGTAGAAGAGAATGCAGCTTTGCTGGTGTTCGGCGGTGTGCGATCCTTTCCTTCCCCTTCTGTCCAATTAAAAACCCAATGTGAGTGTTCCTGTTTCGGTAGAACAACAGTATTCAACGAATAAATGAAAAACATGCCTCTTGAGAAGGGATTCATGAGAAGGGAAGCGGGGGGACGGGATGGGACTTGAGAGCTCTGCTGCGCGGGTACTTGTCGCGTGGTGGGGCATTTTCCCAAGTGGCAAAACAGATGTCCGCTCGCCTTGGTGTCGTTCCCAGAACATCTCCCTAAGGCATGTTTTAGTGTTTGTTCCAGATTCTCACACATTCAGAACAAGAGGCCCACACACCAGGTCTGTGACGGAGGCTTGTTGTGAACGTGGGTCTCTTGTTGTAGCGGTTTTTCTACCTGCTAGACATTTATATTTCCAGAACTCTCCCCTATACCAAACTGCAACCTGCAATCCATTTTTGGACTTTGCGTCCTTTCCCACCGGTGTCTTCTGCTGTGAAAGGAATGGATGGCGGCCATTTTGAATTTTTATGATAGCAGAAACTTGGGGGTACAGTCTATACAGGAGCCTGGGATTGCATGGCTTGACTTAGCTTTTATATAGGGTTGTGTTCACTCAAGTCTTGGGTCATAAAATTGGGGTCAGTGGCTCTGGGCGTAGCCAAGATTTTTTGGGGGGGCAGGTCTTTTGTTGGGGGGGCAGGACCTCAGTTAGCTATGTGTTTTTATTGATTTGGGGGGGGGAGTTGCCCCCTTGGCTACACCCATGTCAGTGGCCCTGCCAGTTGAAGGCCAAAACTGTTAGCTTGTCTAGATGAAAGAAGGTAAACCTGGTATGTGGTTTGCTTGACCAAAGTTACCAGCTGTTTTCCGACAGGGCTCTCTACCTGTTGAAACAGATATTCCCTAGGTGTCGTTTATCCCAGCATGCAGATGACGTGATGAGAAAAGCTGTCTGCTTTAATTTTTTAAGCGTTTGTTTGTTTTCTTTAAAAAAATACATAGGTAACTCTAGATGCCACCTGTAACACCTGTATTGCTGCTTGTCCAGTTCAGTTTTCAGTACACATTGACAGCTGTGGAAATGGCTGCCAATTCTATGTCAAAAGTTGGAACAGAAGATGTAATATCACCCCCACCCCCTAATTTTGTTTTCAGGTGGAACTCTAGTTGAAGGTCTTTTTCTAGCTGTAGCTTCAATTAATATAAAAAAACTCTCTGCTGGTTGGTTGCATAGCTCTATGTCCATGGGAATTACGATGGTTCTGTTATAGTAAATTTGGAAAAGAAAAAGCTTATGAGTGTTGCAAATAGGCCATTCACCCAGAGGCCCGGGATATTGCAGTCCAGATAAGATTTGCCATCAAACTCCCCTCCTTTAAAACGTGGCACAGTATTGTGGTGTGGCCCAATATTTGACTTCAAAAGAGGAAACTTTCCCCAAGTGAGGAGACTTATAAAAAAGGAAGTTGAAAGGTGAAGCCCAGAGGATTGAGTCACTCCAAAATGCTTAGGAGTTGTTTGAAAATGCAATATCGGAAGCTCAGCAGGAATGTTTGTGGCAGACCAGGAACGATGTCATGAGGACCAGTAGGATGCCAGCATGATGAAAGAGCAGAGTCAAGGAAGTTATTAAGGAGGCCCTTTTCAAAATACGGAAGCCTTATCTAAATGAAAAGGACAAGAAGGAAGCAAAAGCTTTGGTTCATATACACAGTAAGGGATGCGTAAAGGAATTTGAGGTGCACATTGCTAAAAGCATTAAGACTTAACAACAAAGAAGTTATTTAAATACATTAGTAGCAGGAGACCATCTAGGGATGTGGTTGGACCTTTATGACAAGGAGGTCAAAGGAGGATGAGGAGATGGAGAAGCTGAATGAATTATTTGCATCTGTCTTCACAGTGGAAGTTATAGGGCAGATTGCAGTGCCTGAAATACTTTTTTGCAGGATGGAGCCTGAGGAACTGAGGCAGTCAGTGGTGTTTAGAGACGAAAGTCTAGGTCTAACAGACAAAATGAAAACTGACAACTTGCCGGGTCTGGATGGCGTCCACCTGAAAAGCTCTCAAAGAACTTAAATGTGAAACTGCAGAACTTCTCACAAAAATAAGTTACTCAGATCAGCCTCTATAGCCAAGGACTGGAAAGTAACCTATGTAACATCAAAAAGGGATCCTGGAAATCACTGGCCGGTTAGCTTAACGCCTGTCCTGGGAAAACTGGTGGAAAGTATTGTTAAAGATAAAATAACCAAGCATATAGAAGAACAAGTCTTGCTGGAGCAGAGGCGAGCATGGCTTCTGTAAGGGCAAGTCTTGTCTCACGGACCTATTGAGGTATTTGAGAGTGTTAACAAGCATATAGATAGAGGTGATCCAGTTGACATAGTGGACTTGTGACTTTTCAAAAAGCTTTTGACAAGGTAGCCCACTACAGACTCCTGAGTAAGCTTAGCAGTCCTGGAATAAGGATCAGGGATTGCTTAGGTTGGAGGCCCCAGAGTCTGAATAAATGGTCAATTCTCAGAATAGAGATGTAAAAAGTGGAGGGCCGCCAAGGATTGGTATTGAGACCTGCACTTTTTAACTTGTTATATTCAGGATCTAGAGTTAGAAGTAGGCAACAAGGTGGCCCAAGGTTTGCTGACGATACTAAATGGTTCAGTGTCGTTAAAACAAAAAGAGCTCCGAAAGGATCTCTCCAGTGGGTGGCAAAATGGCAAATGCAATTCAATGTAAACAAGTGTTGGGGCAAGAAAAATCTTAAGTTTCACATATAACCCCATGGAATATGAAGTGGTGGTGACTGACCAGGACCAAGACCTTGAGGTCATGGTCTATAGCTCCATGAAGATGTTGGCAGGAGCAGCAGCAGTTGTGAAAAAGGCAAATGCCCTGCCTTTAATGTCATTATTAAAGGCGCTGAATATAATCTCATCATGCCGTTATACGAACCTATGGTGCGACTGCATTTGGAATACTAGAACGTCCAGTTCTGGTTGCCTCGCCTCAAAAAGGATATTGCAGAGTTTGAGAAGGTTCAGAGAAGGACAACCGAAGGGGATGGAGGAAAAGTTGCAGCATTGAAGACTTTTTAGTTTGGAGGAGAGGTGCCCTGATAGAGCAGCGGTTCTCAACCTGTGGGTCCCCAGATGTTGTTGGACTACAACTCCCATCATCCCTGAGCTCTGGCCTTGCTAGCTAGGGGTGATGGGAGTTGTAGTTCAACAACATCCGGGGACTTACAGGTGGAGAAAGGCTATGATAGAGGATTATGGCATGGCCCAGAGGAGGTGGGTAGAGAAGCCCCCCCCCCCCCCTTGCGACACTAGAACTCTTGGTCCTCCAATGAAGCTGAATGTTGGAAGATTCAGGACAGATGGAAGAATGGCACTTCACACATTATGTAGTTAAGCTGTGGCGCTCGCTCCAATGGCCACCAACTTGGATGGCTTTAAAAGAGGATCAGGCAAAGTCACGAAGTATAAGCCTAGCCGGTGCTACCAGCCATGGTGGCAAGGCTTGTGTACACTTGGAGGCCTCTGAATCTCAGTTGCTGGATTCCACCGGAGAGGGAAAGTGCTCTTGTGCTGGGGTCTCGCTTGAGGGTTTCCCATGGCCATCCTATTGGCCACTGTGAGAACAGGATGCTGGACTAGACGGGCCATACTGGCCTGATCCTGCAGGCTCATCTTACGTGCTGAAAAGGAGAGTTCGGCACGAACCAGCAGGTTTAATAGCCTGGCCCCGTTTTAACAGGTCACGAGGAGCGTTTCTGGGTAAGGAGGGTTGAGTGGGGGTGCGGTCCTTTTTTTTTGTCATCCAATAAAAGCATTTTGTTAGCCTGCCTCTCTCACCCTGCCATTTAGGTCAAGTATTTCGCCACACAATGAGACAAATTGCTGGCAGAAGCCCATGTTGCAGGCGGAGGGTGGGGTGGGGGCTGGGGGTAGGAGAAGACAAAAAAGCTTGCAACTAGGTTAAGAGCCTCTTCGAATAAAGACAACGTGATGTTTACAGCCGAGTCATAAACCCCCCGATGGTTTGGAGTGACTCGTAAGACAGGGTCCTGCTGGTAGCTGTGCAATTTGCTAAGTTTATGTACCGGCAAAGTAAAGAAACAAATTGCCTGGCGTATTTAGCGCTGGCAAGCCTGGAGGGTTGGAACAGGGGCAGAGAGAGCCAGCTGCCTCCCATCTCCTCGCTTCTCTGTGGCGGCAACCACAGAGGGTTTAGAAAAGTGAAAGCAGGCAGGCAAAAAGAGGGGGGGGGGAGTCACGTTGGTATTCCCATCTGTGCTACGGGTTCCACTTAGGAGCTGGGTTAAAGCAGGCTCGAAGGCCAATCCCGCTTCTTGCAAGAGAACTCGTTCCCATATATGTGAGTTTGTCGGGCGGTTGCTTTAACCAGTTGCGTGTGGCTGTGTGCTTTTGCACTTGTTGCTACAGGAGGTGTTCAGCTTGCTAGTTTTGCCTCGCCCCCCTTCTAGGGTAGCTCCTGTGCCTTTTTTTAAACACCTGTATGGTAAGTAAAAATTGTGGCGCTGCTGCCGCCGCCACCACCACTGGTTCCTCCCTTTTCCCATCTTGGCTCCAGATTTGGGGAGCAGATTTGGCCCCTTGCTCTCACCTTCGCTACGACTAAGGGAGACTGCTACGGCAAGCAGGGCTTTGTGTGGCAGTGCAGACACCACCCTGTGGCCACAGCTGTCTGCAATGCAGGTGGGTGGCACTGCAATCCATTGGTCTGGTTTATACATCAGTGTGAATACCCATGTGAAACGACCATGTTTTCTCTCGACATTTGCTGGGTTTTTCTCGTCGAAGCCTTTGGCCATGTCCTATCATTACTAGCCACCTGGATGAGGACTAAAAGACTCCTCTAAGTATATTTAACGGCATTTGCTCACATTCCTCTCCTCTCCCCCTTTCTATCTAATACTGTCAAAATTTAGATTGCTGCTTCATGGGGCAGGGACCTGCCTCCTTTTTTTTCTCCTTAAATCAGCGCCGTAAGGGTTCCATGTACAATGATAGTGCTGTATAAATGATTAAAAATGTATGCAAGCTTCCAAGTGTATCGTGTTTTTAATTAAACGTTAAATTTGCATATACCTGACATCCTACATCGCATTTCAGTGACTTGCATTATAGTAATATACTAGTCTGGGTAAATCTTACTTTGCATCATCAGATTGCAGATGTTATTCAGCTCAGTTTTACTCATGGTAGACCCACTGAAATTAATGAGCATGACTAGGTTAAGTCCGTTAATGTCAGTAGGTCTACTCTGACTAAAGTTTGTTTGAATACCACTCAATATCAGTATTTATAAGTACTGTGTATCAACAAACATGAAAAAAAGGAAATTCTGCCTTAGTAGCAATATAAAAGTGCTGAGTTGAGGCATAGCTTCCAGCAAGCTCCAACACCAACTTGGGATCCTAAGCATACAGTGGTACCTCAGGTTAAGAACTTAATTCGTTCTGGAGGACCGTTCTTAACCTGAAACTGTTCTTAACCTGAGGTACCACTTTAGCTAATGGGGCCTCCCGCTGCTGCCGCCACACCATTTCTGTTCTCATCCTGAAGCAAAGTTCTTAACCCGAGGTACTATTTCTGGGTTAGCAGAGTCTGTAACCTGAAGCGTCTGTAACGCGAGGTACCACTGTACAAATCTGCCACAAGGTTCCATGTTTTGAGCACGAAGCTGGCTGTGAGAAGAGAAACCCTTGATGTAAGCAAAGCCAAAAAAGTAACACAAGTCTGGTTCATAGCAGGAATGAGAACCAATAGTCTCTTAACCACAGATGCCCAGGGAGAAGGATTGTTCCTCTGTCATGTGGGAGGTCAAAATTCTACTGAATACATTTATATTTATTTTCCTTTCTGCCACAGCACATCCTTTGCATGCAGAAGGTTCCGGTTCCAGTCTCTGGCATCTGAAAAAAGAGCAGGGAACATTGGATGGTGAAGAGCTCAGCCTGAGACCCTCAAGGACCACTGCCAGTCAGGGCAGACTGTGACTTGACTTGGATACTTTAGTTGAGATTCCTGCATTGCAGGGGGTTGGACTAGATGACCTTGGGTCCCCTTCCAGCTCCTTTATCGTTTTGTGAAATAACATTAGAGGGATACAGCATTGGGGTCCTACTTGGGACTCCCCAGTGGCATTGGGTTTGCTGCTGCTGGATACAGGATGGTGGAGAAGATGAGTTTTAGTCTGATTTGGCGGGACCTGGGGAACCTGGTGTCATCCTACACTTGAGTAGGACCCTTGCAGAGACACATACCCAATTGGCATGTTCTCTCCCTCCTGGTCGATCGGGAGCTTCAAAAGCTTTCTTCAGCCCGAACACCACAGCGACCGATGCCAGCACACTTCGGGATCCGCAGAGTCTTCGCAGCTTGTGTAACAGACCTCAGCATTTTGGCTAATCTACTTTATTTACATAGAAACACACACGGAGCACTGCAACATGGCTCCCTCTCTCTCTAGCATCGGACAGCAAAGAGGGAAAAAACAAAGGACGATAGTCCCACTTCACGGAACACAGTAACACAAACATCCTGTCTCCATCGCTTCCCGCTCTGTGGAGTCATAACATACACCATCATACAACTCCCATGACAGCAATCACGGAGCAGGAATTCTAACACGTGGATGGTGGGCCCCAGCCCCCTTCAGACCCACCCAGCAGTCTGGGATGAAGGCAGTTGTAGTCCAGAAACATTTCGTAGGCCTCTGGTGTTCCCATCCACCCCACCCCAGACTTTGGCAATAGCGGACTAGGCAGACAAATACTTTGTAAGACAATTTTCTGGGTTCATATGACCAGGCGGTGAAGACTGCTGTCTATCACCTCCCCACCCCCCAATATGAATTTAAGTTGTTGATGGAAGACCCAACATGCCTGATAACAGTGAGCAAGGGTATTTTTCACAGCGGCCAGCCCAGCGCTCTCAAAATAACCTAATCGTCCAGCGTGTACAATGCCTTTTTGGCCACCAGGTGCCGCTGTCTGTCCCCTGCTTTGCCACAGACACGGGGAGCAGCTGTGCCAGTTTCCTGTTCTCCACATCCTGGCGGAGGAGGGAGGCTGGACTGTTGCATTATGGGGCCTGATATAGAAACAGGGTTGTGGCGGCTGCTGCTCCTTTTTTTTCTTTTTAAAGTGGGGGATGGGACTTCCAAAATCTCAGCCTACCGGAAGGCAGCCTCATGTCCCATTGCGCCGATGTTAAGTGTTACTACATCCTGCAAACGCAGACAGGGAATACCGAGATGGGAAGGGAGTTTTGGAGGGCCTAAGAACTAAAAATACAAGACTCTGGATTTGTGGATCTTGAGTTTAGAGGTAACGTAGCCAGGACTTGCCGCTGAGTGACAAAGCAGATATTTAGTAGGTAAAGTTACACACACACACACACACACACAAAAAACATGCAGATAAGAGTCATGGGGAAAGTCATCTGCTGGTTTTCTGTGAGTCACGTAGCTCTGAAAAACAGCAGCCCTGCTAGAAAACAAAAAGGTGGATTGCTCTATCGTGTGTGTGCAATATGGAACACCATATATGTGCATCTACACACCCTACTGGCAAACTGGAGTTCTCCACATTGCAACATATCCCTGCAGTTCCCACTTTTTTCTCCCTGTCCTTGACTGTTACAGGATCTCCTTTCCTTAGTGGCAGCAACTGCAGAGAGAAGGTTGAGGCCCTCTCTCAGTGCCCACCCAACCCAGAGCTGCCAGATAGCTACACCACCCCTGTCCCAGCACAATCTACAACAAAAGGGAATCGGCCTCGGCTAGAGCCACACGGCATTGCCAAACAGATCTTCTCTCCTCCCCTGCCGCCTTCCCCATACGTGCCTTTTAATTTGCGAGCCTCTACCATTTCTGTTTGGCACCCCTCGCTGGCGTTGTGTACTGAGTTTTAATTGCTCTGACCCTTTTTGGGGAAGCAATCCCGGTCTGAAAAGAGGGATGAAAATATAACTATGCAGCCAGGGGCATGCTCATTAATTTTGCCAGGCTTAGGTGCACGCAGCTCGGCTGTGCAGCTGCCTGCTCTGCAGCAGACACAGGTCTGTGTTTAGCTGGCTCCCAAGGTGGGGGAAGGTGGGAGGGGTGGCAGACATCTACGGAGAGACGGTGGCTGAGAAAAGACTTCCTGGAACTGCATTCTGCAAATGTATCTAAAAGACACTTCAGATGGCCAGAGGGCCACACTTGGCTTCTCTTCAAATGCAAGCAGGCTAGCAGCCCATCTGGATCAAGAATAGATATCAGAGTATGACCCACATAAGGTACAGAGAGTCTAGGGTACCAGACCAGGACTCCTCACCGACAGAGATGGGTGCTGCTTATATTAACACACCTGTGGCCTTGCAGATGTTGTAGGCAGTATTCTCATCAGCCTCACCCAGCACAGTCATAGACCAGGTGAGCTGTTGTCCCACAGCACCTGAAAAGTCCACAGATTCTCCATCTCTGCCCATGTGGAGTCCTGGTCTTGTACCCCAGCCTCTAAACCTTGTACCTCTATATCACTCTAACTGATGTTCTTTTTAGTGGCTGGCAAGTCCTCTAGAGCTGCCATAGCTATCTTGACTTTCCAGAGGCGTAGCCCTTTTAGCCTATTGCGGCGAAAACAATGGAGACTTGTGTGGCACCTTAATGATTAACACATTGACTGCAGCATATGCTTTAATGCACTGCAAAATTTGATACTGGGCTTTCTCTGAATTCTGCGATAACATATTGTCAACAGGCAAAAGGGCCTATTCGTGATGGAGCACTTGCAATGAGCACCTTAAAGGAAGCTCCTCCGACCATCACTTTTTACTCCATTGTTGGTACAGAACTGGTCTCGATCTCTCCCCACACGCGTTCCCTCCTTTCTTTAAAAAGTGCTGCTCCTCATTTTTAACACGAAGCTTTGTGAGAAAGGGCGTTAGAAAAGGATGTACGCCCAAATTCAGGCTGCGCAAGGAAAGCGGCAGATGAAATTACTGTGTACACAGCACCGCCAATGTTTATAGAGAAGAAAACCGGCCCTTCCCTCAGAGGATTTCCTACTCTCAGGGAAGGCAACCTGTGCAAAGGGGGGGGGGATTTTTTGGGGTGTGTGTGGACAGGGTAAGCTACAAATTATTAGGGCCGCCGGATCTTGTGCACGCTTACTTGGGAACAAATCCCGGCTAATTCGGCAGGGCCCCGAGTAAATACGTGCATTATAGGCTTGGGATACAAGATCACGAGGGGGAGGGAGCGTGAGGCGATGCAGAGCAGGCATAGACAGTCGATCCTGGCAGCAGGCGGACGGTGGAAAGACGAGAGGGCCGCCGCCGCCGCCACAATAGGGCTTATTGGCAAAGCCCGCATTACATCCTGCAGCAGTGCGAGCCCTAACCTGCCCTAAGTAACGAGAGCGCTTCCAGCCTAGCACACACCCCCTTTCCTGGCGCGAATCTCCCCTGCAGTCACCCCCGCCCGCCTGCAGCCCAGCCACCCAGGAGGAGGGTGCATGCGCCGTGTTGCAGCCAGCTCTTCCTCCCAGACCGGTTCTTCGGCGCGCATGCACAGAAGCGCCCTCCGGAGCCAGCGCTGAGCCCGGCCCCTCCCCCCCCCCCCGCTCCCATGCCACGTGTCCCCAAGCAGCACTTAACCCCACGTGGGACTGGCTAAAGACGAGCCAATCGGAAGATTGCCTCGCCCTTGAGCACGTAGAGCAGCAGACCCACGTGCGCAGAGGCGCGGGCAGCAGCCGAACTGCCCTGAACAGCTTCTCTCCCTCTCGTTCTATCCTCCCCATCCATCCACCCACCGCACCCGCACTGCTCTGAGCTGAGCAAAGCTGCCGCGCTTGCTTTTATAGCCTTTGCCGAGGCTGACGCGAAGCAGAGTGGCGTTTCCAACAACCAATAGCGCAGCGCCTCTGCGAAGTTGGCGGCGGCTGGGGCCGCTGGGGCTTACAGGGGAACGGGATGGGGGCGACCGCCGGCCCTAAGAGAAGGGGCCCAATAGGAGTCGGGAGAGGCGGGGGCGGGAGGAAGAGCGGAGGGGGTGGAGATCGCGCGGAAAAGCCGGCCAATGAGTGGGGCCGGTGGGCGTGGCTGGGGCGCCCCTGGCGCCAGCGCTGGGAATCCCCGTGCGCTCAGTGCCGTTTCCGCCCGGCCTGCTGAGGAGGAGCTGTTGGCTGTTCGCTGGTGCCGCGGAGGGGGAGGGGCCGCGGCCGCTGCTCTGTGGAGCTTGAGCTCTCGGTCCCGCCTGCCGCCTAGGAAACACCGTGGCGCCCAGCAGGGCCTAGTGCCGGGGGCCCGGGCAACGGGCCGGACAGGTCAGCCAAGGCAAATGAAGAGCAGGAAAAAGGGGGCGTGTGGGGTGAAGAGGGGACACCCGTTCAAAAGGCGGGAGGCGGGTGGGAAAGAGACCCATGGAGGGGGAGGGGCGGGAAACTTATGGTGGTGGTGGCGGTGGTGGTGAGGGGTTGCTTCTCGGTGCTCCTTCCTCTGCTCCAGCCCCTTCTCTCACCGCCTCCTTTCAAGCTCCCGCATCTTTCCAGCTGCCCCGGAACTCTCTCCATGCATTCTCTGCCCTGCTGTGGGGGGTTTAGGGGTGTGGGGGGCGGGGAGGGCCGAGAGAGGGAGAAGTACCTCAGCCTGGCTCTTCCAGGAGAAGTGGAGCCTCTCCCGCATGTCGGAGGGGAAAGAAAGAGGTCACACTCCCTGGCCTGCGCTGGGCACCCCGGGTTCCCTGCACCTTTGGAGGCACCTGGATGTGAAGAGAGGGGTGCGTGTGAATGTGTATACATATACGTGTGTGCATATATATCTATATATCTATATATCTACATACATTCACACGCACTCCTCTCTTTACATCCAGATACCTCCAAAGGTGCATAGGTGTGTGTATATATATTTCTATATACCTCCCTTTTTTGTGTGTCTGTGAGTGTGTTTTTTGTGTGTCTGTGAGTGTGTGTTTTTGTGTGTGTGAGATTGGGGGTGCGTCCATGAGTGGGAATCCCCGCCGAGGTCTTCCCGCAGGGAGGGAAGGTGGTGGGACTGTTTTCCATTTCGCTCCCACCCATCCCCCACCTTCCTCGCCGTGGGGGGTGCGGGTGAGCTTGCCTGGTGCCAGGCGCTGGAGGAGAGCGGGGGCGTCATGGCGAACCTGCGTGTCTGGTCCTGGAGGAGGTGGGAGGGAGAGTGGCCTGTGTGTGTGTGTGTGTGTGTGTGTTGTGAGAGGGAGAGAATGGGTGGTGGGGGAGGGGTGGTGGTTTGAAGGAACCTCTGAATTCATTCCTGTTTCGGGTTCCCAGGCAGGATTCTCTCGGTGCAGTGTGTATGTGTGCGCGTGTGGAGCAGGGTCGTGCTGGAGGTGGGGAAGTAGCCGGTCCAATCTTCTGTGGAAAGCCTACTGTGAGAATGTGGGAAAATCCCTTTCTGGGACGATGGCTTCCACTTCAAAGCAGCTGTTTGCCAGGAAAGGGTGTGTGTATGTGTGTGTGCGTGCGACCGCCCGTCTGTGCTCCTCTGTGAGTTCACCATTGCCTCCCCTCTGCTTCCACCCCTCCTCCTCCATGTGCTGAAGCAGCTTCCCCTGAGCTGCTGCTGCTGCTGCTCCTTCCCTTCCCGCCCCCTCCCTTTCCTCGGCTGTCTGCTTCTGACTTGCTGGCTCCTTCAGGCAACGGGGGAGGAGGTGTTTGACCTGCATTTTCTGCTTTCTCATGGTGCTTGTGTGGCGATGGTGGTGCACTTTAATAATCCTCTTCTCCTTTTCCCTTGCCTGCTGCTGGAGGCTGCAGTATGGACCCCCTCCCCCAACTTTTTCATTGTCTGACGTGTGTGCTCTATCAGGGTACTTTTTTCGGTTTTCTTGCATTGATCTCTGCGTCTTAATTGGTAACACAGCCTCTTGTAAACACAATAATAGTGCTGTGGGCAAGGTCGTCACCGTCTCCCCCCACTCTTGTCTTTAGCAGCTTGTCCTTGGGGTGCCAGTGGCCTGCTACTTGAAAAAGAGCTGCCTCGAACTGAGACAAAAATCCTTTTTACAGTTTTGGGGAATGGTTTGTTTAGTAATCTGGGAAGTGGTTGGTGAGGTTAGAGAATGTCAGGAGCTTCTTCCTTGTGAACTACCTAGCTGAGAGAGGGTTTGGTCTCTGCAGTTAACCAGTGGGGTCTCCTGTACTTCAGGCAGCAGCCCCTATGTTCAGGGAGATTTTTGCAGAATGGAACAAAACATGCTACTGGGATTCCTTTTGCTGAGGTTGGTGTTACTTTAAGGAGATAATGGCCCTTGCAGTGTGGCCTCCTGCAGTTTCTCTCCCTGGCCCATTATGTAATTGGAGTATTTAAGGCTCACTCAGGCAGAGGCTGTGGGCAGCACAATGAATTGGTTTTGTATTGTAGGGGGATGGGGCCATGGCCTCAAAACCCATGATTTTTGGCAGTGAAGACATAGGCCTGATTGCAAAAATGTTTTCCAAATGAGCTGTCGACACTTGAGGATATGGGTTACAGACTAGACAAAGACGGACTACTTCCTTAATGGCGTTCAGGACTCTCCCTTTTCACCTATGAAGGTGACATCAGGCAGTCTGCCCCCTCCCCCCCTCCAGCTGGCCCAGGAAGTCGGTTTTGCTAGCTATGTCTTGCAGCGCAGAGGTGACCGAGGTTGTTGCTTTGCTTTGGATCCTGTGGGTGAACGTTCAGAGCGTTGACAAGCAGCTAATGTTGGCTCTGGAGCTCTGGTTGCTACGTGAGAAGCTTCAGTAGTGTTGGCTGCTGTCTCCAGGGAAGGACAGAAGCACAACCTCCATTAGTGCTGCACTTAGGAGATGGCTGGTTCATGCACTGAGAGGGGACTCTTCTTTCTGGGGCATGCAAGCTTTCAACTAGGATGATGCAAATTGAGTTTTCACCCATCGCTGTCACAGTCTTTGGGACTGCTTTTAGGATTTGGCCTGAATATCCAGGGATGTCTGTCTCCTTTATAGCCTTTGCAATTGCAAGAATTGATCTGATCTTTCTGAAGTGGGAGATGCAGCACTGTGATTACAGTTTGTCTGACTTTAGCTTCCCTTCCAGTAAATCAGAGAGCCAGATGCTTTGCTTATTGTTTGTAGGTCTCTTTCCTCCCCTTACATTGCCTGGGCCCCATTTGCCTTATTGACAGGAATTTCTGCTTTCTGCAATGGGTGTGTACAGCAGGCACTAGCCTCCTAGCGCTGAGAGGATTTTCCATTCACAGAGTGCAGTCAAAATATGACACATTTTGCAAGTGGCAGCAGAGCCCGTTTGAAAGAATGGCCCCTTCCAGCTAGGTACCTGGGCAAAGCACACATGGAACTGCTTGAGGCAGGTTTACAACAAGTACACTGTTCCCCGTATAATACAACAGTGGTCTATTTCTGGTGCTTATAAATATCTGCTCCTGCTTAAGTATTGTGGTGCTTTAACATACTTGCTTCTTGAAGTCTTACAGTCACCATAGTCTAATCCCATGGTTAAACACTGTGATGCAGGCTTTCTTAAGGAGACACTGGCAGTTGTAAGGGGAAGACAGAGCTCCTCCTTGACATTGTCTTGTGTGCTGGATCTGTCAGGGAGCAGAGTGTTGAGGTGCCCTCCTCTGGTTGGTAAGACATGGGCAGTTGCCTAATATCCATAACTGACAATATGGAGGAGGAGGGGAGCTTTCCTTGCAAGTGCTATTATATGTTTACACATCATGTGTGCCCCTCAACCATGATTTGATCCATTTGTCTAGGACTTAAGTGATTATGCTTGCTAAATCTCTGATTTGGTTGGTTTTGGTGGAGGCTGTTAAGATTGTGGTTTTGAGAACCCCTGGAATAGATGTTGAACACCCTTGAAAACGTTCTTTAAACACCAGAAGAATCTGGCATGATTTGCCTACATTAAAGGGTGGCATTTGTGATGGTTTATACTGAAAACGATGACACTTTAAAATTGCATCCTGGTTTCATAATATGACATTAATGCAAAAACAAGCTGCAGGGTCTTCATATTAAAAAGTGGTTTTTCAAACCTGCAGAGCTGCTTTAACACATAAGTCTAGGCTGCAACTCATTTTGGCAGATTTCTGTTATGAAGAAAGATATTTGTATTGCTGTGCTAGGCAGTGTTATCCTACTGTGACTGAGTACAAATGATTCTCATATTGAAAATGATCCTGAACAGTATGGTATATTTGAAATATTTCTCATTTCAAATATACCATACTGTTCAGGATCATTTTCAAATATGAGAATTTGTAAAACTGAAAAAATAACTCATATTCCTGAGACCCAAAATGTTAGGAGCCCTAATAACCATACATGCTGGTGTTCTCCCCTCACACAGTTGGAGGAATCCTGATAAAATTCTTGATGTTTCTGCGTCTTGAGTGTCAAGGGTATTAGCTGGTTCTAGGAAAATGAACGTTTTTGCTAGAAAATGCTTGACTCAGATGTTACAATTTTTAAAAAACAACAACTTTACAGTGCTTTTCTATTAATTTTAGCTATGATACTGAAGACCACTGTAAACCTTGAAGTGGCTTTTAGAGTGATTCTGTTGAGCTCATTTGGAAATAATACTTTAGAGTAAGCAGTTTGATGATAGCTTCCTAACTGGTTGTAAAAACAGAAGTAAAGCAATACAAAGAACAGCAGATAAAGGCAAAAATGTGTGCCACCTGTTCCCTGCTCCTAAGCAACTGCAGTAGACCCTTGAGCTTGTCAGTGAGCAGTGCCCAAAGATCTTTAGTATTCACTTGAATTTCATTTCTGAATACCACTGAAATGGAGCTAATGGCTGCATGTTCCATTCAGGACACAAACAGAATTGTAGTGATATCCTTCATTGGCCTTCAACATGGCCTGGAGCTCCTCTTCTGTATTCCACAGAAAATATTAAACTGTTTTCAAGGCTGGGATACCCTGTTATCAGTCAACTCTGTGCTTCCTTCCCTCTAAATTAGAAGCTTAAGTATATTAAGGAACATGCCAGGGAGCATGTGGCTTCTGAGTATCCGCTGGGCCTTTCAACCTACTTGTGTTTGATGCCCCTTTCGTAGGGCCATTTCTTTTCTCATTCAGAACATTATTTGGTCACATCAGAATTGTTGTTAGAAACTCAGATTTATAAGCTAGGGGGCAAATGGCTCATTAAACCAATGTTGCAGTCGCCAAAACGGAATGTCTAGTTGCTATTTTGGGATAAGATGGCTCTAAAGTCTTGTTTTTCAAATGATGGACTGACCGTGATTGATTATTAGTTAAATATCTGGCTTGTACAGATTACAACCTTAAGCTAGGTTAAGAACTTTGAGAACTTTATCCAGGAACAGTTTCTACTTCTTTTTCTTAATGGTGACATGGGCCATTCATGATGTAAGAATACTGTAGTCTTCACAACTGTGAGCAGGGACGGGGGGGGCGGGTAGGTGAAAAAAAGCATTTTGGTTCCTGAAATTCATTATGATTGTGCAGTTAAAATATAACTGATAGAATTCTACAGGATGTGGTATTAGTATGTGAAAACGGTCAAGATCCATGGAATTGCACTTTTGTCCCCAATTTCACACCTTTTATCAAATGGAATTTCAGTTTGTAAGTCACGCTGGTGTGGTTGCCTACATTAAGATGCTTGGTGCCCTTTGTACAGTTAGGTACAACACATTTTGGTCCCTTAAGCCCGACTGCAGTAACACTACAACAATGCAGTTTTGTGGGGATGTTGACTTGTAGAAAACATAAGGGCAATAGAAACCGGTATTGAACAAATGGCTTTAATTGGAATGGTGTTAGCAAAGAGCTTATCCTGTAAGGTGGAGGAACTGAATGAAATTGATACAGGTTGGCTACTCAGGTTGAATAATGGCTAACAGATAAGGAACTGGCTTTCAAAGTATTGACAATTGAAAATAAATACATAGGGTTTGAGAAATTGAAGAGTTAGTCATTGCCCTGGCAAATTTTACTCATATTAGGGGCAATTCTGGCGCAGTTTTCTCTGATGGACAGTGGGACTACACTAGTGCAGAAGAGGTACTTGAATGGATTCCTTGAGCAGAAGTTCTGGAATTCATTTATTTTGGGGGCATCCCTGCTGAAGACAAAAACAGTTACTTATAGTCTCACTTCCTGTACATCTAATTTGTGTGACTTTTAAAAATAGAAAGTTAGGCAATGTAAGTTTTTACAGTCTTGCTATGTTCCTCACTCTTCTTTGTGAGTCTGGGTTATCAGGGTTCTTGCTGCACTGATGTCCTATCCCAGATAAATGATAAGGGGTAGCCCAAATGTTGTGCTTGAATCTTTTAAAATTAAGAACCCAGTCTTGAATACTATAATTAGCAAATATCAGGCTTTTCAGTTATTCTAACAGCTGGTTTAACAAATCTCTTTCAGAGAACAAAATGGGACTTACGTGGTGGTAGTGCATTTTCAAAGAAGAATATTTTTCATCTATCTATCTATCCATCTACGTCTCCTTCTACTTTACTGCTTGTTCGTTAGAATCATAGTAGAGTAGGGATTTCTCTGTTTCTGAGGTATTTCAGTATCCCAAAGGAATGGCAGTCTCTGGCAGTTTCTTCTAGCATATGGATTGCAAACGGTTAGTGAGTGCTTACAAGCCATCATAGCGGAGGAAAATTTGGAAAAAAACTTTAATGACATTTCACTAGGCCTGATCCTTTTTATCTGGAAGAACTGAGAAAAGTGTACTTCTGTACATACAGATGGATTGAAAACCACAGCTTTCTTTTTTTACCTTCTGGCTAAACAAAACCAGGGGTGGAAGTTTGAAACTTTCCTAACTATGGAGGATTCCTTCCCTTTTCCACACTGACAGTATTCAACAGTTACTTTTGTCCTACTGGACTCTGCTTAGGGGATAGGACTTGAGTACGTTGCTAGGAATCTTAGTCAGTGCTTTTATAGCATGCTCAATCAGTTTATAATGCTCAGATTAACTTGTTTACCACTAAAAGAGTTTCTTTTGGCATGTATTATATAGTGGAGGCTTTTGTGCATTCATACTATAGCCCCAGATATGAAATTTGCTGAAGAGAATGGAAAGCCATGTGAAAGCTGCTCAAGCATTTCTTATTCTGAAATGTTTTAAAAATCTTAATGCCTTTCTCACTCTGGATTGAAAGAGTGAAACGGAGCACTGACAAGTTGCTAGTTGAATACAACTTTAGGAAATTATGCAAGTGTGACTAAAAGCAACACCTCATGTTTAAAGCTGTAGTTGCTGTTGTTGTTTGATGCGGACAAGTTTACTCTTGTTCGTCCTTCAGGGCCCATGGACCTCAAGGTGTGTCAGTTAGATTCTGTTGCATCCTATGCCATGACAAAATTGTCAGCTAAACCTGGGCTAGAAAATGGATGTTTCGAGCCATATAACACAGAAAGTGTGGCATGAAGAGTGCTCCTAGCCATGTAGACCACTCCTGAGATGCAGGTCACAAGAACGTTTCTGAAATTTCATAGCATGAGTTCCTCATTACTGGGAAACAAAATTCATTTCTAGGTTACCTAATCTGATAACATTCGAAAAGTCATATGTTCTCTAGATTTGTGTCCTATGCTGTAGACCTATGGCAGGCTATAAGATTGTCCGGAAAGTAGGTCGTTTTTAGAGGGGCGGGAGGAGGAAACTACACCTTTAACCTCCATTGTCAGTTTTATTCTTATTTATACTTCCTGCGAACTATAGTCCAGGACTAATTTACTAATACTATTAGTATTGTTGCTGATTAGTACTAGTAATACTAATGCTATAGACCAGTGTATAACTTCCTTTACTATGTATAAATCAAGTGGGATGTGTTGTGGAGAGGGGGCAGAGTCAAGAGAATATATGTACCAGCACCAGGTATTAAATTTTTTTTTTTTGAGACAGAAGTGGATGCGTGGTATCACATTTCAGTTAGTTTCAATTTGTTCCTTGTCACAAATTGTCACATCTGTGTTACTTCTGCTCTTCCCCTAGATGCCTGATGTACTTGAATGATCCCTATCATCATTGCTTTCTTTTAAATAGCCCTTCAACCCTATGGCATAGTTCATGAATCTCGTGTTGTTTGGGATATAAAATAGAGAGGTTGTGGCTTACCGAAGGTTACTGGGGTCTAAGTTCTTTGTTGCATCAGTTGAACTGCAATGTATATTGCTGTAGGCACTTGCTTTTAATAAATGCTGTAGAACAGGCCTAGGCAAACTCGGCCCTCCAGATGTTTTGGGACTACAATTCCCATCATCCCTGACCACTGGTCCTGTTAGCTAGGGATGACTGGAGTTGTAGTCCCAAAACATCTGGAGGGCCGAGCTTGCCTAGGCCTGCTGTAGAATAAATGCTGCTCCCCCTGATTGCTTGTGGGCTAAATTACGTAGTTAGTTTTGAAACATTTTCATGGAGTGAAGTGGAGAGTTGTGAGAACCCTCCAGTAGTTTGAATGTATCTTCCATTTTTTAAAATATATTTTTTTGGACTCCTAGGGTGCCCTGACCTGTCTGTCGTTGTGTGTTACAGCCTAGGTCAGGCTTGCATCAGGAGATAAACTTGAGTTGTGTTCCCAAGTCTGCTTGAATGCATGTTGAAAGTCTGTAAACTGTGTCGTCATGGGAGTTGCCATATACCTTCCTGATATTTTCACATCAAATGTGTTTCAGCGGCAATTATGATTGTTAAGAGGACAGTTGGAGATGGGGCAGCAGTGATGGGCCTCATTTCTTGATACTGTACTTAGTACCTTGCAGCACAATTCTAGCTGTATCTACTCAGAAGTAAATCCTATTGAGTTCAAGGAGCTTATTCCCACCCAGGTAAGTTGGGTTGGAATTGAAACCTAAAATTCACAATATTACTTGTACTAGTTTTAAGTGATGCCAACCTTAACTGGACACTTACTTTGGTGTTAAGAGTAGCTTATTTCGGATTAGCTTCAATCTGTTCTTAATTGACTTAACCTATGACTGAAATAGGTTTGATAAAATAGAAATAATCTTTTGTGCACAGATTTGTACTAGTTGAACTACATCAGTTGATAGTCAGTAGTTTTAAAAACTAGAATTCTCTTGTATGCTGAAAACTTCTGTTGTTTTTTTTTAGGTAGGTTTTTCTGTTGATCTTTTAGTAAATTTGGGTCACTTCCCAGCTGTGTTAGCTTCACCTTTCTGGAAAAGTCTTATTTCTGTGAAATGGGGATAGTATTTTCCTCCTTTTGCGATTTTGTGGTATCAGACCTTACTTTGGGTGGGCTCAGTGTCTCATGCTGTGTGTGTCCAATACTACTAAAGTTAAAGTAAAATACTGTTTGGAATTTGTTTACCACAAAACTGCCCCTTACTCTAATTAAATATGGACTATAATAGTATTTTTGTGGTGTATTCTTTCAGTGGCTTGCTAACAAATTCTGAAGACAAGTCACTCTTCAGTGACTTGCTATTGGTGATCTGACTGTACATCTCTATATGTGGGGAGAAATCTGTGAAACTGGAGAGAACTTGAGGCTAGAACATCTGTCCTATATCAAGAATGGGGAACCTTCCACATGTTGGACATGAGCCGGAATGGCTAATGGTCAGGAATTATGAGACCTGTGGTCCCCAAAACAGCTGGAGGGCCATAGGCTTCCCACGTAGGCATTAAAAAGATAATGTAATATATCTATAGCCCGGTAAATTTTAGCAAAGTCCAGTCAGAGGGGTGGTTGCACTGAAAACTTGTCAGAGGCAGATCTGCAGTAGCTTGTTTTAAGTATGCATTGCTGGCTAGTATACACTACAAATCCCAACATGCTGCACTCCACCTTAACACTTATAGCATGCTGGGGCATGACGGTTTCTCCAGTAAAGTCAGGCGTTTAACAGCTCTGTACCATATTCAATCCATGCCTAGTCTTCAGTTATAACCTGTAATATCTTAAAAGTGCTTTCCCTCCTTTTAAATGCTAGTTGAACGGTTAACCAGACTGCATCTTTCAGAATAGTAGTTCATAACAGAAAAGAAGATAGTCCTCTGGCACCTTTATTGCAGCATGAGAATTTGGACACAGGGGTCTATTTCACTGGGAACATTGGCATTTGAAGGATAGTTTTATCTACACACATTCAGAGGGAGTAAAACCCTATTTTGCAGTCCTATTACCTTTATATTTAATTAGTGTCTGTTCTGCTTAACTCCTAATTTCTTAAAATTAGTTTTCTTGGTTCACTGACGCATGTCGGCAGCAAGAAACCATAAGGACCAGGCCTGAGGACTTCTATTGCACATTCAGTACAGACTTGTTAGGGTGAATCTGATCTACATCTATTGTCCATTTACTTTCAGGTCCGGGATTTTGAAGTGTTGCATTTACTAGCTTGGTTTATATCTCTTGGGTTTGTTTCCTTTCACCCCATAAATGCTGGAATCCTGCTCTTGGTCAAAAGTCACTCTTAAAGTTTTCTGAGCATTCTGAAAGGGCCTCTGCACTGATACAGTTGTAAGTGAACCAGCCTGCTAATTGTGTTGATGTTGCAGACCACTAGAATGAACTGTTGCGAGTTCCAGACAGGGCAGGTAGTTTGTAGCAGAAAACTACCGGGATATCTGTAAGAGCGTCATAATTTCCCACGACGTGATCGTTGAAAACCTGTCTGACTCTCCCAACATTGTGTAAACCCTTGCTCCAGGAAAAATCGTGTGAGCTTAGGTGTTAAGAATCCTTCAGTTTTCTGCAACGGCTAAGCTGAAGTGGGACATTTGACTTCTGTGTAAGCTAAAGATGTTGATTATTGCAGATTGGAGATCCTCTTGCATATTGCGACTGGCTGAGGAAACAGTTAATGAGACTATGTCTGAGAATGTAGGGAAGTAGATTAGTAGTAGAATCTGCTGGTTTTGGAGGCATGAGAGGAAATCCGTAGCCTTTTCTACAAGTAGCAGCTGCGTTGCAGCAGCTGAACTCTGTCTAGCAGTGTTGCAGCTCCCTTTCGCCCCTGGAAGAGAGCACTGATTCTAGGCAGCAAAATGTCTCCCTTTAGAATACAGCAAAGAACTGTGGTAAAATCTGCTTACCTGAGACTCTAGAAAGTTAGGTTTTCTTCTTAGGTCTTTACTCGCTTGCATGCTTTAGCCTTAAAGAGAAAGAGGGAAGCAGATGAGTCAGAGCTTTAAAAACTGACAGAGCAGATGACTCTTGTTTTAATGTAGGGATTTTGCTGTGTTGGGGATGTGTGTGCTAGGTATGGAACATGTCAGTGGAGGCAGTGTGTTTGGGGCCCCAGTTGCAGGAGTTGCAGAATGGAAGCAGTTCCTGATGCGATGGAAGCAGCTTCCTAATACCAAATATAGTTAAGAATGAATGTTGGATAGCCAGGCAGGTCTTCATTAGAAGCAAGTTCAGAAACCTTTTCTCTGGTTTAGCTTTTCTTCAGTACATTAGTTTCCATATTTATATATATATAGCTCCTTGAACCATATATATGAATACATTGACACTAAACTAGTAAAATTCAGAGATGCAGTATGTGAAAACTCCCAGACTTGGGAGTTGCTTTGGAATGATTTGCATAAGGATGAAGAGTTGTGAAGAATAAGCCTTTGGTCAAGATCTTCAGAAATCAATAACTGGGGAGTGTAAATGAAGAATCTGTCCTTTTTTGGTGGGAGTCTCCAGGAAGGGGCAGCAGCACTGCCCTAGCCCTTCATTATGATATGGTCACTATGGTTGAAGATGATAAAAGCAGTGGGTCATTACTATGATTAACACAAAGTGCAATGGTTAGCATGCAGAACAAGTACTTCAGTCAGTATTGTTATAATTATAATTATTATTATTAATAATAATTGTTTATACCCTGCCCATCTGGCTGGGTTTCCCCAGCCACGCTGGGCGGCTCCCAAGCGAATGTTAAAAACACAATACAGCATTAAACATTAAAAACTTCCCTAAACAGGGCTGCCTTCAGATGTCTTTTAAAAATAAGATAGTTGTTTATTTCCTTGACATCTGCTGGGAGGGCACTCCACAGGGCAGGCGCCACTACCAAGAAGGCCCTCTGCCTGGTTCTCTGTAACCTCACTTCTCGCAGTGAGGGAATCACCAGAAGGCCCTCGGTGCTGGGCCTCAGTGTCCGGCAGAATGATGGGGGAGGAGACGCTCCTTCAGGTATACAGAACCTCAGATATATAAGCTAGGCACCAAATGGCTCCTTAAAACAGGGTTAAGTGACAAAAACAGAAAACCTAGTTGCCATTTTGGGGCCAGACAACTCGAAAGTTGTATTTTTCAATACAACTTTTAGTTCCTGAAATTCATTCTGGTTGTGCAGATAAAATACAGTGGATAGAATTCATTGTTGACATCTGAAGGCAGCCCTGTATCAGGAAAACTTTAATGTCTGATGTTTTAAAAAAATTATATATGCTGTAAGCTGCCCAGAGTGGCTGGGGAAATCGTGAGAACAGTCAAGATCCAAGGATCCCCAGGCATGTACCTCAGATGATGGAGACATCAGTTGCCATCCTGGTGCCAGGGCTTCTTCAATTGGTCGCAAGTGGCTGATAGCCGGATGCAAAATATGCCTGGCGATTTTCAAATGCTGACTGCAGTATGTCGTGCCCATGACCTGTGAAGCACTTGCTATTTTAACGAGGGAGTGTTGTTAATGTTGCTGTGATTTTTGGAAAGCCTCTCTAAGATAGGATAATTATGCTGAAATCAGCAGCAGCATAAAATGTAGATTCTGGATGCCTGAAAGCCTTGATCTTCAATGTTGAATAAGGGGTACATCCCAAAATTATGCTTCCTAAAAAAGTTTGAAGAGCGGGAAGTGTCAACATTATATTTCTGCGCTATAAATTTAGAGCTTTTAAGTTAAGCTCAGACCATTGTTGAGGTGAGAGGTTGTAGTATACCAGTCAAGAACAGTCCCTTTAGCAGTTGTTGTCTGTGCACTTCTCCCGCACTGCAAGTTAATAGTCATAGGTGTTCCCTTATTCCAGAGAAATAGTAACCTGCCCTATCTTTGCAGTACTAAATTCAAAATGATTGCCTTGGGTTCCCTTATTTGTTTGGATTAAGGCTGTTGCCACTTGTTCATTACAGTCCTGTGCACGTTGACTCAGAAGCAAGTCCCAGGGTCGTCAGTGGAGCTTAATCCCTAGTAGATGTGAATCCGCTGCACTTCTCTCAGGCCACTGGTGAACAAACAGGTAGCCATACTCAGATCACCACAGAATGGGCAGAAAGGCACTTTTTGTCATGCCACAATGTCTGCTAGAACCAGCCTTTTTGGGGGTACCTACAAACTCCCAGCTCACACATTTTCTTTGCTTTCTACTCTCATCATCTAGTGATAGTTCTGATAGACCTGCAACTCTGCTCTGTATTCCTTCTTGTTCACAGGATTGACTGGTCACACTTGCATGTGATCTGTCATTGCTGGCCAATCTCTCCAGACAAATCACCTGCCTCTCTCTTGCTATCCAGATCACATATCCCCTTTCTTGAAACGTGCCAGTTTATGCAGTGTCTGCTGTGACCTTAAGAATGTAGTTCCTGACATGTAAGAATAGACCTGGCTTCACTTGGTTGATAGATGGAAGCCAAAAGTCCTTTTGTTCATTGTTCCTTTAGCCTCCCTTGAATGGTTGTTGCTGTGTCCCCAAAGTCGTCATAGAATTCTCAAGCAAGCTGTGTTGCAATTAAGGAACTTCACAAATTAAGTATCACATGCAACCAGGCCTATCCCTCTCCCTCTTTTTTTACATTGTAGTTCGGACATTGGTCTCTGCTCAGTTGGCATTCTGCTTTGGTTAGCTTCTCTCTGCTTCCTCAGAAGTCAGCAAATGCTAAAAAACCGTAATCAGATCTCATGTTCGTGGGCCTTGCTTTTCTCTGTTTTAACCACTGAGTGTTTTTTCCTGTTCTGTAGTGATATGTTTTGTGCAGTTCCTGTACTAGTAAGCAGAATAAAGAGGTAATTCAGACATTCTTTTGAAGGCATAGCTATTTTTAAAAATGCTTACAGTTCCAGCCTTGCAATTGCAAGTATATAATAGCTAAACGCAGAGCCTTTGCTCTTATCATAGAAGTCTGAGCCTCGGAACATTTTTAGAAATTAGGAGAAATAACAAAAGTGACGTTGGTGATCCTAGTGTTAGTGGAAATTTCCAGGGTCATGGGATGTAGATAATACTGTTTACTAACTCTTGTATTTGCCTGTCTTTAGTTGTATGCATGTACAGAAATATGATTGACAAGGAGGAAAATGTATAAAGTGGGTGTGTGGACTAGAGGGAGTGGTGTAGAATGTTGCCCTTTAACCTAAGACTGGGCAGAGGTGATTATTTTTGTGTAGCAATATCTGCTCCCCCCCCCCCCCAAACTGCTACTCCCTTAATACAGCTTTTGGCCTAGTCACTTTCATTCCAGGGCGGAAGGGTATCTTCTTGGGTGATGGGGCCGCTGAGAGCAGCAGGAAGCTTTGCATTTTTAAGACACATTTTTTCTCATGTGAATATCTGGCTGGGTGTTTATCCTTTCATGATCTCCAAAGCTTTTTTAAAAAGGTTCCTGAATTGTTCTAGCCATGGCAGTGGTGTTGTGTGGGGATGGTTTTTTACACTATACAGTTATGTACTTGCAACAGTTGCACCACCCTTATACTGTGTATACAGTGGTACCTCCGGTTACGAACTTAATTCGTTCCGGACTTCCGTTCTTAACCCGAAACAGTTCTTAACGTGAGGCGCACTTTTGCTAATGGGGCCTCCTGCTGCCACCGCACCGCCGGTGCACAACTTCCGCATCCCGGGGCGAAGTTCGCTACTGGGGCATCTACTTCCGGGCTAGTGGAGCTCGTTACCCGAAACGTTCGTAAGGAGGACGGTACGTCACCCGAGGTTCCACTGTATGCCTATTTCAGCTTCTCTGGTTCAGCTTAGGGAAGCTAGTTCTGGCTTTTCAAATCTGATTTTAGTGAAGCCTGTAGGTAGTGACTCTTCTTGACCATAGAGCCTCCAGCTCTGTGAAAAACTGACACTAATAAACACCTGAAGAGGTCAATGGCACCTGGCACCATAGGAATCGCTTTTGTGGCCAGCAGCTCATAGGAGTGTTTGTTACTCGTGGAACACACACTGCACTTTCAAGGAGGCTTTCACATCTTCTCCTTTTGGTGCTCACTGCAGCTTTGGCTTGTAAAGTTTTTGTTGGCATGATTTTGAGCCTACTAAATGGCCAAAAAGACTTCAGTGCTTCTTTGGACTTGGAAACGTTCAGTAGTCTGCATAGTGCTGCTACAGTGGAGGTCTATGTCTGACTCCAGAGACATAATTTTTGGGCAGGTCTCTGCTTGTTACTGCTTTACATTAAACCAGTTTAAGTTCCAGCCTTTTGCATTCCCACACATGGCTTGTACCACTCCCTGGAGCTTCTTACCTGTATATGCATGGCCTTGTTGATCAGTGGTGGGTGGATTTTATCCTTGTTATTTTACAAGAACCCCAAGATCTACCAGCCAGAGCCAGGTGCAAAAGACATGGAATTAGAAGTAGAAAACAGACTGCCTGTGAGCATATTTTGAGTCTAGGAATTGATTTTCAGTACCAGAGCTGAACTGAGTTCACAGTCCTTTCACACAAAAGCCCTGCTAAGCTTTCTTCATTTTAGCAGCCTAATTTATGTGGGAACAGTTGTTTTGTTCTTTAAGAACAAAAATTGGGAGTCATTTAAATCTATGATCCGCTGGTAGATTCTGATCTATCTTCTGCCCACTCACATTGTATGTAGATTGTGTGAGAAACCTGGGTTCCAATTAAGGAGGATTTGGAATACTTGGATTTCAGTGCCTCTTAGCATTCATGTGTGGGAGGGGCTAAGCAACTTTAAAATGGAGCCTCATTTAGGCATAATTTGACCCCAGAAACAGTTACCGTATTTTTTGCACCATAACACTCACTTTTTTCCTCCTAGAAAGTAAGGGGAAATGTCTGTGCGTGTTATGGAGCGAATGCCTACGGGTGGCGGGGGGGATCTGCTGTAGTCGTGAGCAGAGGATCCATGGTTCCCCTTCCTTCCCTCCTCCGTGGCTCGCTTTGAAACAGCAAAGCGGGAGAAGAGCCACTGAGTGGGGAGGAGAGAGGGACAGAGAGCCTGCTTGCTTTAAAGGAGCAAAGTGGGAGAGGAGAGGAGCCTTCTCCCCTTATACGCCTCTTCTTCATTATTAGCAGCATCCTTCTCCACCCACCCCACACGTGCTTCTTCTCCCCTTAAACCCCTCCTTTGCATTATTAGCAGCATCCTTCTCTACCCACCCCACGCGTGCTCCTTGTCCCTTGAGTGCTTTTCCTTCCCTCCCCACTTAAAACGTGGTTACAAAGCATGGATCCTCAGGATCTTTGCATTGGGTCACCCCAAATTCACCATCAGATCACATAGCATGTCCATGGCTACATCTTGCACCAAAAAAATCACGCACCGACTGTTGCCTGGGGCCGCAGTGGTGCAAAAACGTGGTTACAAAGCATGGATCCACATGGATCCTCAGGATTTTGCATTGGGCTACTCCAAACTCACTGTCAGATCACATGTCTGTGGCCAAAGCATGAACCACAAAAATCATACATCCACTGTTTCGTTTAGAATATTTGTTTTCTTGTTTTCCTCCTCTAAAAACTACGTGCGTGTTATGATCTGGTGCGTGTTATAGAGCGAAAAATACGGTAATTTCTCCCAAAGATATTGCAGCAAGCTGCGTGCAAGGCCTATACAGATGTGCACAAGCAATTAACATAGCTTTATAGCAGAGTAACTCACCAACATGCAGTCCTAACTTGTCTGTAGTGAATATGGCTACTCATTTACCTCCCAGTTGTGCTGTTACATGGTACTTATACTGCGTTGATGGTTTTTAGAACGTTGACCCCCAAAATCATGTGAGTAATGATGTAAACCTGTTTAGGAGTGCCCAGAAAAGGGTTAAATGTCCATTTGGCAACCTATGGACTGGTTCTGTGGCTCCTGAATCATACCAGCACCATCAAGCTTAAATTTTGTTATGAGTGCTTCTAACAACATGTCAGACCCTGCAAGATGATGAGAGAGAGTGCAGGAGGGAGAGGGAGTTTGTGTTAAGTAGCTGATCCCACTTCTCTGTACTGAAATTTTCCAAACGGTTTCTAGTTTACTGTTCCACCCTCCCTGCCCTCTCCCCACCCCCATGGCAGCAGCCTGCAAAACATATACGATCAGTTTGATCGGTCTGAAGGATCATTTGCTGGTAACTTTTAAGGGGAGGGAGGAATAAAATCAGGTTTATAATGGAGGTAGGGGCTGAACCTTAAGTATAGAGTAGCTGCCACGGCTCCATAATTGCTGCACTGTGTCGTGTTGCCATGGTTCCCAGTGCTGTGTCTCTGCATGGTTTCTGAGAGTAGGGCCAAGGCAGCCAGTCACAGCAGAGCTGCTGTGTACGTGTTTGGGGAGTTTAGACTTGTACTGACAAGGAAGTGATTGGAGAGAGCCCTGTGCTGATAGTTAGGGTGTTAGGAAAGGATCTGGGTATTTCCCACCCCATATTGCGTGCGTTTTTATTCCTTCCCTTCCTCCTCAGACAGACCGAGGTGGGAAACATTATAAGGCAGCATAAATGCTTAGTTCCTCCCTCCGCCGGTCCTCAGTCACGGGGGCAATGACATGAAATGTGGGATTCCTTCCTCTACCAAATGGTGGGGTGGGGTAGCTGTGGGGAAGGGAGGCTGCTGCCTTTGGATTGGCTCGGGCGTGTTTTCATCAGAGATCCCTTGGCTGACTTGCCATCTGCATAGGCTGTGAATACTTCTCTCTGGCGCAGACCTTGTTCCTTGGGATTGCATCATCTCTGGGAGAGCAGCCAGGTCCGGAGCACTAGTACAAAGACTTTGTGAAGCAGATTCAGCCTGTTCTGTCTCTGAAGCATTTCTCCTCCTTCCTGCTCATCCTTCCCACAGGATTCCAGAAAGAGAGCTTGCTCTGAGAGCCTCTCAGTAGGTCAGCTGCCCTTTGGACTCTGAATCCCAGCTGCTTCCTGTACACCTGGCTGATGCAATGTCTGCCTTTGAAATCCCTGCTGGAATTCACTCTGGAGTGGTTTTGTTTGCCTTTTCTGGGAGTGGCCAAGCAGGCAGAGTAGGCCTGTCACATGACGTCCTTGAATATAAGAAGCCTGTCGCCAGATTTGCAGATGCAGAGCTCTCTCCTTTCCAATCTAGCAACCGGTTCCTGGCAAATTTTGTCAGGCATTGCCTTCTCTTGGTGGCGGATATATATCATGTGCACATTACAGTTGCTAGCATTGTAATTGGTAATTTGCTGTGGCCTCTGTGATTGTCCTGGGAATTCGGAAGGGGTTGATCTGAATTTGAGTTCCAGTCCGGCTGAGTCTGTTTACTGCACCGTTTTCTTATGATTCAGCTGTTTGCATTATTTTTCTCCCAAATGCCATCTACGTAAAATAATTTAGGGAGTGATACTTTACTTGACAGGTTTGTAAGGATTCATATTTTTAAAATCAAAGGCCTGCTTTAACTATTTCCAATAAGGTATTTTACTTTCACATACCCACCACACCACCTCCCACACACTTTGGATTGAAAAGCAAGGTATTTATGAGTGCTCATCTTGATGCTTTGGCCCCCTTTAACTGTGAATCTCAGAAGACACGTGGTGTCACCACCTTTTCATGTGGTGTTTATGATAGAGCATGGACCTTCCTTGTGGTCATCCCAGGTTTTTTCACTGTTATATCCTGAATTAGAATTCTAATATCAAGGCTTCCAGACAGTTTGGAGTGATAAATTGTGGCCGGATGCTAATTGGGGTTGACTGCTAGACTAGATGATCCATTAGTCTGACTCACTATGAAAGTATTTCATATTGGTCCCTGAACCATCCTTTTGTGTCAGAGAAAGACTGGGGAAGGCTTTCCCAATTTAGAGAACCCTCGTTTTCATTTTGTAAATGTAGCTTTTTGTCCTGTGGCTGAAAAATCGTGCAGTGACAACGTTTGAATAATAGAAATAGGAAGCAAAGCAGCAAAAAATTGATTGCCCAACTAACAAATATCAATCTGGATGTTGAATTTATAATTTAAGGGATAACTCAGGTTTTTCACATCTGAGACAATCGATCACAGTGCTGAGGATCCAGTGTAGAGTAAATGCAGTATGCCTGGCAACATGCAACTAAAATATGTAAATCAACTGCAGCCCTCTAGCTTGTAATCTATTTCCAGCTCAGCCTTCAGTGCTGAAATGGCTCACCCCCCCTCTTGCTTTTTCATATGCTTCATCTACCAGCTTCTGTTTTATTCAGGCCTTATACCCTGTGTCCTATGATTTACAAATAGAAAGCTATTAAGCACAACCCCGCCTTATCCACCAACGAGGCAACTAGCATAAAAACAAAATTAAAGTGGCTACACTCTGTGGAATGGCTGTCTAATAAGAAAAGTGTAGAACAAGCTGAATGCCCAAATGAGAACAAAAATGAGCAGTAATTTGAGCAAAAGAAATGCAAGCTGATAACAAGGGATGCAAAAGAAGAATGAGACAGTGCATCAGTGAAAACACTTAAAGTCAACTTTTTTAAGAACCCTCTTCAAAATACATTAGAAGCAGCAAACCAGCTGGGGAGATTGCTGGATTTTTGGATAATAAAGGAGTTAAATGTGAGCTATTGGAGTAAAAGAGTGAGTGCAGAGAAGCTGAATGAATTCTTTGCATCTATCCTCAATGCAGAAGATGGAGTTCAGATTCTTTCCTGGGTGACATGTGCAAGGAAGAATCTAAGGTATAGAAACTGTCCTGGGTGACATGTGCAAGGAACTGTGCCAGGAGAGAGATCTTGGTGCTTTTCAGTAGTATTTACTGTAGCATCTTTCTTGAGAGATTGCCTGAGTTGGGGAGGGGTATACTGCTTTACAGTGGTTCCAGGCTATTACTCTACTCCCACACATTTAATGGGATGTGATTGGCTGATTTTTAAATATCAGCATAATGTTAATTAACTATTCCTGATCATTTTTCATTCTTGGGGGGAGAGAGTGTTGTGTTGTCTCATTTTATTATACACATTTATGTTACAGTTTTTAAAAAATATTTTGTATATTTTAATTGCTGTAAGATGCCAAGTTTTTTTAATAAAGCTTTTCTAATAAATTTAATAAACTTACAATTTAAATAGTGGTTGGAGACAAATTCTAGGCCTTGTCAAAAGCTTAACAAATCCCTGGATCCAGATGGCACCCACCCAAATGTGAAATTGCTGTTCTTGTAATAAAATTATGTAACTTGTCCCTAATAACAGTCTCCATACCTGGGAATTGTGAAGTGGCCACTGCAATACCATTTTTTTAAAAAATCAGGGGAGTAGGGAGAGATTCAGGAAATTACAGACCACTTAGCTGTTCTGGGAAAACTAATATGAAAAGCATTATTAAACACAAAATCATCAAGCACTGTTGTTGTTTGCGCCTGTCTTTCTCAAGAGGCAATGGAGTGAACCTCCGGGGGTGAAGTCAAACCACTGTGTTAGCCGCACTGAAGTGACCTCGCCAGGATGCAAGCCTGGGCAGTCTGTCTGGAGGTCCTGGGCTGCCCAGACAACAAGACCCTGCTCTCAGCCTCGCTGGTGTGGTCTAAAGAACAGCAGAGCAATACATTTGGCACCAGCTTGGCTGCAAGAGTTGCCAGAAGGAGGTGTACAGGACGCCATCCAACCGCCTTAGGGACTCCACTCTGGATTTGTGTTGGGTTTACTCCTTAGCTTTTTCTTCTCCTGAAGATATCTCACAAGGCAGCGGAGGTTTAGGACCAGAGGTTTCCTTCTCTTAGGACAGAGGTTTCCTTCTCCTAGATGGGCTACCATCCCAGGTTGACGAGCCTCATCCTTTCCTCTACAGCACATGCAGAAAACGCTTTCTTGACCATTGGACCCACGGATGGTCTCATCTGTTCAATCTGCCAAAGCCTGTCTTCGCATTCAGGTGAAGTCCCTAAATCACTGAGAGTTTGAGACCCATTGGCTACCCTCATCTGGTTTAGCCAGCCAGTCGAAGCCATATCTGGGGTGTGGCCACTGTCGCATGCTGGCAGCTTCTAGGAGCCACAGTTGAGAGCTCAGCTCTCATTATCAAGCATATCGAAGAACAAATGGTTCTGAAGAAGAAACAGTATGGCTCCTGCAAATATAAGTGCTGCCTGACTAACCTATTAGAGTTCTTTGAGAGTATCAGTATGGATAGAGTTGAATCCAGTAGATGTGTACTTGGACTTTCGAAAAACTTTTTGATGTGGTGTTAGGAGTGAGCAGTGGTGTGTGTCCCAAGTTTACTCATCCCACCAAATTGTTCAGGGAAGCTACCAAAAAATCAGGGGATGCAACTGCAGCATTTGATACTAGGCCCCTTCCTCTCACTTGCTTTGTCAGATGCACTATTCCATATGCTATAAGTGAATGCAGGGGCCTCTTCTGTGACATAATGCCTGTCTTTGTGCTGTTCCAAAACCACCCCAGCTGCTTCGTTCCTATAGTTGATATCAAACTAAGATCTAATGTGCCTTGTGCTGGCCTCCTCCTTAGCTGTTTCCCCTCCCTCTGAATGTGGTCTGGGGAAAATGAATCCAGAAGTGTTGGCTTGCATTTTTGTTGTTTGGTGTTTCTGAAATTGCTTGTTCCTCTGATTTTCATTCTCATTAATTCTACTTTAGTATCAGCTGCACATGTGTTTCCCCTCTAGATCATTGACTCAATAATGCTAGTTCTTCCTGATTTTCACTGTTTGACTCTTTCTTAGTTTCTGTTCATATTTGTGTGCTTTCAGCCAGTTTTCAGGACCATCTCAGAATGACATTTTCAGGGCTGGCGTGACAAAGAATGAGAATCCTCTAAAATTGTGTGTAGTTGCTACTTTGCTGATTTTACAGAGCTATCAGCATGGCTGAAGAACCCAGTGTATTTGGAAACAAGAATATGAAGGGAAAGCATATGTGGAGGATGCACAGATCCGAGGGGGAAAGAAATTGAGGAAGAAGTGTTGGGAAAAGTGGTTACACAAGGCCTAGAGACTTGGGCAGATAAGGAAGGTTTGAATATGGAGGCTATGACCCAGAAGCCAAGGAGGCAGTGGCCCAGTTTGCAAACAATATTAAGACATAGTTTTAACACATGCAGGTGTTTTGCTCCTCGCTCATCTCTTTCTTGTGCTTTGTGGTCAGAGGAAACAAGCTAGTGTTGGGCCTCATGTGCAAACCCAAGCTTTTGTGGGCTCGGGGTTTGTTTCTCTCTAAACAACGATAGGCTGGCCAAGAACAAACCTTGGCCCCTGTTTGTGGTTTGTTTGGAGAGAAACAAAACCAGGGGCCTGCTCCTCATGACATGGCCCACCAGACTCTGCCTTGTTTATGGTTTTGTTTCTGCAGCACACAGTGCATCCAGGAGCTGGAGAGGAGCAAAGAATTTGCACATGTTAAACGCAAGTTCACAGAATCATAGATTTGTAGAGTTGGAAGGGACCATGAGGGTCATCTAGTTTGACCCTCTGCAATGCAGAAATCTCTCAACCAGCTTGGGACTCAAACCAACAACTCTGAGATTAAGAGTCTCATGCTCTACACCAAACTGAACTATCACTCAACCTGTTCAGTTTAATGTTATGTGTCAACCATCTTGATCACTGTGTTAGTATGTTAAAAGTGAAAACTGTGACTGCAGTTTTCTTGCTAGCATAATTCTCCCAACTTTTTTTGTTAAGATGACAGTATATTTTGTAAATATGTGGCAGTTTATAACTGTATCCAAATGTGAAGAAACTTGGAAAAATATAATTAAGGTTTTTTCTTCTTCACCTTTGCTATTATATATGCTAGGAACACCCACCCACACCCACACCTAAACCCACACCCCTGCATAATGCAAAGTGCTACAGGCCTTAAAGCAATGTTTCAGGTTCAACATCTAACACAGACTTTGTCACTACCCCATTTTATGCATTATTGCACTTGACTTTTACACCCAACCAGGTATACAGGGCCTGAATACAGTACTACGCTTCCTTGATAATTTTCAGGATGTGACACCCAGATTGAAGGGTGACCACTGCTGATCACATCACATCATTGTTTTGGATAGATACACAGAACTCCAAGTTTTGATATTCACCAAATATTCACCAGTTCTGATATTGGATGTTATGTGGCTCTGTCTAGGATACAAGTTAATGCTGTATCATAACCTGCCTTAAATCTTCAGAGGCCATTGGCAATTGAAATTTGGTTGATTGACATTTTAAGCTTGCAATTAATCAAATGACCATTTTATTTGTAGGCTGCTTTGAATTTCATTTCATCATAGGGTGGAATATGAATACCTTAATAAATACAGACTTGTCTGTAGCGTCATAAGTTACCATCAAACACGTGATTACAGCTGCAAATCTATGTGTTTGTTTGTTTGTTTGGAACCATATTCACTGTATAGGGGCTATTTATTCTCTCCTGCCAACCTAGCAGTTCGAAAGCACATCAAAGTGCAAGTAGATTATTAGGTACCGCTCCGGTGGGAAGGTAAACGGCATTTCCGTGCGCTGCTCTGGTTCACCAGAAGAGGCTTAGTCATACTGGCCACATGACCCGGAAGCTGTACGCCGGCTCCCTTGGCCAATAAAGTGAGATGAGCGCCGCAACCCCAGAGTCGGTCACAACTGGACCTAATGGTCAGGGGTCCCTTTACTTTACCTTTAAGAACTGTGTGTTGAGGATGACAGTAAAAGTTGCACATGGATCACTCAGAGTTTCCTCAATCTCACTGGTGGTATAGCTTTTTCTTCACTGTCGTGAGAGTCTTGAAGTCACCTGAATCTACCCTATGCCATGTAGAAAGTAAGATCAGTGTGGGAGACTTGTATAGATTGATGAAACCTTTCAGGAGAGTTCTAATTCTGATTCCTGTCCAGCTCTCCCGCTCTTGATTTACAATGTGGTTTTCAAAAGATGCGTGCCCTTTTTGGTCTTTAGAAGAAAGGTGGACATTATCACCATTATTGGGTGTTAGAAATGTTTAAGATGGTTTGGTGCTTTGTATTGGCTGCATTATGTAGGCCAGAGAGAATTCTAATGACTGGGCATCCTTCTGCCCTGTCTGGGGCTCAAACTAGACTGGGAGCCCTGCCCCCTTCTTTTTCAGAATTCAGAGACACAGCTCATGAGATTCAGCAGAAAAGGATTAAGCCCCCACAGAGCAGCCCCTTTGGTTTGAACCCAGCCTAGTCCAGCGGAGGGGGCACTGAGCTTCATTGTCTTATTGTTTTTATAGACAAAACGTTCCAGCCGGCTCTTCATCTTGCCTCCAAAGTCTCAGCCACATCGGTCAGATGGGAGTGAAGGATAAAGGGAGATGGTTGAAACAAAGATTGCACTATTCTGTTGCTCTTGCATCCTGAATGTTGAGGCAGTTTCAGATTTGATCGTCATGGAGTTGATTTATAGATGGCATATATGTCTGTTCGGGCCATTTCCATATAACACTACCAGGAAAAAATTGATACTGCCCTCTCTCCCTTGAACAGATCCCCAGATCAAGGCATCAAGTAATTTCAGTTCCTGTACAACCACAGCCTGGTTGTACACCTGCCCTGGTGTTGTTGTTGTTACTAGAGAACCTCGTTGTGTTGTATGGGTGAGACCTTCTCCTTAATGTTTGTAGGGCTGCATGAGTCAGCCTAGTGGCTGCTTCCAGTCTCTGCGTAATCCTCACTTGTAAGATCCAAAACATGTCCCCGCTCTTCCATTTATCAAGCCTTGTTGGCTCCCATTTTCTTTGTTATTTCTGATGTACTTAGTTTTGTGAGTTCTTTGTTCAGGGGTCATATTGCGTTGGTATTGGGTTCCATGTCTAGCACATTGTTGGTGCTCCACTATTAAGTAGCGATAGCGTTGTGGGCGAAAGCAACTAAATTCTCCTGTCCTTTTCCATTACTGAAGTTCCTCCTACGAGATACTGTCCATAATTAAGCTGTTGTTGTTTTTTCTTAATTAAGGATGAGCCTTGATGTTCTTCCTAATTCCTTGCGAATCTGGCTTAGGGCTGTTGGACTAGAAACAGCAGGCCTTTCTTTCATTGCGTGGCCAGTTCTCAGAAAGAACCAGAAGGGTGCTTGCCATTCTGTGTGGCAGCACGTCTGAACTGTCATTCAGTGCAAGCAAACCCATATTTGGACTGTTTGGCAAACCTTAAAGGAACCCCTGAGATTCCCATGCTCTTGCCTGTGAATAAGTGGGGCAAAACCTTGTTTGAGTACCAGTGCAGACCACATTCACTGCTTTACACAGTAGTGAGCATTCCTGGACAGAATGGAAGACTCCAAAGACAATCTGCAATTGCATATTCTTTTACCTCATGTGTGTGTATTCAGGCACGCGTTCACACACAGGTTCTAATGTGCCAGGTAAATACTTCCTCTGTAGAAATGTGCATGTGATGTAGCTCCTTTTATGGCTGCAGATAATGCTATTAACTGCAGAAACATTCTGAAGAAATTTTCCAGCCCCTCCTAGCAAGATGTGATCCATATTTCTACACCCTCTTTCAGAGGGGAACAATTAATAGCCTTTTCTAGGCTTACCTATCGGTGAAGTGATTTGATACCTGATGGTGCCTTGCTCATAGGGAGCGATGCATGTTAAGTTCTGTGCCTTCTGCATTTAGCCCAACCTGTACTAGTAATTATTACAAAGCTTGAATGCTTGTTTCCCACACAAAGAGCTGCCCTGATGGCATGGCTAGCCCTGAAGAATGGGAAGAAAGTGCAAAGGAACTAGGTCAGAAAGAAAGTGCAACATTTATTTGCTTCTCCCACATTCCACCACGATCACATCACAGACCTCATCCTTGCATATGGGTAATTTGTGGAGGTAGGAAAGTTCTTGAAAGGCTACAGTGGGCAGCAGCTGTTCCAAGTTCTCTGTAATAGGAATGAACAGATTGTTAATTAGTAATATGTCTACCATGGGCAAAGAACCATTGGTTTCACAAAAGCAGTTTGTGGCAAGGCAAGGTGGATAGTCGACCATTGAACCCTTTAGAGCCAGCAGCACTTACTGGTGAGCTTTCCCACCTACTTTAATCCACAAGCTCCTGCTGCCCTCCAAGAGTTTGGGAGTAAACACCTCCCACAAGCGATCAGTTCTGCAGGTACAAATCTATTCCCAAAGGATAGAGCCCCCCTGCACAGCCCCAGATACACCTGCAAGGCACAAACTAGATATCCTCTCACTTACTGGAAGGCCTTGAGCTCTGTTGAGGCAGGTTCAGACAGGTTGCATGTAGGCCGAACCATCCACTGCAACTCTCACTTCATGCTCCCTTCCTTACTTAAGTCCCCCCTCCCCCAAGTTGGCCTTTGTATCAGGGCTGCTTCTCATTCTGTACTTAGTTGCAGTTGAGCGTAGATGCCGGATTACATAGCATACCAAATCTGAATGGTGGATGTGTGTGTTTAGTTACTTGTCTCTGCAAAATAAATGAAAGAGTAGGGCCCGTTCCTTTCCTGGTAGCTGTTTCTCTGTATATTTCCAAGTAACACAGTGGTTTAAATGTCCACGTTGTGTTCAGGTCTGAAGAGAGGCATATGTACTGTATGTTGTACTTTAGTACCAGAGTACAAAACAGAGAGAGGCACGGCCTTTGGGCTCATTACTTCCTTCATTGTGCAGCCATCTGCCTTCGACTGTTCCCCCTTTCACCACCATTTCAGATGTGCCCCTTTCCCCCCTGTTCCTCTTGTGTTAAACCTTGTCCCAAGTGAGCATGAGGGATTTGGGAGATGACTTTGCATCTCATGCACATCTGTGAAGCTCAGGAACTGGATTTTGGCACTAGGGTTGTCATGAGGATCATTCTGAAATAAATCATTACAGAAATGAATAAATGCCTTCCGTGCTGCTTTCTTTTCTCATTGGCTGCTCTGGGATTCTATCTCAACACACACACACACACACACGTTGTGCTCTGTCTCCCCTACTGGCAGTTTTACCCATGTGACCGTCTTTTGCAAGACAGGCCTGCGGGCCTCTTGCCTGTGCTTGGCATTCTCTTTTATGGCACGAGGAAATACCTGCATGTGAACCAGGTGGCCATATTTGAGAGGAGATTATGTAAAAGTAATGCAGAGGCAAGAGACAACACGCACCCTCTGAAGTTTCTCATTCCTTCCTTCAGCCCGCACTGTCCTCAACTTTAGGATGGTTTTGCAGGCAGGGTGAACCATATGTCTGTGGCAATGATACACAAAAATGCAGTGCATTGTTTCTTTTCCCCTTGGCAGGTTTCCCCATGTCCGTGACGTGTTGGCCGAGGCTCTGCGGCTGCTCCCCGCCCTTGGAGCCGCCAGTCGCTACCCTTTGGACTCCGTGATCCCTGACAAACGTCATGAGCATTGCAATCCCTCTGGGAGTCACCACACCAGATACATCTTATTCAGATATGGCTGCTGGATCCGAGTAAGTTCTGCCTTGCCTGCTAGCGTGTGAAGGGCATGGAATCAGGCCTCGGTGTTCAGACTTGAGCTGTCCTGCTGAGCCCGGGATAGCAGGGAGTAAGCTAGCTTTGCAACAGATAAACCAGAAATCTGAGGTGGTATCTGGTGCACACATTTGATCGCGACGGAACACCAAACAGAAGCACTTCCCCCTTTCCCTCAAATTGCGTCCAAGAAGAGGCACTGTCTAGAATACTGCTTTCCCAGTGATCTTTAATTCACACCTGTTGTATCATACCTTGGTTGATAGGTATCTTGCAAGACATGAGCCCTGACGGTACTCTTCTTTTCCTCTCCTGTAGCCTAAGTTGCATGGTGCTGCTGATACAGATGGCTGTGTGATGTGGGTAAGGAGGATCTTTCAGGCATCGGGCCTCTTGCCTATCTCAAACTGTTAAGTAGATTTTTCACCCCTTTAGTGTGGCTCTTTTCCCGAGGGAGGCTTGTAAGGTAGCTTGTGGGAAACTTCCTGCACCAAAACCCAAATGAAGCGTCTACACTACAGGAAGGAAGATGCCTGGAGTTGAATTGATCGTTGAGCTTAGTCAGGCACGGAAAGAGGGTCACGCCTTGCTGATGCTGTTCTGTGCTCCTGCACTTGTCTTCAGCAGTTTCTCCCAAGAATGGAGCACTGTGAAGGGCCAGACACACTGTTTGAACCACCTGCTTGACAGACTGTACTCAGGAGACACTGAAAGCTCTGTGTATCTGGCCTCTGTTTGGTGGGCTTTTGTGAGGCGCTAGCATTCATGAAACACTCCTTTTTCCTGCATCTTTTTGTGTATCTGGATACACGGTGTAGTATATCGTGTCTGGTTTTGTTTCATACCACGGACCTGATCAGGCTTTGTTGAGCACCTGTCCAGCTCAGCTTCAATCATACTGCATCTGGAGTATTCCCAGCAAATAAGCTCACTACAAAATAAATGTCCTTTACTTTGTTTCCTGTCTAATGTTAGATCTGTTCTGAATATACGTCTCACTTCATAGCTATTTCTGTCAGGTCTTCTTGTTTTGATGACAGTTTTTTGTGTTTTGTTTTACTGGGAATGTTTAGGATCACATTCCATGATACTGTCAGGTTGCAGTGGCCTTGCGTTCTGTCTTCTTATATATAGAGCCCTGAAAAGGCTGTAGCTGTTACCCGTCCTGTCCTTGCCCTCCTTGGGAGCATGGAGGTAGAAGCAGCTATGTTAAGATTGTTTCATAGCACTAGACTTCAGATGCATGTAGGTAAAGGGTCTGCCAGTCAACGTTTGCTCTGCTATCATGTGCCACCAAGCCTTCATGGCCAAAGAGTAGCCACAATTTGAAGAAGGGTCTCTGCTTGAGTTGTATTAATTTTCAAGCGCAAGCTCCAGGGACTTGGGATGCAAAAGTAGAAATGGGCATGGAAAAGCTACTTTTGTTAGTAGGGTATCAAGAAAGGAACACATTGATTCAAGATTAAGCTTCTATAGGTAGAGGAGTTGCTGGTTTTACCAGTCCCACTGTTTTGAAGATCTCTGTAATTTAATGTAGCACAACAGAGCAGTAGTTAGGAATGAGGAGTTTGCGGTCATCTTGGAGAAACAGGAGTTCCAATAAGCAAGTACCGTGTGGCCACCCGTCCTCTTCCTGGCTGTAGCTTTTGAAAGTTGACTGCAGTTGCAGAAAGGACATTTCCTGAACCATATCCCTAATGCGTGCTTGCAGCGGCAGCTCCTCCTCCTCTTAGTCCTCCCCCCTCCTTCCAAAGAGAGCAATTTCTCCTTCTGGCATCAAGGCTTTGGCTTCATCACCTACGCTTTTCCTGTTTCCTTTTCTATAACAAGGACTCCCACAGCCTTTCACTAATTGCCCATTTTGTACAGTACCGTATTCTGAGTTGATTTTTTTCTGCCACCTTGTGGTGGAAAATTGCAATTTTCGGTCAGTAATTAGTTGGGAATTCACCGCATCATCCTACAAGAAAGCAGGGTATCCTGAATATTTTAGTTTGTCCGGAGTTCCTTCCGATCCAGGTCATAGATATTCCTGTAGCTCTTGGCCTATTTTTGTCGAGTACTCTCAAGAGCTCCCATCACTAGAAAATTGTGTCTCGGCTCCTATCTGTATTGAGTAACTCATTGCATTTGAAGCAGCAGTATGTAGACGTTGTGGCCTGAAAGGTATTCCCCTTTAAAGTCTGAGGCTGTGGCGAGGTGATCTCAAATTGCATAGAGTTGAGTGGGGATCAGGAGGAGGAGCAAATCCACGAAGGGTTTAAAGTGAAATGAACAGCTAGCAGAATAATCCAGCGAGCAGCATTGTCAGCAGCTTTTTCCTTCCTGTTGCCTCTTGCTGAAGCAGGGTTGCTCGTATTGCTTATCCGGGATGCCTCATTTTGAGGCAGCTGCCAGTCACTCGCCCTTCCCTAGCCCCTGCTTTATGCAGAATCCGGCCTTCATGGATTCCATACCTCACTTGCCCCTCAGAAAAGGTATGTCCATTCTCGGCCGGATATCTGTGTGGCATGAGAGAAAATGCTAAGACCTGGCTAATTTTTTTTTTCAAAGAACCACTTCCTCTACTGATTGGTTCTGCTCTTGGCCCTTTCTGCAGCCCAGAGTCTGTGGAAGCTAGCCCAGCTGTTGGTGAGAAAAATGTGTATGCAAGTCATGGCTACGGGGCCTCCCAGAGGCACAGCTACCGAGGGCTGCCTTATGCAGTGAGTACCGTCTCTCTTATCTGCAGCCGACTCATCTATTTTACCCATCCCCTCTCCCTGGCTTGTGCATGATTGAGCTGTATATCTTCTTTGAGGACGGCAGCATTGCCAAGTGACACATGGGTACTGAATTTCTAGCCCCGCGTTTGTGTTTGTTTAGTGCTTGCAGACAACTTACTGCGAAAGGGAAGTATGGGACTAGAACAGCCTAGTAAACAAGCCCACAAAGTTACTGCATTTCCAGAAAATCAGCCGGCATGAGAACATAGGCTACCCGCCTCTTAGCAAGACAGTGTTAAAAGAAAGCCTTCTGCCGAGGGAGCTGGCGTGGTCTACCGCTCTTCCGCCGTGTGCCAGTCACAGAGGAAGGGCCGCCTTTCCACTGTGACCAGCACAGAAGGCAAACTGGCTGGTGGAGGAGGAGGAGGACAGAGTGATGGGCCTGTTCGTTCACCTGCATTGAATTCCTGGCCTCCTTTGCCTGCCGAGTGAGTTGTTAAATGCAAGCTTGGACTAGAAGGTGAGGGGGGCATCTCTTTTTCCCTTTTTGGTCTTTAGCACTGACTGCTCATAGAAACTACTACCTAGGGTAGACCTACCCATTGCAGGTATATTTTTCTAATGAAGTTCCCCTCGCCCCTCCCCCAAAAGTGTATTGATAAGCCCCAGTATTTTGAAAGTTGAAAGCATAGGTTTCAGAATCAAGCCAGTTTGAAAGACAGCTTGCAGTTTTTCTGTGCTTAACAGTGCAGAATGCTTGCATACACATGCAGGTCTCTGCCTTAAGAAAAGCAAGAGGGACCTGCAAGGAAATGTTATGGTGTGGAGTGTGCTGGCTCAGGTTTTCAGCTATCCCATTCCATCGTTTTTCATTCTCCATCACCGCCACCCTGTCTACACCTGTCAGCCAGCCAGTATTTCGTGCCCATCGAGAATGCTCAGTCCTCACTGGATGGTTTGGGGGCATTTTCTCCATTTTGGGGGTTTGAGGAGGTGGAGTGGGTATACTTATGCTGAACCCCAAACACATTAAATTATTGAATTTCTCTGTCAATATCTGTGAGCAGCTCTCATTCCAAACTTGGGGACAGTTTAAAATAACTTCTTTGAACCAGAAAATGACGTATCCAGACATTGAGATGCTTATTTCTACCCTATACATATGCATACATGTTTCTCTGTCTTCTGGTTCCAGACACTCCATTCTCCCCCTGCATCCCACCCGGTTGCCATTTTCTCCCCTTAGTCTCCACATTTTGCGCCTTGAAGAGATAGCATAGAGCTGTTTGAGGCGTTTTCCCTGCAGATTTTTTTTGGTACTTGTTGCAAGCCCCTGATTTCCTCTGAGACTGCTGGTACTTCTTTCTTGTGTGTGGGTAGTGTGGTTTTGTTTCCATTAGCACAAGCATAGGTAGTTCAAATCAGTGCTAGTATATTTTGCTAAGACGCCTGGATATCAGGGCTTTCTTTATCTGTGGTTGGACTGAGAAAACAATCGCTCCGCCCAGTTCTAGAGAGAGTCCAAAGTTGTAGGTCCTTGCTCTGTTAGCCAGAGTTCCTGTCGCTCCTCAAATCTGTGCATGTGGTGGTGGGTAGGTTTTGGAAGTGTCTTAGGGCTCACATGTTGTGTAAAGTCATGCCTCTTGCTCTCCTCCCCCACATTCAGAATAGAACTGATGCAAATGTTTGTTTTCAGGATCATAATTACGGAGCCCCTCCTCCTCCGACCCCTCCTGCTTCTCCCCCTGTCCAGACCATCATCCCTCGTGCAGAACTGAATGGCCTACACTCTCATGATGAGGAGAATTCTGGGGACACAGAGAGTTCTTCAGAAGCAGAGTCTATTCCTAGCTGGTGTCACTGTAGTCTCTCCCAAGATGGTTTCCTCATCAAATGTGAGAAGTGCAGGTAAGTTCTTGCCTGTAGGCAGCCTCATACATGGGAAAACGAGGGGGGTGGGGAGAATGTTTAAAGAGGCTTCCTGATTGCTCAGTGGACCATTTTCTTTACCTTCAATTGGTCACTGCAGCAAAGGAGCTGACTTACACAAAATCAACACGCACATTTTCACAATGCAGGAGCCAAATCCTGCAAGTTCATCAGATCAAATAAATAGTACCAATGTCAGATTGTCTAAAAGTGATTTGTTTGAGCTGACCAAATGCAGTTGGTTAAATAATCATACCTTATGCTCAGTGGAGTGTGTCTGAAAGTCTCTATGAAGTTAGGTGCTTCTAATGCAATGGTGAAAGAGTAATAGCGAAGGAGAGGTGGAACTTCTTCAGCGATTGGCAAGCAGCAGAAGGGGGCTTGGGGGTCATAAGGAACATGAGATCTGATGTCTTTCCACTTTCCTGTCCTTCCAGGCCATCACTGGTCCAGGGCATTTCAGTGGCTCTGCTTTCACACAGTGTAGGCTTATTTCCACACTTACGAGGGCTAAGAATGTGGTCTTTCTGAAACTTGAAAGATGGGGCTCTTGAGAACATGGGTATTGCACTGGGCGCACAGCCCATTATTTGCTGGAGCGATGGCCTTGGACGTGAATATGTGAAGCTGAGACGTGGCCATTAAATTCATTTTAACTTTATATAACACTTTAATGTCAGGTGACCTAGTGTTCCACTGAAGACCTGAGGTTAATTTATTTTAAGCAATATAACTTTTAATAATGCCAACTTTGGGTTTCTGTTGCCCTTTTGCAGGGGGCTTAGCCGAGGGAAAGTGATCAGACTTCGTCGGAGGAAGCAAGACAACGTGTCAGGTGAGTTAGTGCCCCCAGGCTCGCGGGATTTGAATGAACGGGTGCCCTGATGCAGTGAGAGTGCTCTGTGTCTCATTGCCTCTCTTTGTCATCTTTCCCAGTTTACCTGAGATCTCAAGAGTATAGGGTAGGTGCATTGGAAGAGCTGAAGGGGGCAAGCGCAAAGCAAGTTGCCATTGTGAGTGGAAGATGAAGGTTCCTGGCAGCCTTTTTGGGGAGAAGAGTGCAATGTTAACTCACCGGGGTGGGGCGGGGCAGGTACAAGTTTTTCCAGAACAAAGGGGAAGTTGCCAACAAGACGTTTTTCACGGCAGGCGGGGACAGCAGTGCAACTGAGAGCTGGGACGAGGAGCTCTCTCCCTCCACAGTGTTGTACACTGCTACACAACACACCCCTACGAGCATCACTCTGACCGTCAATCGGGTCTGCAGAACCAAACCCAAAAAGAGGAAAAGAAATACAGAGAGAACTCGTACGGCACCAAAAGCCAAAAAAATCAAGGTATGTCAATAGATATGGCTGTCGGCGACTCCAGCCAGTTAACTAAGTAAGCGTTGGGGAGGATGTCTGGCCGTTTTCCTCTAATCTCCTCCTTATTGGTATGCAGCCTTCCATATCATGATGATGATCTCCTTCTGGGTTTTTTTGTGGAGTGGGGTGGGGGGGGGACAGATGCCGTGGACAAAACGAACAAGAACAGTGACAATGTGTTCCACCGATGCCTGAAGTGGAATTGTGCCACCATGCCCACAGCTCAGGCAGGGCTGCAACTGTGGGAAAAGGGAGGGCTTTTCTGACTGCTTAAGCAGTCGTTTGAACAACAACAACAAAACCACACCAACAACCCCAAAGGACTCTACCTGCATCTTACTTACGGAGATACAAAACTAATATTATTGAATTAGTAAGAACTAAACTGAATTCCAGCATTCTAGCCAATCAGCATCAAGTAAAAAAATGAATGCTAAGCATCTGCCACTAAATAAGAACAGCAATAGTATTTTAATCATACAACATCAAGAAATGACTTGCATTTAATTTTTTCCATTTCAAATTGACACCCCCCCCCCAATGCTTATATGATCTTTGGTTCCTTTACCACACAATGTTCAGACTTCAGATATAGAGACCCATGGGTGGAAAACTGGGGGTTTGGATGCAGCAAAATCTGGCTGATAAATATTGTGCATATACAGAAGAATTGTTCCTACAAAGCAAATTTGTTTATAAAAGTTACTTTTTGGTTAATATTCTACACATTTTACATGATTCTCTCCTGCATAAGCTAACAAAAATAATGCATATTAAAGTAATTCTTAAGCAGTAGCTCTCTTCTTACTTAGAAGGGACTCTGGATACTTGGAAGAGTTTTTATTTGGGAATTTCGTTTTGCTGTTTGATACCCACAGAAAGATTTTAGGGTGGCATAACTGTGTATATTCTGCTGTGGTTCCTTTGCTTTTCTTTCAGAGCCTGTTCTTTGCTTTGTGGAAGTGCTATTTGGCCAAAGCTGCAACAATCCGTGCTTGTCACCTAGGGAGGTTCTGGAAAAGGCAGCCAACCCTTTAGGGAGGTGGGGGAGTCTACCATTGAAAGTACACTAGGATCAGTTTTTCTTCTAAACCTTGTTGCAGTTTTGCAGCTGTGCCTCCTATTTAACATGAATGAGCACAGATTTATGGGGCAAAAATACTGATGGTCATTTGTCTTACTCTTTCAACAGGCTTTTAGAGAAGGTTCACGGAAGTCTTTGCGGATGAAGGTGAGTTAAGCCACATACCTGATCCCAGAATATAGTTTCATTCTTGTAACACAATTAATGACTCCTGGTTTTGTTATCAAGGACTACTGAGCCCAGCTTATTGGTCATCAGCATGTATGAAACTTCATGGTTATCCTTTGACCCGGTCCAAGATGGTTGTGGCATTATTCTTGAGACAGGTGCACATTTAAAGGACTTTGGTGTGCAAGGCAGGGATGTTAAAGAGCAGAGACGTTGAAGGGCTCATTAGTTTTCTAAGCGATGTGGTTGGAATGGGCTCAAGTACTGTTGTGCTGGTTACCTGAGGCTACTTGAGTAGAGACCAGGATGGGAAGAACTTTGAAAATGCCACAAAAAAGCTGGCTGAGAACAAGGACCACACAGAGTTAGGTGGTTATTTTCCTAGTTATAGGCTGCTCTGTCACCACAAGCAGCCCCGGTGCTTTTCACAGAGCCCTTATGCCGTATAGACATTGAACTGACTCCCTTTTGGTGCAGAACTCTCCTTCAGAAGCCCATGCCCTGGATGAGAATACGGCAGAGGGGTGGGAAAACCGCATAAGGCTCTGGACCGATCAGTATGAAGAAGCCTTCACTAACCAATACAGCGCGGATGTACAGAACCTCCTGGAGCACCATCTAAATGCCAGTAAAGAGTTTGTGGGCAAGGCGGCTGTGCTGGACACAATCAATAAGACAGAGCTGTTCTGTAACAACACTGTCATTGGCTCTCAGATGCAGGTAAACAAGTAGACCCCAAAGTGGCGGTAGGCCAGTTGGCTGCATGCCAGGGTGGTGGGTCATTGATAAGGCCCAGGTTTGAAAGATGCTCTTTTGCCTCTAGATGCAAGCAAGCTTATACATAGGGGAGAGCAGATAAGGTGAAGCTCGGGGAGGTATGAAACGACAGTCCTTCTCTCCCCGTCCTCCTTTCCTGGCTCATTAGATAAGATTCTTTTCAGGTATAAAACATTCCTGGTCTGGCCAGCAATGCTACCTTGAGCATGTCTGCTACTTCAGTTCATGCATTCTGGTAGACAATTAAATATGGCCAGTGATCTCAGACCCTGGTTGCTCAGCTGCTTTTAACAAATGCAGCCATACACATGGACCTTCCCTCTGCGGTGTGGGTCCTAAATTCTCTCTCTTAACTTGGCAGCTGCAGCTAGGGAGAGTGACGCGGGTTCAGAAGCACCGGAAGATCCTGAGGGCGGCCAGAGATCTGGCTGTGGACACTCTTATAATTGAGTATCGTGGGAAAGTGATGCTGCGGCAACAGTTTGAGGTCAATGGGCACTTCTTCAAAAAGTAAGAATGCTGAGCAGTCTGAAAAGTGGAACCGTTTTGGGGGCTGGTGCGGGTGGGAGGTTCCCCACAATCGATCGGTTTTAGAAATGAATATGCGTTATGCGGTGGTGCGTCCAGCGCTCCACGAATGCCTTGTAGGCTTGGCTGTGTTTGCCATTAAGGTTACAAGTGCTGTTCTTTCTTTTTTAGGCCGTATCCCTTTGTGCTGTTCTACTCCAAGTTTAACAGTGTTGAGATGTGTGTGGATGCTCGGACTTTTGGTAATGACGCTAGATTCATCAGGCGCTCCTGTACGCCAAATGCAGAGGTAAGTGGTTGCTGTGGTGTTTGGCATTTTGATAGGTGTGAAGATTTGGCTCGTATTGGTTGAGTTTGTGGTCGGCCACAACTTCAAACAAAGATTGCCCCACCAGTCCAAAAGTGCTGGATCCTCAGATGAAGTCCCTTTATACAATATTGATCCTGCAGAATATTTTACCAGTAGCCTCAGAAGGACAAACACTTGGACGTTGTGGTCTTCAGCAGGTGGAATTTTGGTCCATCTGTCCTGCATTCTCCATCAAGTATCCCAATCCTTGACAGAATTCAGAATTCCCTACCTAGCAAAGCAAATCCTTTTAGTCTCAAATGTATACATCATGCTTCACAACTTGGTTGTTCTAAACCAACAGTTGCTTAAAGAGGCTGGCTTTGCTGCTACTTCATTGAAACTCAGCTTTTGCAGTGTGGCACATGCTTGATTTTTGGGATTGTAACGTTTCTGTTTGTGTGTTGAAGGTTCGCCATGTGATAGCAGGTGGGATGATTCACCTGTGCATTTATGCTGTTACGTCCATTGCCAAGGATGCAGAGGTCACCATTGCCTTTGACTATGAGTACAATAACTGGTGAGCGTCCTTGTTACTTGCTTATTGGAGACTTGCCCTTCTTCCCTCAGTACTGACCTTTTCATTTGTGCCCCTGCTTTTTGGTTTTTGTTGTCAAATTACATTCTCAGCCTCTCGGGTGGTAAAGGTCATAATGGGAGCAGTTCCCCCATCTCTTTCCTAGGCATTTAGCTCAAAGGTATACTTACATATTGTTTCTCAAGACATTGTGAAGCGATACTAATACATTCTGTGTCTTTTGTGATGGGGCAGCAACTATAAAGTGGATTGTGCCTGTCACAAGGGAAACCGGAGTTGCCCTGTGCAGAAACGGAGCCCAAACACTGTAGAACAGCTGCCTCCACCTGTTCTAGACACTCTGATTGGAGCAGAGACCAGGCGTCGGAAAGCTCGTCGGAAGGAGCTGGAGCAGCGGGAAGCTGCATCAGATGAGAACAGCAATCCACAGCCAGAGGAAGTCCCTGAGGGACTTGCTGCAGCCAGTGATAATGAGGTAAAGTCTCCACCATCCTATAGCATTGAGTGTTGGTCACTAACTCTGGAGGAACTTGTTCCCAGAGGGAGTGACTTCCCTGGGCATAGAGCAGCCCCAGCCCCAGTGAAATGCTGGACGTTCACGGTAATTGTCCCATATCTTTTTGCAGCTGTGACTGCTGCTGAGGTCCATTCTCTCACATTTCAGGTTGCAGACAAAGAAGAGAAGCAAGAAGAGGAGAAAGAAGCCACTGCGGATGAGCAGGGAGGTCTCACTCAGAACAGACGGGCAAGTATCTTTTCCTCTCTCTTTTTTGTAATGGGTACAGTCCCTCCCATAGGTAGTGAATTTTTATGCTGCCTTCTCACACAGTGTTGTCTAGTTAACTAGTCTGATCTGCCTCCCTCATGCCAGCATTGTTGTTCTGCTCCTGTTCTTCAGGGTTGCTACTTTTTTCACTAGCCCATGTGCCGTGTTGGCTATGGATTCTGATTATGTGGTTTAAAATAGTGGTTTTCAAAGTGTCTGCATTCAGGGAATCTTTTCCATGTTGGCTGGTCTGCAGCAGAACCCTGGACACTGCAGAGGATTCTGGGATATAGTGTCCATGTTCTGTTCAAGCAGGAAACTGGCCGGATCTGTTGGGCCTCACTAGTGCCCTGTTTGAACTAAGTCTATGCCTATGCTTTGCATTTGTAGGGAAGATCAAGAGTAGTGGGTGTGCTGTCTTCCATGACGCTTGTCCACTACAGGTCTATCTTCTTACTAAGGAAAGCTTTGTTAAGCTTCTGAGAAACAGCAGGATGCCCTGCAAAACAAAGGTGCAAAAGCAAGATTACTTGTGGAAGGGAGTCAGAGTCAGGGGCTCAGCAGGCTTCATTCAGGAACCTGTTAAGAAATCTTAACAACCACCTAGACCTCCCCATGGCAGTGTTAGAAACAGATATAAAAGCTAGGAACCATATGGCACCTTTTAACCTAGGCTTCAGTTGCCACTACGGAATGCCTCAGCGCCCTGCAGATCAGCTGATCTATGCAGCAGCATAACACCAGAAGATGTGCCTCTTTTGGTGCTGTGCTGCTCTGTGAATCAGCTGCTCTGCGGGGCAGCGCAGCACCAAAAGAAGCCTTTCTTTTGCTGCCGTGCTGCCCCACCAGCCAGCTGACTGGCCCAGCGTGGCAGCAGTGCCAGCCAGCCAGATGGAGATGTCATTCAGCAAACCTGGCGACCAGGTAGCTCCACTTCCTCACAAAAGGCTGGTGGCCTATTGTGAAATGTGGCTAGCGCCCTGATATTTTCAAGCACTACCCCATGGCTCTTGAAAGTGAAGTAAAATGGCAGCAGCTCAGATAACAGCAGTTCCTTCTCATCCTTGAACATAAGAATAGACAGACAATAAAAGAAGAGAGGTTAGTCAACATGAGGAAGCTTCAAAGGAAGCCTACAGACATAGGAAATGGAAGGTAAATGGCAATAGTCCCGCCCCCCCTTGAATCTTAGCACTGCCTATCCATGCCAAACAAAAAAATATACCTTGGTCCAGTTAGCCTTACCAGTGTATGTATATGAGGGATAGGATTGAATAGGGTGGGAGGTGAGGAAGAGCAGGCATTTTCCCTAGCAGCAACACTAGCTTGTTGCTTGTATCGCTGTTTTGAATCCCCTGGAGCGTATATTGTCTGAACAGCCATCTTTTTATGTTATTCTAATGGCTACTACTACTGCTTCTTTCTTATTTCCTGCTGAAACTGATATGAGCAGCACACACTTTCATCGGTTGGGCTTCTGTAGCCTTGGAAACAAGGTGCTTTCTTGTCACGGCCTTTAAAAACAAAACAGTGTCCTTTAAACGCTTATACAGAGAAGTGGAATATTCATTATCAGTTAGAAAACAGCAACAACCAAACTTTCATTCAAAAGGTATAATCCAAAGCACAGAATATCCTGAGAGGAAGGTACAGTTGAGGAAGACCTAAAGTTGGGGGGGGGGGGGGTTTAGGAAGAAGCAAGTGAGAGATGACCTAGCAAGCAGTTTAATGACTTTAAGTATAAATGTGGGGGGGGGGGGAGACAGGGGTAACAGGCATTTTAATCCTAGGCACCTAATATTTTCACATGACCATGCTGTTCTGAATTGCAATTGCTTTGAGATCAGTGTATTCTGAGTTGACAGAACTAGCACCCCATGTTCTGTGTGGTCAGTGCTCAGGCAAGTTGATCCACAAGGAATGGAGAGCAGGACATTATTGGGATGTCCACTAGTTTGCCACTGTTGATCCTGTTGTGTTTCCCCTTCTTCCCTTGTTGTCTGGTCTGCCGTTTTTTTTTTTTTACCCGTTTGTACCTGTTCTGCTGACTTTGATTTGTGCTTCGGTTGGGCTAGACCCGAGAAGATCGGAAGGTAGAAGCCATCATGCACGTGTTTGAGAACCTGGAAAAAAGAAAGAGGAGGCGAGATCTCCCATCGGATCGGAGCAGCACAGACGCAGAAGTGGTGGTCACGGCAGAGACTCCAGAACCGGAGGAAGTAAAAGCTGAGCCAAATGAAACTGAGGAGAGCAGTTTGGCTTCAAGTGTTTCTGTGCCAAGTGCCCCTTCCAGTGCCAGCAGCGTTGGAGTGAACACACGGAGGTCTTCACAGGCCGGGGTAAGAAGAAGGGTAGAACTGCCAAGGGTTCGGCCCCAGTAACTTTGGGAATTACAGTGGAATTTCTGTATGCAACTCCATGTTCAGAAAGGATATACTTCCAGCTACCAGATGCTGGAAGTGTAATTCAACCTTCCTGTTGTATTAAAACGTCCACTGGAATATAATTATATATTATATAATTAGACCGTTGGCTTGATCCAACATGACAATTGGTTGTGAGCCCCTGACTGGTAGCATTTTCAGTGTTACCAGACATGTGCTGGATTTGAAAGAAGTCATGTTTCATTGGGCGTGCTGAGAGCACAAGGGAAGGCGGGGGCCATACTTTGGCATGGAATTGCTGTCTGCAAATCAGCACAGTTACTTTCACAGACCATGTTGTACTGGCACCCTTGGACGCTTCTTATTGGACTCAAAATATGCCAGCTGGCACCTGTTTGGCAAATGCTTCAAGGGGTGAAAACAGTATTCTAGAGGGAGCATTGCATTAAGATGCAAGTAAACCCCCCCCCCAAAGAATACTAGCGTCCCAGATTCTCCCTTGACTCTCCCTTTACACTCCAGGAATTAAAACCTTTACAGATGTATTTCGCCAGGCTGCTCCTGTTTGAAAGCAAATGTGTAGAGGTGCAGGTTCTCAAGAATTCCATAACTTACACTGGGCTTTGCACTGCAGGAAACGGCAGCAGAGAAACCAGTCTCTAAAACAGCACCGTCAAAACCAGCTAGGCCGCGACCCAAAAGCCGGTTTTCCCGTTATCGGAGTAGTTCCGCACAGAGACTGAGAAGGCAAAAGCAAGCCAGCTCCCAACAGGCTGAGCTCTCTCAAGCAGCTCCAGAGGAGGGAAATGCTGTGAGCACAGTAATGGCGGCGGAAGTCAGCAGCGTGGAGGGTCCAGGAGAAGGGAAGCAGTTGATGGGTTCTGACCCAGCTGTGGCTGCAGTTGCAGGAACACAGGCCAGCCGGGCTGCACTCAAGTATCCCAAAACGAAAAAGGTAAATCAACTGAGGGATGGGCAGGATGTATCTTAAAGGTAAAGGTACCCCTGACCATTAGCTCCAGTCACGGACGACTCTGGGGTTGCGGCGCTCATCTCGCTCTATAGGCTGAGGGAGCCGGCGTACAGCTTCTGGGTCATGTGGCCAGCATGACTAAGCCGCTTCTGGCGAACCAGAGCAGCGCACGGAAACGCCGTTTACTTTCCCGCCGGAGCGGTACCTCTTTATCTACTTGACTTGATGTGCTTTCAAACTGCTAGGTTGGCAGGAGCTGGGACCGAACAACGGGAGCTCACCTTGTCACAGGGATTCGAACCGCCGACCTTCTGATCAGCAAGCCCTAGGCTCTGTGGTTTAGACAAACATAAGCATATTGCAGGATGTATCTTAGGACCCTGCAGTATGCTTATGTTTGGGTAACAAACACAGTGTGTGGCAGGTTTATAAATTACAGCAGGAGCTGTACAGAGACTTCAGTGGTGCTATCTGAGTCAAGAAGACAAGTTTTGACAACCCTGATTTTCCAAACCCTCCTCCACTGGTTTCCCAACCCTATCAACATTCTCCAGTGAATTACTATCCATTTTCAAAAGGGTGAAAATAATTTTAGCCCAGTGAAAAGCAATGGAGGAAAATGGCTTTTTATGAGATTCCAGTGAGACAGAAATTCTCAAACTGTGTGAGCTCCAGGCAGGTTTGACTGTGGAAAGGTTGTAGAACATTTGAGAATATCTGTGCTTGGACCTGCACTTGTCTTATTTTTTTTTTCTCTGAGTAATGGAGATGGGAGGCCATTTTGACCAAGGGACAGATTTATCGAACAGACAAACAAGTCATTTCCTAGGGCCTGTGATTTTCGTAATAGTGCTCTGATTTTGATAATGGTGCCAGAACCAACAAAAAGGTTTATTAAGTGGACTGCTAAGACCTCCAGCAATTTACAAGTGGTCTGCCAAGAAAATAAATAAAATAAAAATTGAAAACTGCTGCAGTAGAAGCTTTACATTCACTTAGAACCATTTGAGGAAAAGCAATCAAGCTGAACTTAATTTTCTGTGGTGTAACCCATCTTAAGCCAAGATCTGTTTTTTAATGGACACTTCTTCAACTCAGTTTTTATTAAGAGGTTCAGAACATGATTTCTAGACCTTTAAAATAATACAAGTGGCACTCTTGCAACCCAACAATGGGGCAGGTTTTGGCACCTTCCAGATCACAGGGATTTCTTCCAGGAGGAGGTGATTGTTGAGAACAGCAGTTCTCATTGTAAGACCTTATTAATTACACCAATGAGACATTTCCAAGGATGTCATTGCCAGGCCACTTGTATGTATATCTTGCGCACCAGATTTAAGAGTGCATTTGAGGGTTTTCATGGAGGGGGGGGAGATAATCATGTTGTTGGGCCATAACCCAATGGTAGGGCATATACTCTGCCTCAGGTTTCATCTCTGCTACTTCCAACTTTAATAAAGAGATGTTTGGCAGCAGTTCTGGGGAAGTTCCCTGCTTGAAACCATGGACAACCAGGGCCCAGGCAGAGTAGACAGTTCTGGGCCCACCTATTCCCACCTCTCCCTATTGACTCTTTATTTTGTCTTATCTTTACAAGTTCCTTGCATAGCAAGACACATTTCTGTTATTTCTGCTTTCAGTATCTAGTTACAGAATGGCTGAATGACAAGGCAGAGAAACAGGAGTGCCCCATTGAGTGCCCTTTACGTATCACCACTGACCCAACTGTGCTGGCTACCACCCTCAATATGTTGCCAGGCCTGGTCCACTCCCCACTCATTTGCACCACGCCCAAACACTACATCCGTTTTGGTTCTCCCTTCACCCCAGAAAGGCGAAGGCGGCCGGTTCAGCTGGATGGGAACTACAGCTCATGCAAAAAGGTATGTTTGCTTTTGGTTGTGGTCCGTGCACTTGGCCCAATATTTCTTTGAAAAAAGAAATTTAAATGTCTAATGAACGTGCATGACTTTCCTTAAAGCACCCCAAAATATGCTTGCCCAGGTTTGGTTTACTGAAACTCTTCCTGGAAAAGAAACATACAACTAAAATTGTTTTAGTTGGTTCTCGTATTTTCAGTGGATGTAGGGTACAGTTTCTCCCTGCTTGCAACACTGCCTCATGACACTTTAAAAATTACAGAAAAGGCATGGTCTTCTTCCATAGGCTCATTAGCTGTTCCTAGATGTGAATAGACTACGCACTGCATGTATTGTTAGAAAGACAAGACTGTGGTGTGCTTGAACTCCTCTACAGTGGTACCTCAGGTTAAGAACTTAATTCGTTCTGGAGGTCCGTTCTTAACCTGAAACTGTTCTTAACCTGAAGTACCACTTTAGCCAATGGGGCCTCCCACTGCCGCTGCATGATTTCTGTTCTCATCCTGAAGCAAAGTTCTTAACCCGAGGTACTATTTCTGGGTTAGCGGAGTCTGTAACCTGAAGCATCTGTAACCCGAGGTACCACTGTATTTAAATACTGTCTCTTGCAGGATTTCTTAAAACGCTTTAGTGTATGGGTTTAAAAACCTGCAGTCGCTGAAACATCTAAGTAGTAATTGATGCACCTTGCCTACTGGGACTAAGATTCTAAATTAGGTGCACTGTACACATCTTGAATTTTGTGGTTGCCAAGATATTGCTGAATGAGATCTCTTGAATAGAGATAACCTGTGATGATTCTTGGTTAGGTGAGCAAAAAGGAAAATGCGTTTCACACCTGTTTTCTCTCTGCACCCCAAGCTGTAGACTAGGGAGACTAGGAAAATCAAGAGTATCTGTTTCAAGAAGGGCTTTGCATAGCCCAGTACTGGGTGTGAGACATTCACTATGACGCACACATTGTGATGCCAGCTCTAGATTTTCCGTAGACCTTAGCAAAGTCAAGTTTTCATTTTAATCTTTTGCTTTATTTTTCTAGGCTACTAGTTATGTTGTTTGTCCAATGCTTTCTTTAAATGTATTCTTTGCCTTGAGAGGCAATACCTACTCAGAGTCTGCCTAAAGCAGCTTGTTTTTCATGCCTTACAAAGGCAGGATTAATAGCTGGGTTTCCAGAGGGCTCTAAGCTGCAAAGGAATGGTCCATGGACACAGGAATGCCCTGTATGCAGTTTCTTGGGCCTCACGAGCTACCTGGTATAAAACAACAGAGCAATCCCCCCCACCCACAAAATTGTGTCAACATAACCCCTCAGGCAGATGAGCAGATTGGGAGTCTATTCTGGTTTAGGCTGCTTAAGTAATGAAAGTAGTTCTCATAATACATGACAGCTTTTTAATAAAGCTAATATTTGGGTATCTTGCTTGTATTTTGGCAAGTTGCCTGTCAAGGGCAAGGTGCAAGAAAGGGGATGGCCAGCAACAGGGCTATGAGGAAGTGGCTTCTGTCTGCTTGAGTCTTGAGTGGGCTAATGCGTTTCCACAACTATCTTGAACACCCACAAGGACTTTGAAACTTGTTTTCCAACAAAATTGCGGGATGGTCTATGGGCACATTTGCGTAGTGAGTCTAGAGCAGCATAGGATGGCCATACTACTGGTCGTCTCTATTTCTTCGCCTGCTTTTGTTGAATGTATATTCTATGCTGCAATCAGGCCAGAAATGGGCTCCCGACATTTCCTTTTAGACTGGTAAGCATATCTCTGCCATATCTTGCTCTGACACAGCGGGATAAGCCGTATTTAGAATGCACCTTCTGCTAATTGGGTCCTGAATCTGGCTCACTTCTCTGTGTGAATGTCCTGGCGAGCTAACCCCAGCGTGCTTTGGGGAAAAAGCAAAGAATTCAATTTTGCTTTCCTAATTTCAATTTAGAGCATTAATAACATAATCCTGTGTGCTTAATTAGAATCGGTAATTTCCAGATCTGGTTTTACCGTGTGCATGTTCAACATATGAGAGTCTTGGACTAGGTAGGAGTGGCAAGCTGTTGTTTTTACATTTCCATATGCTAAAATAGTGGTACCTCCCTAGTAAAAAAAAAAGCAAAACAAAAATGCCAGATGCTGGCATTCAAATCTTTTCATATAAAGATATTGTTCTAGTTCTCATGGCTGTGGAGATGCATTTGAAAATGGGCTATAATAGGTGAATGGCTCAGGGTTCAAGGGGATGAAACTTTTGGCCCGCACTGGCTCCCTCTCTCTCCTTTGAGGCTCCTAGCTACACACAAGCCCCTGCTGCCCTCCCTGCCTTATGCCATTTCCTTCTCCTACTGCACCATCATTTGCCAGTTAAAAATATGGGCTTAGCCTAAAACACTATATTGAGTGACCTCATGGAAAATAAAGACTATTTGCATAGAGGCCTCACTTATTTTCAGTAAAAACAACAACTTTGAGTTGGGGTACAGGGTGTAAACGGCCCCGCCCATAAAGCAATTGAGGTGAAAACAGATCCTCCCCACCCCCTGGGGCATTGACCGATAACAGATGGAAATTGCTGAAAGTGGTCTGTTGCAAGTCGGGGGGGGGGGGGGAGAAACACTAAGTGGGAGCCTGTGCATTATTGAGCAAGGTTTGTTTTTGCAGCGTTGGATGAAGCAGGCTCTGGAAGAAGGGATGACTCAGACCTCAGCTGCTTCCCAAGAGAACAGAACTCAGTGTCTATACCAAAGCAACGAGAGCGGTAGCACTTCTGGCATCTGCAAGGAAAACGCAGGTTGGTTGAGAGGTCTCCATGTTTCAGTGGTGCACCATGGATGTCGTTTCAGTTTTCCACTCCTTGAAGGGCCAGTTAGAAAGCAAGCAAGCATAATTGCAGTCAATAACTCTACATAACTGGCCTCCGTGTACTAACCAGTTTATTCATTTGTTTACTGCATTTATATCTCACCTCGTTCTCCAAGGAACTGGAGGTGGTGTGCATAGTTATTCCCCTCCTCATTTAGTCTTCAGAACAACCCTGTGAGGTAGGTTAGGCTGAGAAGCAGTGACTGGTCCAAGGCCACTCAGTGAGCTATTGAGCAATAATAGGTACAGTTCACATAGAGTTGCATAGTGTGTTGCTACCTGTTGACACAGGCTTCTTCTTCTTCTTCTTCTTCTTCTTCTTCTTCTTCTTCTTCTTTCCTTCTTGTTATTTCCCAGCAACTCAGGAGCTACAGTCTTTGGCCCAGGGTTTGTGATGGACTAGAGCTCAGAAGTGCCACCCTCCTCATTGTATAACATCCTGTCCTTCACAGCTCCTCAGGGCTCTAAGGTGTTTAGAGCGTGGTGCTAACACCAAGGTTGTGGGCTCAAACCCCATATGGGCCACCTCCATATTCCTGCATTGCAGGGGGTTGGACTGTGAATCTCGGGGTCCCTTCCAGTTCTACAATTCTGTGACTATGGCATGGGCCCGTTGCCATTCTGCAGATATCAACCCACCTGTTAGCCTGCTCCTGAGGGGAATGCAAGGGGGAACAAGCAGAAAAACCGTACAAGCTGCGTGAATGGTGTTTCTTTTGCCGGGTGACTACTCATTCTGACATTTCCCTTGCAGAGGGGGGCAGAGAGGAGTGTAAGAAGGGGACCCTCCTTTTCCTAGATCAAGAGAACCCATTCCCCTTTGGGTTTCGTCTAGAAACAGAGACCTTATTCCCAGGGAGGAAGTGCACCGCACCAAACCCAGTGCCACCGCCTTCCTCCAATTGCTGGGAAAATAACTGGTTAAAGAGTAGGCACCTGGTTGCAGAACAGCCACTCGGCAGCACCGGAGCATACATCTGTGAGCAAAGCAAAAAGACAAGTTTTAAAAACAGTAACTTTGCATCTGTCTTTGCAGAGGAAGAGGGTGGCGATCTATCCAAGTCAGGGATCAGTTTTCCAAGGACGCGAGACGAGGCCCTAGGCAGTGTACAGATAACTGTGTGTTACACAAAGGTTAGAGGCATCGAAAGCAGAAAAAGCACTAGTTATGGGCAAATTGCAATTTTAAGCGAGAGGTGGGTGGGGGGAGCAGAAAAGGCTCTCTGGTGATCTTTCTAAGAGGCTTCTGTGGGTTGGATTCTTTGAGTTAAAAGTTGTCCAGTGGCATTTCTTAGGACCACGAAATCATTTGGCTTTTGAGGGTTTCTTGCAAGTCAGATTAAGTTCTGTCACAGGACGTAAAGAAGTGCTGGGAAGGGCAGGCCTATGCAACTTCCTTGTTAATAGGGTGGCGGGAGAGAAGAGAGGTGCTGTTGTGGCTTGAGAAGGAAGGGAAATTGGGCGGGGGGGGGGGCTGTGTACAAGATTCTTATGCAAGGGACAGCTCACATATGCAAGTCAGCATCTTGGGGGAACAACTCAAGAGTGCTTGCAGCAGCTAGTGAAATCAATATTTGTGGGGTTGGGGATCTAATCTACCAGCAAAAACTTGGCAAATGACCTCCCCACTACCCACTTACAACTATCCCGGGGCTGCTGTTAGGCAAAGGTTTGCATTGTGTGTTGAAGGGTAGAGCATAATCTTATCAGTAGATGGATGGAAACACTGGAGCAGCCCTACTTCCCTTGGAATAATTGGCTCTCACTGGTTAGAATGCAACTGTGGTTTTTTGGCCAACAGGATTGATGTCTGTCGATGGAATATCGGCTAATAGCCTTTGGGATGCAGGTGGGCAGCCTGCTGCTCTGAGCCAGATTCCATTTGGCCTGATTCCATTTGTGTGGCAAGGAAAGAAAGATGAGTAGAGTGGACACCTTGACCTCTGACCCCACTCTCACTTTTGGCTCAGGCTCCACCCACCACCAATACAGTGGTACCTTGGGTTAAGAACTTAATTCGTTCTGGAGGTCCATTCTTAACCTGAAACTGTTCTTAAACTGAGGTACCACACTAGCTAATGGTGCCTCCCACTGCCACCACGCGATTTCTGTTCTCATCCTGAAGTAAAGTTCTTAACCAGAGGTACTAGTTCTGAGTCTGTAACCTGAAGTGTCTGTAACCCGAGGTACCACTGTATGTGACTCCAGCAGATTACCCTCCAGGGCATGTGACCCCCAGCAGAAAAAAGGCTGCCTGCCCTGCTTTAGACGTTCTACTGATAGTGTGAGGGGTGGCTTACTGATGAGCAGCTACTTTGCAGCTGGGAAAAGTGTTTCAAGTTATCCAACTGTACGAGTGGGCGAAAGAAGCCTTGGTCTATTGAGAAAGAGAGATTAGCTTGTGTGTGCAGATGCAAAACACTCCAGTTGAAGGAAAGTGGGGGCTTCAAAGTTCTCTTTTGGTCTTGCCATCAGTAGCTGGTCTCTACCCTAGCAAGAGACTTGCTGCTGCAAGGGTAGTGGAATTTGACAAAATAAAATTAACAAGGACTCATTGACGAAGATTGCTTGGTGTCTGAGGATAGAGATAATAGAGCAGAATAACCCTTTTACTGTACTTAGAGGATTGATTTGAAAGCATTGGGGACAGTAAAGAGTGCAGAGAGGGAGGCCTGGATGTTGTCAGCAGGAAACTTAACAGGGGGACTTGTGGGCATTACTGGATGTTTCCTGCAAGGACTAGTTCTTGTTCCGACTTGTTTTGAATCCTTGCCAGATTACCCATCAGCCTAATGAGTGCAAGGAAGATGCACCATTCCTAGCTCAGGAAGACTGCAGGTAAATGAAAGGAAGCTTCACAAGGAAGTGATGCGGCTGAGTGGAAGAGGGAGAGACTTGGGTTATCACTTTCTGGGCCACGACCCTGTCTTTTGGCAAGGTGCATACTGCTGTGTTGGTGGAGATGTATGGAGGTGATGTAGAGAGGCTTAGATTTTGGACAACCTAGACCTTATTAGCTTGTTGATTGCTTTTGGTTTGGACCCTTTTTTAATCTCAGCAAGTTCCCTTGAGCCCTGAAATTGCCCCCCTTTCTTACCTCCCCCTGTTTTGATAGTGCTCCTCTTTGGAGAAAAGAAGGGTTCTTTTTTATAGAGAGAGAGCTGAAGAGTTGTCAGTATGGCAAGAACCAGTCAAAAATTTAAAGATTCCTGTAGGGGGAGTAGATGATGAGCGTAGATTGGGGCTTTGTAATGGTAGAGTCACTACCTGGATTCTGTGTTGCCTTTCAGATTTCCTGAGCCCCCTGAAGAAGTGGAAGTCTCGCTATCTAATGGAGCAGAGTGTTACCAAGTTATTGAGACCGCTTTCTCCAGTCACTCCCCCACTTCCTGACCCCTCGGTTCCAGATGCGCTGAGCCCACACCTCACCACGTCCTCCTCATCTATGCCAGGAGAGGAGGAATGTCGAAGTAGCTGCGGTGTGATCTTCTCACCAATTCCCTCCTTGGCTGCTAGTCGTTGTAATACTCCACTACAGTTTGAGGTAAGTTGGGGGGCAGGATGGCAGCTTTCCCTGCAGACCTAGGATGTATGCATCAAAACTCCTTGGAAAGACACAGGTAGACCTAAGAAATGAGCAGATAGGTTTTTTAAAGAATCCTGTGTATTCCGAGAATCTGGCACCTGCAGATTATAAAGTCCCTATTCTCCTTTATTGTTATGCACAGTAGATGGATACTAGAGTGTGCAAAGGGTTACAGGTTACCAGAAACACTATTCCCTGCCCTCTGTTTCATTTAATCTCAGCTTCCCCACCCCAGTAGCATCCAAAGATGCTGTCAACTTCTGGGCTGCTGCTCTCCTGCATTCACCTCTTAGCAAACTCTAAGCTTTGGAGAACATTAGCTGTTTTGCATCCCCAGAATTCCCCATCTGCATGATGTGTTGTTTCCTGTTCTTCTTACAGCCATTTGCCTCCCCCTTTCAAAACTTCTGTAAACCTTTGTAGTGCAGTGCAGGTGTGAGTCATGCAGGTAGCCTCTGTTTTGCAGTTTCCCTCGTGACAAGCACATGCCAGTGCTTTCATTCTGAAGCATCCCGTTTTCTTACTTTTTATTGTGTCCCATATTTGTGCTTGGGGTGGAGTTGAAGCTTCCCATTCCCATTTTTCAATATTGGGCCACTAAACTCTTTAGGTCTGCTGCTGCCTCTTAGCAAATCTCCCTGGAAATGTCTATTCTTATGAAAGTTGAGATGACCACAATTTGGGATTCTGGACTCTCGATCTTCTGCTATTCTCAGCTTTCTGCCTAATTGTATGGGCTTTGAGTCTGGGCTGTGCATTTCTGTACACATAAGAAAACGATATTGCACCGAGACAACCCAGACTGTTGGAATCCAGACTCTGCAGCTTCTAAAACGGTGCAAATCGGAAGCCTTTGCATGATTTCTCCTTCTTTGCAGAATTCTACTTCTGTTTATTTTTTATTTAACGAAATGTATGTACCGCTTGATTGTAACATAACCTCTAAGTGGTTTGCAAGGAGGATTTATTCTGCTGACTGGGATGGCAACTCTTAAGCCGCTTTAAATCCTGCTCACCAGCAGCCCTGACTCCTAAGATTCCATCAGGCATTGCCCACATATTCTCAAGTGTAGCTTCACAACCATAGTTGCTCCTTTGAAAAAAAAAAAGAGAAAAAAAATTCTTAAGCTGAATTCTGTGGCTGGTGTCCTGTGGCTTTTCTATACTTCCATATAATTGTAGCATTTCCACCACCGCGATTATGGCCCTGCTGCTTGAGCGCAAGTAGGTTGGTCATTATACAGTGCCTGATCATTAATTTTGCTTACTATCCAAATGGCAAGATCCCCAATCACTTTCCCAGTGCCTTTGGATTCAGGTCTGGTGGGCTCTTGCACAGTTAGGCCACTTCCAGTTCTGCACGGAAACAGAGACAGGACTCGTTGGGCTGGGGGAAATGCAGAATCGTGGTGTTGCCAGAAGCCACAGAAACTTGAGTGGCCTTAGCTGCACCAGTCTTAGTGAGACAGTGGCACGGGATGTCACTAGGACTTTGTATCTTGAGACTGGACGTTGGTCCCAATTTGCACTCCTGATTTGAAGCGGCACTTAAGGAGTGTTGGTCATAGCAAGCTTCAGTCGGACTTCAAAGGTTTCTGCCCCGTGTAAGAAAGTGAGCGGCTTCTGCTGCTGTATGACTGAGTTTTCTGCCCACCTGCCCCTCTTTATGTGTGTTGCAGGGAAGGAGCTTTTCAATGTGTTAAAAGTTTCTACCACCCATTCTCCCCAGTTCCCCTGTGTTGAGGCTTCCCCTTTTCACACCATTCCACTCATTCATCACACGTTATTTATGTTTCCTTTAAATTATTTCCTGCTGCGTTTCTGCCCGATCCATAATTGTCTTTTTAAAAAAGGAAGAAGCAAATTAAATAGTGCATTGTTAAACAGCCGATAGAAATAGTTCAAAGCAGTTTGAGCAGCCATCAAGTTGAGCCTACCTCCTATAAAATCAACGGTGAAGCTATAAAAAGTTACAAAAAAAACCCCTCAACCACACAAAAACAAACACAATAAAAAATAGCCCAAAGCGCCGAGGGCCTTCTGGAGGTTCCCTCACTGCGAGAAGTGAGGTTACAGGGAACCAGGCAGAGGGCCTTCTCGGTAGTGGCACCTGCCCTATGGAACGCCCTCCCAGCAGATGTCGAGGAAATAAGCAACTAACTTACTTTCAAAGGACATCTGAAGGCAGCCCTGTTTAGGGAAGTTTTTAATGTTTAATGCTGTATTGTGTTTTTAACATTCGCTTGGGAGCCGCCCAGAGTGGCTGGGGAAACCCAGCCAGGTGGGCAGGGTATTAATAATAACATTATTATTATTATTATTATTATTATTATTTCCCAAGCTTGGGAATTCAGCTGTTGTTGAACTGCAACTCCCAACATCCCTAGCTAGCAGGACCATTGGTCAGGGATGATGGGAACTGTAGTCCAAAAACAGCTGGAGACCCAAGTTTGGGAACCCCTGCTCAAGAACATATTTCACTGTGCTTATGTGGTTTAGAGTTAATCCAGTCTTTCTCAATTCCATGTGCTCTCGATGTTTGAACTACATATGCCATCAGCCTAGGAGTTATTGTCCAAAGCATTTGAGGAGCCCCGGGGTGGGGAAGGGTAGTTTGGGTAAAAGTACTTATTGTGGGTCTGTGTCTCATGGGCTTCTGCGCTTAGAGATCTGAAGCTGTCTTACCTTTGAAGTGTTCAGAAGCTCAATATTTAATCAGTTTTTGGTGGGGGGTTTTTGAGAGAGAGAGAAAGAGAGACCCAAAGTGACTTTCTTGGTAAAAGGATTTATGGCATGGCGACATCAGCTTAATAAAGGGGTTCTGCCATGTGTCGCTGCTCTTTTTGCCCCAACCAAATGTGGCTCTCCGGCCAGCACAACCCAGCAGATTCTCAGGGGGGCGGGTCTCCTCCTGCAGCTCATGCTTTCCAGCACTGCATACCTCAGGAAGGACCCTAGGTTTATGGAGGAAGAGAGAGATGCTTTCATGCAGCGTTTCAGTTCCAGGTATGGAAGCATCTCCCATGCTTCATGCCCACCTTCCCTCAAAGGAGCTAGTACCATAATTTCATATCCACTGTATCTCAAGGAGCAGCCAGCTGAGGATTTTCTACATGATGCCTTCACCTTTTAGTCCAGTCTGAAAGCAAGGCATTGTGGGTAGAGAGTGATACGCCAGCTCTCATCCGAGTGATGGGGTTCGTGAGGTGTTGCTGGTTGGCCAGGCATCCTCGGAACACAAGGCAATGGAATGATCTCCGGTTTCTGCGCTGTCCTTTCATCCGGATACTAAAGTTGTAGCATGAGACACAGTAACTCCATCCTGTTTTTTTTTTCTACTCTAAAATCCATGTAATGTGTTCACTTCCCCCTAAGTGATGAGGCCACCCCCTTGATAGTCTCTTATCCTGCCCCCCACCCCCCGCAAATAGTTGTGGCTAACCTCTATGCTTGTTTCTTTTCTTTTTTTATACTTCATTTTATTTTGCTTCTTGACTTGTAAAATTAGATGAATAACAAGATGCTTTTCCCTCCTAGAACGTATCCTCCCCTGAGAGTTCCCCTGCGCATAGGCCCGAGTCCCTGTCGCCCGAGGTAGTTATCACACCATCTCAATTGGAGGCGGAGAGAGTGTGTAGTTTGCGTGGTGAGCGTGTGTGTGTGTGTGTGTGTACACTTGGAGGGAGGAGGGATAGGGGAAGCAGTGGGTGGGGAAGAAGGGGCTAGTCAAGTCAGATTCCTTTGTTGTTGAAGTTGAGAATTGAGTGGTGAACAAAGGGAAAATGCCCACCACTTTCCAGTTAATTTTTCTGAAGTAGCATTTCCTGGGGGGGGGGGGGGAGAGAGAGAGAGAGAAGGGAAGGGAGAGGAGAAAATGAATCAGACTCTTTTAATTTTTGGTGGCTGGCCCTGGGCCTTGCAACCACTGTGCTGTATGTTTTATTGAACCCATCTTCTTAATCCATTGCAGCATAGACAGTCCTGCTCCTGCTTTGTGCCAAAAGTCCACATTCTTCAAGATACAAACTCTGTGGTCAGATTCAATTGTGCAACTCGATAAGCATAATGCAAAGTTAATTGTTTTGTCTGGTGGAGTTTGGAGTCTGAGGCCAGGGAGCGATATGGCTCCTAAGAGGGCAAGGATGGCTATGTGGTTGTACAGACCTAGAGATCATTTTCTGGCAGGATTTGATCTGTTTTTGTTTTCAGGCCATGATTGTTTTATAACAAACTGTTTTGATGCATGGCTTCCACCGAAAAGCAATGTAACACTTTTATAAAACAAATGCATGAGTAGCGGAACATAGAGCCCAAGAGGAGAAGGGAGGGACAGATTCTGAAAGAGGACTGGAAACTTAGGTCTAGCTTCCCAGAAATCTAGTTAAAACAGTGTGCCGGGTGCCAAAGCCGGTCTGGAACTGCAAAAGGCCAACAGCCCTCAACCTGAATGTCTCAAACAAGTACCAAACTGGGGAGTTGCTCACTGACGGCTGCCCTCCTGGATAGCCAAAAAGTGCCTGGACTTTCCAAAGCATTAGACACAACAGTCTGTCCTCCATCGTGAAGAGCAAAATGGATTGAAGACTGCAGGTCATAGGATTCCGGCAGAGGCTTATGGGTGCCTTCATGCCTTTATGCATTTGTACTCCCTCCCCCCCCCCCGTGCCCTAAATCTGCCACGCACATCTTGTCTGATGTATGTATTTGCACCACACAGCATTTTGTCCATTACAGTACACACAAACATGCACACCTTTCCTTGCCTAGAAATGGATCTTTGTGAAGGAAAGGGGTGCGACACAGCTCTTAGGTTTGTCTGCTTTCACTCCAAGGCAGCGGGACAAGAGAGCTTTGTTTTGTAACCCTCCCACCTGCAGCCTATCAAACGGAGAACCAGCACTTTGTAGAGTGGGGTTATACCCCCATTTCAGTTTAGGTGGTCAGCCTGCAAGCATAATGTTGGGATGCTGTATCTAAACACCACCATGGCAAAAATTCAAGATAACATAAAAGGGATAGAAGCTAATAATGGACATATCTGCAAAGCTTGAGGTAGGCAGTGCACTGTCAACAGTTTTCTAAGTTGCAGAGCAGGAATGAGCTATGCAGTATGGTTTATGTTCGTTGGTCTTATTTTGATCAGAGTACCGAGGCTTTTGTAAATCCTTGACAGCTTGGACAGGGATGGGAGTTATTGGGGGCAGAGGAAAGTTTGGGAGCAGTGCAGGGTGCTAAAGATTCATCCCCATTGAATGGGCAGCTCCTCTCCCAATTACTTTTTGATGTAGCCACCACCCACACTTTTTTAAGGGCCTTGTAATAATTGGAAACCTGTTAACCCAGGATTCTGCCCGTGGCTTGCATGCCATCCTGCGAAGCTTAGATTCTGTCACGTGTGCTTGTCAGTTCTCTTCTTCAGAGATTTCTGAATGCCGTGAAGCGTGCTTGCAAAGTGTGCTTGTGACTAGCTTTACAACAAAGAGGTTGGTGGATAAGAGTACCTGGTGTGTGGTGCCTTGAAGTTTTCCTTGATTCTTCACCTTTTATTGAAATGGTTGTGACGTTATATGTTAAATAGTGACCTTGAAAACACACCGAGGCTCATTTGAGCCGCCAACATCACCATCCACGAGGGGGAGGGACCCTGCAAATTTAATTTGCCTCCAGAAATTCCGCAGAGGAAGAGAGCGACTATGCAGCTAGGGGGGAGAAAAAACCCAGGCAGAGCGGAGAGCAAAAGACTGGGAACAAAGAGTGAGAAAGCCGTATATGTGCTGTCCGTGGGAAAGGGGGTCTTTCCTGAATTAAAAGTGTTTTTCTCTTGTCTGCCCCTTTCACCTGCTTCTCTACCCTGTCTGATATCCTCTCCCTCGCCCGCCCCCACACCCCCTTTGTTGGTCCTTCCAGCTCTGCCTTAGGACGGACCTTGACCTACAGAAGGCAGGATTCCTGGATGCCGGCACTAACAGCTGTCCAGAGAAACCCTCCTTGCTCACTCCGGGGCATTCTGACCTGGCATCCCAGCCCTTGGAGACCAGCTTCCCAGGAAAGAGTGGAGAAGCCCAGGCGCTGCTACGAAGTTCCGACCAGGCTTTTCGGACAGAGTTTAACTTGATGTATGCCTTCTCCCCTCTGAATGCTATGCCTCGGGCAGACGGATTGTTACGAGAGTCTCCACAGATGGCCGACGGGAAGCTTCTGAATCCAGACAGGGGCTGCTGCAGTTCCCCTGCGGAGGGATACTTTGGCAGGCACGAGCAGGCGCTTCTGAAAGAAGCCGCGCACGGACCCTTGCCCCCCTGCGGCGAGAAAACCTGCGAAGGCGTTAAATCCACACCCCAGAACCCTCCGCAGAGGAAAAAGGCAAGTATCCGACATGAGTAACACAAGCACAGTCACTTGAGGCAGAAAGGAGGGCCTGCCCGGGGTGTTTGTGTGTCTGTGTGTGCGCTTGCTGGGAAATCGTACAAGAGGAGGCAGCCTGGACCCTGCTGAGAGACAATGCAGACTCTCCATTTCTTGGTAGCGTTAGCAGCTGAGGCATCTTTCTTTGGTGACAACAGGATGAAAGCAGACATCACGTTCCCTGGAGGCTCAGAGAAGTCCATGCAATAGAGTGCGGGGTCTGTTCTTAGAGGGGGGTTCTTGTCTCCGCTTCATGTTGTGCTCGATTCTGTGTGACCCGGAGGTCTGGCTTTAGGTTTCCTGCTGGCCATAGGCTGGAGAGCAGCTTCCTTGCACCAGCACAAAACCCATGTAGCCCACAGGGCATTGCAGCAGGTGCCTTTTAAGCGCACGTATGCACACACGCACGAGTGTTGAGTCATGTCACCTGCCTGAAGCTGATGATAGCCTTTTCTCTCCTAGGTATCCCTTCTGGAGTACCGCAAACGAAAGCAAGAAGCCAAGGAGGGAGGGGATTCCTCTCGATGCACAGGGACACCTACCCGGCTGAGTGTCAGCTGCTCGGGGGCAGATGTGGATGCTGCTGGCCTCGTGCAGGGCTCGGGGGCCCACACCCTGTCTTCTCCACAGCATGGCTTCTCCCCCTCTCATTCTTCTTCGTCTCACCTGGAGGAAGTCAGCCCACCAGAACCACGGGGGACCACGCACAGCAAATCCCAGGACAGCATCAGCAGTAGATGGTGAGTCTCGGGAAGCAAACTATGGCAGAGACACGTGTTGTTTCTAGGAGTTCCTCCCTGACAAGATGAGAAGAGATAAAAATGTTTATGCCCTGTGCCGTGTCTTGCCTCACTTTGGTCTTAAAGGGGAGGATGATAACATCGATAGCGAACTTTCAGCACAGAGAGAGCACTTTCCACAGCTCTCCCTTACTGTGGGCTGCAGTCCGCAAAGAGCCACCCTGCTGGATTCAACCAAAGGCCTGTCCAGCATTGTTTCCAGCAATGGCCTGCCAGGTAATTTCAGGAAACTTACAAGGAGATCAGAAAACAACAGCCCTTTTCTCTTACTCGTCCCAAGCATCTGGTATTCAGAGTCCAGTTGCCTCTGAACTCAGAGGTTCTGTTAAGTTATCATAGCTAATTGCCATTATTCTGCTGTCAGTGAACTTACAGAATTTGGCTTCCCAAATTTTTGTTTTTACCTTGCCACATATTGACACTGCTTCTATAAGCAAGTTGCAGCACTACAGTGGTACCTCTGGTTACGTACTTAATTCGTTCCGGATGTCCATTCTTAACCTGAAACTGTTCTTAACCTGAAGCACCACTTTAGCTAATGGGGCCTCCCGCTGCTGCCGCACGGTTCTCATCCTGAAGCAAAGTTCTTAACCCGAGGTACTATTTCTGGGTTAGTGGAGTCTGTAACCTGAAGCATATGTAACCTGAAGTGTATGTAACCCGAGGTATCACTGTAGTAGCATCCGAGTTTAGTGATTCCAAAGACTGTGGTCTTTGTTAGATCTGCAGTGTTACATGCGCTCCGGAGTTCCAACTTTTCTGCCCTTCGCAACTAGCGGGCAGTGGTGGGGCAGAGCTGTTTCAGAGTGGGGGGCCAGGGTTAGAGTCCTGTACACTCAAGCTTGTTACGTTTCCTCCTGAGGACCTTCCTCTACCTTTGCGTACAGATAACTGACCTTTTCTGCTGCATCAGCTATACTGGGGACAGGTGGTGACTTCGAATCACAAGCCATATTTACACAAAGGGTAAAATTCTGGCTGCCGTGCTTCAGCGTGGAACATGCTGTACACGCCTTCTTTCACACTCCTTGCAACTGCCTTGTGAAGGAGGCTGGGCACCATTGTTCCGATTTTACTTATAGTAAAAAGTTGAGAGTCGAATGACCTACCCAGAGCCCCTTCAGCGAGTCCAATTCTCACTAAAGTGGTCCTAAGCAGAGAAAATCCATACCAGCTGTGTAAAATGAGCATTTTAACATTTCAAATTACCTTGGTGAGCAGAGCATGGTGAAATAGAGCTTTGTTTTCTGCATTACAGTTTCATTTGTGTATCAACTGGAGACCTCTCTAAAGTAAAATCTCTGGCTATATTTTTACTGCCCCAGAGCAATCCATCCTAATAAACACTGCAGCCGTGGCAGCATTCCAGCAGTGGTTGGGTTGCTCGTACAATATCCTGTGTATGCCTCGAACTCCTATCCCAGGGTAACTGCCTTCTGTTTCCCCCAACGAAACTGTAGAAATAGGCTGCAGTCTTACCATTTGATTAAAATGGTTCTTTGTCTCTAATGAATATTTTCTAGCCATCATTGTGAGACAAGCTCCACTCTGCCCTAGAATTAAACAGCACTTGCCTCAACAACTAAGGTGCACAAGCTTTAAGCTGCAGGATGCGCATTTTGTAGGAATGCACATGAACAAAACCCATCCAGACCGCAGGGGAACCTTTCAATATAATAAACTACTGTTGTTGTTGTTGTTGTTGTTGTTGTTGTTGTTTAAAAAACCCAACAAAACATTGCCATGAGATGCTTGAAATTGTTTAGACCTCTTGAAGGGTCATAGAATCATAGAATCATAGAGTTGGAAGAGACCACAAGGGCCATCGAGTCCAACCCCCTGCCAAGCAGGAAACACCATCAGAGCACTCCTGACATATGGTTGTCAAGCCTCTGCTTAAAGACCTCCAAAGAAGGAGACTCCACCACACCCCTTGGCAGCAAATTCCACTGTCGAACAGCTCTTATTGTCAGGAAGTTCTTCCTAATGTTTAGGTGGAATCTTCTTTCTTGTAGTTTGGATCCATTGCTCCGTGTCCGCTTCTCTGGAGCAGCAGAAAACAACCTTTCTCCCTCCTCTATGTGACATCCTTTTATATATTTGAACATGGCTATCATATCACCCCTTAACCTCCTCTTCTCCAGGCTAAACATGCCCAGCTCCCTTAGCCGTTCCTCATAAGGCATCGTTTTCAGGCCTTTGACCATTTTGGTTGCCCTCCTCTGGTCACGTTCCAGTTTGTCAGTGTCCTTCTTGAACTGTGGTGCCCAGAACTGGACACAGTACTCCAGGTGAGGTCTGACCAGAGCAGAATACAGTGGCACTATTACTTCCCTTGATCTAGATGCTATACTCCTATTGATGCAGCCCAGAATTGCATTGGCTTTTTTAGCTGCTGCGTCACACTGTTGGCTCATGTCAAGTTTGTGGTCAACCAAGTCTCCTAGATCCTTTTCACATGTACTGCTCTCAAGCCAGGTGTCACCCATCTTGTATTTGTGCCTCTCATTTTTTTTGCCCAAGTGCAATACTTTACATTTCTCCCTGTTAAAATTCATCTTGTTTGTTTTGTCCTGAGGTGTCATTCCCATTCTCGCTCTTTTGTGCCCTGCTATAGGATGGTTCCCACCTCGGTGGAGCGGCTGCGAGAAGGCCGTGGGATTCTGGAGAAGGTTTTACGCAGCAGCGCCAAGTTGTGTCAGAGAGGAGAGCCCTCGCCCACTCGGGAGAGCCTAGGGGAGAGAGAAGCAGGTAAATGGGAATGCACTGGGGGTGGGGGGAGCTGCCTTTGGAGCTCGAGCAGGTGGGGCTGAATCTACAGGCAGGGCTCTGATCTTGAGGAATGACGGAGTCCAAGACCGTCTGTGAGTTACGGGACTTCTGCTCACATCACTCCAAACAAAGCAGTTAAGATTAATTCGCTAGCTTTGTCTTGTGGATGCAGGTATAAGTCTCTCTCTCTCTCTACTGATTGACTTACACAAGTGTTTACAATTCTACAGTGAGGTATTCAAGAAGAGGTTGGGCGGGCATAGAATTCAAGAGTTCAAAGAGACCCCAAGGGTCTTCTAGTCCAACCTCCTGCAATGCAGGAATCTCAGCTGAAGCATCCGTGACAGATGCCCATCCGACCTCTGTTTAAAAACCTCCAAGGAAGGAGAGTCCATCACCTCCTGGAGGAGTATGTTGATCCAGTGTCAAACAGCTCTTACCATCAGAAATTTCTTCCCAATGTTTAGTTGGAATCTCCTTTCTTTGTAATTTGAATCCCTTGGTTTGGGTCCTAGCCTCCAGAGCAGAAGAAAACAAGCTTGCTCTATCCTCCATGTGGAAGCCCTTGAGATATTTGAAGGTGGCTATCGTATCTCAGTCTCCTCTTTATCTCAACTGTTCCTCATAAGGCTTGGTTTCCAGACCCTTGATCATCTTGGTTGCCCTCCTCTGCACGCATTCCAGCTTGTCAATATCCTTCTCAAATTGGGGCACCCAGAACTGGACACAGTACTCTAGGTGTGGTCTGACCAAGGCAGAAGAGAGGAAAGAGGATTCACTAGATGATGATTCTGTGAAAGAGAGTCTTTCTCTCCCCCTGCCTTCAGTGTTGCTCCTCTAGCTATTGAGGTTTTATTAGTTTTATTCTAATCCTTCCTACATTTCAGTTTTTCTAGAGCTGGGGCTCTTCAGGGGGTCTCTCTCACACCTGTCCCTGCTACAGGGGCTCACCTGTAGCTGGTTCCTCCTAATCCAGCAACCTGTATTTCTGCTGCTAGACCCTCTCTGCTCTGCCTTCCAGATGCTGCGGAAGGAGATTCGACAGACCCCCTCAACCCTTCCCTCAAGGGACCAGCCGTTTATAGTCCTTCACGTTACAGCTACCAGGTACGTGAGGCAATACCCGCCTCGTGCCGTTCACGGTTCCCGTGCAGTTGGCACTCGGGCGCGGCCCAGCCTTTCTTGCCGGGGTTGCAGAGCCGGATGCCAAACGGCGGTTTTGTGACGCCTGCTTCTTTCCCTTGCAGCTCTTGCAGTCGGACAGCCCGCGGGCGGAGTCGCAGACCGTCCTCCAGAGCGCCTCCCCGTACCGAGGACACCCCATGCCATCCCCTGGCTACAGCTACAGGTCCCAGTCCCAGAGAGCAGGGCACCTTCCGCCCCTCGGCTCCTCAGAACCCTCCCTTTCCTCTGCCCCCCCGGTCGCCACAGACTCCTCGGCTCTGTTTGCAGGGAACTCTGGGTATTATAGCAGCCAGCAGCCGTCTGGCAGTGGCGTCTTGAAGAAGAGCTGCCCCGTAGCCACTGCTCCCAGCCCTGCCCAGACGGCGGCAGCCGTAGACTGTTTGCCCCCCTCTGAAACAGGGTCTCATCCCTGCGTGGGAACCGCCGGCTGCCCTCCTTCCTCCTCCTCCTCCTCCACCACCACTTCCTCGTCGTCTTCTTCCTCGTCGTCCTCCAGGCCCTCGCAGCCAGACTTGCGGACTATCAACCCTCCCGCCTCTGGGCAGCCTGCTCTGTACCAGAGCTCCAGAGCCGCAGCACTTTCCAGCTCGCAGCAGCACTACTCCCACCGAGGGGGAGGAGGCAGCATCAATCAATACAGACTGCAGCAGCTTGCAGGGTCAGGCGTAAAGACTCAGACCGGCTTTTCTTAGGGCAGGACAGACTAGAGCCCACCGTTCCTTCTGGCAGTGGCTGACGGGGGAGCCGTGCCGGGACAGCAAAGGGCCCAGAGGCTGGGGCTCTGGGGTGCCCTGGGCAAGAGAGAGCACTGCCGGCCACCCCCTGGCTTTGGAAGGAGGAGGAGGCAGTGGCGGCGGCAGCATTGGCAGAAAAGCATCTCCCTGGTGTCCGGGTACGTTGTAGAAAGCAAACGGTGCTGAGTGGCATGGCCTCTGTCTCCTACCGGTGCCCTTAGCTGTAGTCACCTGGGCAGGTAGGGAAAGCTTGAATATGAAACCAGTGCAAATCAGAAAAAATAAATAAATAGGGGAGATGGGGAGATGTGGGGGGAGGGGGGCGTTAATCTAAATCCCAAAGTGCTCTCTGCAAGGTTGGGTTCCCAGAGTATTCTGGTCGGGGTTGGGGGCTTAGTCCATTCTGATCATTCCAGTTGCAAATAAAGAGCATTTGTGGGAGAGAAGCAAGAGCCGTGGGGTGGGGCTGGTAGCAGTGTGAGTGAGTGTGTGTGTGTGTGTGAGAGAGAGAGAGGGCAGGGTGTGCATGCAGGCATTGCTGCAAAAAGTCACTCTAGTAAGTCCATACTATGCCTCTGAAGTTGGCATCTCGCTGCCAGTGAGGGGGTGGCCTAGGGGTGTGGTCAGTTCGTTCCAAGAGGCCAGTGCTGTGGCAATGGGAATATGGACGGTGGCTTGCTTTAGGCGCCTGCCCTCATTCTAGGTGGGGGTGATGAGCGAGATGCCCAGTCTGGTGGCATTGCTGCTGCTGTGGTCAAGAGTATCATGGAGTGCATGAGAAACACGCCTGCTACCTCCGCCTGAGGCCCAGGAGCAACAACACCAGGCCCGCCAAATGCTCTGTCAAATTCCATACAGTTGCCAGCTTTTCTCACTTGTTTACCTGTCAAGCGTGCGTTTTTATTTATCTAATTTTATATTCAGTTATAACCATAGTAGGTTAGCAAAAATATCAGGCAGGTCTAACCCTGGTCCTGCCAAGGACCTTCTCATTTCCTCTCGGACAAGATATTGCTGTGAGCATGTCTTCCCTCATTTCTCAGATGCACAGTCTTCCCCCCCCCCCCATTTCTTTCTTTTTTTTAAAAAAATAATAATAATTAGGACTGTTACAAGTTTCTCTAATCCACAACTGAAATCAGGTGTTCATTCGACTTAGAGGAAACTTTTAAATTTGATCAGAGCAGAGCAGAAGAAATAAACGAACCCTTTCCTTCAAAAGTGTCTGGCTGTTAGCGTGTTGGGGATAGAACTTGTCAGCCACAAGACAAGTCCTATATACTGTATTTTAAAAAAAAAGGGGTGTCAGCTTCACTGGGCTTTGCAGCCTCCCTTTCCGACATGCTGAGCATGCCTCGTGGGGGTGAGCATTGCAAGCGATGATTCTGGAGATCAGCAGGCAAAAGGCGATGCGCCTGTTCTATGTGCAGTCGCTGGGAAGGAGCCACCAGGAAGTTTGGGGGGCAGGCGGGCGGGCGAGCTGTAGCGCTGCCCTCAAGTGGAGTTGTACACTGTGCTGTAACATTTGAACTTTCACAAGAGATGTAATAATTTTGATAATAAAATACTTAACTTGAAAACCAGCCTGTTATGCTCTCTCACTGGGTTCTTGGGCGATGAAGTGTGGTTTTGTTTACGCAAAATCCAGGTGAAGCTGAAGGGACAGGGTGCCTTGTTGCACACAGCCCAAGATTTCAGCCCTCCTTTCAACATACAGCCCCCAAGATCTGGAGATCGTTCAGGGAAAAAGAACCCCAAAGTTAAGGGGCAGTTGCTGAGAGTGCCCCTTTTCTCATCCTTGTTGGACCTGGTTTGCTGCTGTACATGGTATTCCGTATCTATCTTAAATGATATAACGGAGCGATGAGTAAAAGCGGGCTCTTAGGTTTGGTAGGACCAGGACCTTAAACAGAGATTGGAAGGCAATCTGGAGCTATTTCTGGCACTGGTGTAATTTGGTCCTGATTATCTTGCACAAGACAAGCCACAGCATTTTGTACCAGTTTAACGCATCTGAACTGTTATCAAGGGCAGCCCTGCGTGAACTGCATTATTATAGTCAAGGCTCAGCGTTCAGAATAATAATAATAATAATAATTTTTATTTATATCCCGCCCTCCCCAGCCGAAGCCGGGCTCAGGGCAGCTAACAACACTAAAATAGTGCAACATTATAAAAACATTATAAAAATTAATTAAAATCAAAATTGATGGCAACCATAAACTAAAGTTCTGTAAAGATTGCCAAAGGAGGGAGTCAGGCTGTGCCCTGACCAAAGGCCTGGTGGAACAGCTCTGTCTTGCAGGCCCTGCGGAAAGATGTCAAGTCCTGCAGGGCCCTTGTCTCTTGTGACAGAGCGTTCCACCAGGTTGGAGCCGCAGCTGAAAAAGCCCTGGCTCTAGTTGAGGCCAGCCTAACCTCTCTGTGGCCTGGGACCTTCAAGATGTTTTTATTTGAAGACCGTAAGTTTCTCTGTGGGGCATACCAGGAGAGGCGGTCCCATAGGTACGAGGGTCCTAGGCCGTATAGGGCTTTGAAGGTTAAAACCAGCACCTTAAACCTGATCCTGTACTCCACCAGGAGCCAGTGCAGCTGGTATAGCACCGGATGAATGTGATCCCGCAGCGAAGACCCCGTAAGGAGTCTCGCCGCGGCATTCTGCACCCACTGGAGTTTCTGGGTCAGTCTCAAGGCCAGCCCCACGTAGAGCGAGTTACAATAATCCAGTCTGGAGGTGACCGTCGCGTGGATCACAGTGGCTAGGTCAGGGTGAGAGAGGTAAGGAGCCAACTGCTTAGCTTGGCGGAGATGAAAAAATGCCGCCTTTGTTATAGCTGCAATCTGCGCCTCCATGGAGAGGGAGGTATCGAAGATTACACCCAAACTCTTAACGGACGGTGCTGGCACTAATTGCACCCCCGCAAGAGATGGGAGTTGCCCCCTCAATCCCATATTGTCCCATCCCAGCCAGAGGACCTCTGTCTTCGAAGGATTTAACTTCAACCGGCTCCCACGTAACCATCCAGCCACAGCTTCCAAGCATCTGATCAGTGTGTCTGGGGCCAAGTCAGGATGGCCATCCATCAACAGATAGAGTTGGGTGTCATCGGCATAGTGATGGCAGCCCAGCCCAAAACTCCGGACAAGCTGGGCGAGGGGGCGCATAAAGATGTTAAAAAGCATCGGGGAGAGAATCGCACCCTGAGGCACTCCACACACCAAGGAGTGGCGCGATGACAATTCCCCCCCAAGCGCCACCCTCTGTCCCCGACCAGAGAGAAACTAGTGCAGCCATTGAAGGACTGTGCCCTGGATCCCCGCGTCGGCAAGGCGGTTCGTGATCGACCATGTCGAAGGCTGCTGACAGGTCTAGAAGAATCAGCAGCCCCGACCCGCCTCGATCCAGCTGCCTGCGGAGATCATCTGTTAGGGCGACCAGAGCCGTCTCGGTCCCATGACCAGCGCGGAAGCCGGACTGGAATGGATCCAGAGCCGATGTTTCATCCAGAAACCTACCAAGCTGTTCAGCAACCGCTCTCTCAATCACCTTACCCAGGAATGGAAGATTCGAAACCAGGCGGTAATTGGATAGATCTAAGGGATCTAATGATGTTTTCTTTAAGAGCGGGCGCACCACTGCCTCCTTCAGTTCCCCTGGGAATGTCCCGGTGCCAAGGGACAAATTGATGATATCCCCCAGGGGGGGCCGCACCTCGTCTGGACACACTCTAATCAGCCAAGACGGGCACGGGTCGAGAGGACAAGTGGTGGGCTTTCCAGCTCGGAGGAGTCTGTCCACAACGGCTGGGGATATCCGGTTGAAGTGGTCCAATACTGGACCCGAGGGCAGTCGAAGGGCCTCCAGTTCCTTTATTGTATCCAAATTGGCAGGGAGGTCATGGCGGAGCAACAGGACCTTCTCCGCAAAAAAACTCGCAAATGCCTCACAGCTGTGTGTCAAATTGTTATTTAAATTTGGCTGTCCTTCGAAGGACGTTAAAGACCGAATTAGACTAAATAATTGCGCCGGGCGAGAGCTAGCAGATGCAATGGAGGCTGAGAAGTAGGACTTCTTAGCGGCCTTCACTGCCATCTCATAGGTTTTCATAAAAACCCTATAAGATGTTCTTGAAGCTCCATCACGGGCACCCCGCCATACTCGCTCTAGCCGTCTGAGGTCCCGCTTTATTTTCCGGAGCTCCTCGGTAAACCAGGGAGCCCGGTTTCTGCGGGGTCGCAGAGGGCGCTTAGGTGCAATCTCATTGATGGCTGCCAGGAGCTGGATATTCCAGCCCTCAACAGGCTCAGTCAATGAGTCGCCAGGGGGAGCAAGGTCCCGCAAGGCCTGACGGAATCTATCAGGGTCCATCAGCCTCTGCGGGCAAGCCCAAATCGGCTCGCCACCTAAGCAGGGTGGGGGTGGAACGTCAATCCTGGCTTTCAGAGTGTAGTGATCAGACCATGGCACCTTCATCGAAGGAAACATGATCACATCTATACCAACGCCAAAGATCAAATCCAGCGTGTGGCCTGCTTGATGTGTGGGGCCCGAAACAAACTGGGAGAGCCCTAGTGTCGCCATGGAAGACACCAGGTCCAGAGCCTGTGAGGAGGGAGTGGCATCAGCATGGATGTTGAAGTCCCCCAATAGGTTAGGGAACTCCAAGGCCCAGCCAGCCACCGCCTCCAGCAGGCCTGACAGGGTGGCTGCTGGTGCGCTAGGTGGCCGGTACACCAGCCAGACAGCCAAGCTCACCTTGGAGCCCCACACTAGGCCAACACATTCAATGCCGGGGATCGATGGCGATGGTAGAGCCCTGAAAGAACAATCTTCCCGGATTAATAATGCCACCCCTCCCCCCCCCCGGCCCACAGTCCGCGACTGGTGGAGGACGGAGAAACCCGGGGGCGCCATCTCTCGTAAGGTAACAGTTTCCCCTTTGCGCACCCAGGTCTCC